GAAAGTAGATATTCTATATTTTTTATGATACAAATTTCGTTTTCTATGATAATCTACTTCGCAAAATTAGTTACATTTCAAAATTCGAAAAATTCCATTTCTGAAAGTCGATAATCTACTTTCCGAAAAGTAGGTAATCTATTCTACTTCGGGAAAGTAGATAACCGTCCTTTCCCGGTAGATATTTCCTATTTTTATGATACAAATTTCCGTTTCTATGATAATCTACTTTGCAAATTTAATTAATATTTCCAAATTCGAAATCTACTTCCCGAAAAGTCGATAATCTACCCCTAGTAGATAGTCCAACTTTCCCGAAAGTAGATATTTCCCATTTTTTATGATACAAATTTCCCGTTTCTATGATAATCTACTTCGCAAAAGTAGTAATATTTCTGTGTTCGAAAATCTACTTCCCCGAAAAGTCGATAATCTACTTTCCTGAAAAGTAAAATTTGGCCTACTTTTTCGTGAAAGTAGATAACCAACTTTCCCGGAAAGTGATATTCTATTTTTATGGAGTACAAATTTCCGTTTTCAGGATAACAATTTTGCAAAATTTTAGTAATATGCTTTCCCTGCAAAAATTCGAAACTACTTCCCGAAGTTTAGATAATCTACTTTTTCCAGTAGTATCTATCTATTTTTCGAAAAAGATAATCAACTCTCTGAAAGTAGATATTTCCCATTTTGGCGATATAAATTTCCTGTTTTCTATGATATTCCACGGCAAAATTAGGTAATATTTCTGGGGCCTGAAAATCTACTCTGAAAAAGTCGATAATCTACTTTTCCGAAAAGTAGAAAACGATTCATTTTCGAAAGTAGATAACCAACTTTCCCGGAAAATAGATATTTCCCATTTTTGCGATACAAATTTCTGTTTCTATGATAATCTATCAGTAAATTTAATTAATATTTCAAAATTCGAAAATCTACTTCCCCTGAAAGTCGATAATCTACTTTTCCGAAAAGTAGAAAATTCATCTACTTTCGAAAAGTAGATAACCAACTTTCCCGGAAAGTAGATATTTCCATTTTATGATACAAATTTCCTGTTTCTATGATAATCTACTTAGCAAAAATTAGTAATATTTCCAAATTCGAAAAATCTACTTCCCGAAAAAGTCGATAACGCATTTTTCCGAAAAGTAGAAAAATCTATCTACTTTTCGAAAGTAGATAACCAACTTTGGGAAAGTAGATATTTCCTATTTTATGATACAAATTCTCCCGTTTTCTAGCGATAATCTACTGCAAATTTAATTAATATTTCCAAATTCGAAAATCTACTCTGAAAAGTCGATAATCTACTTTCCCCGAAAAGTAGTAGGTGGTCTATTCATTTTCGGAAAGCAGATAACCAACTTTCCCGGTCAAGTAGATATTTCCATTTTACATACAAATTTCCCGTTTTCTACAGATAATCTACTTCCGCAAAAATAGGCACATTTCCAAAATTGAAAATCTATCTCGAAAAGTCGATAATCTGTTTCTCGAAAAGCAGAAAATCTATCTACTTTTCGAAAGAGATAAATCACTCTTCGCGGAAAATAGATATTTTCCATTTTCTATGATACAAATTTCCCGTTTTCCATGATAATGTAGTGATGGGTTGTCAGACCACAGCTTACATCTCAGAAACAGGCAGACTTGCCGGACATTAGGGAGGTCATGTGAGTAACTCTCGGCGTAAGGAGTTATAAATCAGCCAGGCTCCTCCCATGTCACACACATGTGAGACACCGGCTCACAGAGAAGTCAGACCTGACCCTACATTAGGGGCAAATGAGAACCCCCCCGATCGGCTCAACCTGACTCGCCTCCCAATATATAGGACGTCCTAGTCCTCCCTCTCCCCCAGAGAGTGTGTGTCTTGTAACCAAGAAGGGCCAGCTCGACGTCCCGAGAGTCCTGCTCGAGAAGTCAGGGCCGGAGGCCGCCGCCTCCGGTCAGGCAGAGTTGCTCTCAGACACCGGTGCCCAGCTAACCGTCTCCCATAGAGACAACCCAGGACCACCTGCTAGGCCTCCCCTAGGTCACGTGAGTTTTGTCAGAGCTTTCCATGGGATGAGTTACTTACGTGGGAAGTGTATTCATTTCATGTTCTTGTCGAGAATCAGTGTCTAGTAACGAAATATGATGTCCTATGTAATAAACATAATGTCCTAGTAACTTCAATAGAAGGTGTTATTAATGTGTCCATGTCATGTTAAGTAATTAATAAGAGTTATGTGAGCGGTGTTTGAGAAGTAAGCCCTTAAGACATAAGATAAGTGTATTGACAGTGTAAATAACTATATCGGCCACTTCCCAAAATCTTCCTCATACTCTTATACTATCAATATTCTACCTATATGTAATCTTCTTGTGATTTGTCTCGATTTTTTTTTTTTATCCTCTTCGCCACTGATCGGCTTGTTAGCCGCTGGGCGATCGGTCATCTCTTTTTCCTTTATATTCTTCACCAAAAGGTCAGCTCGCTTACCTTCCGGCGATCGGTCACGTCTCTGTCACGCACTGTTGGCAATACTGGGCATCATCCGGCTCTGAATGTACCTGAACCCGCTCCAGTGTTGATCAAGTCTTCTCTTGAAAGAGCTCACACTGGTGCCGTCACAACCTCTGGTGATTGTTCAAGTTTAACCCTCATAAAAAAGTTTGCCCTCCGGTTTCCGGACTTGCGCTTCCTCAATCTTGGGCTGTGACCTTGTGGTGAGCGTCCGCCAGCTCAAGTAAGGACACTCAACTGAGTAGTGCCCCTGAGATGCTTATAAACCTCAACTAGGGGCCCCTGCCCGTCTGTAGTATAAGCCAAGTTCAGGCCCAATCTCTCAGGGTAGCTGAGATGCCGGGCGCAGGCACCAGTTTGCGGCCCTCCTTGAACATTTTCAACCAACTGACAGTCCCTAGCATATCTCGGGACCAGATGGGGTGACAGCACTCCAGATGGGGAAGCACTTCACTCCTGAAGATCGTCACAGGACTGGACCGCCCATTCTGAACGACCTTCTTATAAGACCCAATAATTTATTTGCCTGATTTACCTTCTTTCCTCACAATGGCCCGAGAACTTCAGCTCATTGTCAACATACACACCTAGGTCCTTCTCACAAGTCTCAACTAGTACATTTTCTTCATCCCGTTGGACATATGGTACTCCTCCCCACTGCTGGTACCCCAGGTGCATCCTCACACTTTGTGACATTGAATCAGCAGCCATTCCTTCAACCATTCCTGAGCCCACAGAGGTCCTTCTGCAGCTTCTTCACAGTCCGCTTGGTTCTTAATTTCCCGAAATAACTTGGCGTCATCGGCAAACATTTGTATGGAGAGTGAACGCCAGGCATATCATTTAAGAAAACAAACAAACAACAGCGGGCCCAATACACTACCTCCTGCGTACCCCACTTGTTACAGGTACAGATGACGATTTCGTGCCATTAATCACCACACATTGCTTGCGGTCATGTAGAAAGTCTTCTATCCACGCTTAGACATCGAATTCGTACCCTTCCAGTTTGATTTTCAGCCTATCGTAATACACTGTCGCAAAGCCTTGGCAAAATCTAGGTAATATGTCGATATTACCACCCCGTTTAGAATATTGGTCCAAATATCCAACACCTTGAGCAATTTGTAAGCAAGAGCGCCCGCATAAAACCGTGTAATTTCATAAGGTTGTTTCAGTAGATGTTCCATCGCTGCATCTCTGATAATACTCTCATACTTTTACATATTATGCTGGTCAGGCTCACCGGTCTATAGTTGTTCGTGAGTGCCTATCGCCCTTCTTGAAGATAGGACCTACATAAGCCACTTTCCATTCACTGGGGACCATTTGTTCATCCAGGCATTTACAAAACAGAATCTTCAGGGGCTCTGCAAGCTCGTTGCACAGCTCCCTTAGCACTCTAGGATGCACCATGTCAGGTCCAGGACTCTTATGGACCTTTAGTCTGGACAGTAAGTAGATAACCAACTTTCCCAGAACATAGATATTTCCCATTTTCTGTGATACAAATTTCCCATTTTCTATGATAAACTATTGTTGGTAATTACTTCCCAGTTGATAATCTACTTCCTGAAAATCTATATATATATATATATATATATATATATATATATATACATATATACATATATATATACACACACACATATACACACACATACACACACACACACACACACACACACACACACACACACACACACACGCACACATGCACACATACACACACACACACACACATATATACATATATATCTATATATATCTATATATATTTATTTTGTTTTTAAATAAAGATTTTTTGTTTTATATAGACGTTGTTATACATGTTTACATTTGCTTACCTTCTACTGTTGGAAAATATTTCTCTTCGTTGTCATACCGACAAAAACAAGAGAAAGAATGTAAACACTACAGCCCCTAAGATGTGGAGGTGACCAGGTGTATAAAATGAGTGCTGTATTAAAGATTTCACCTTCTTATACAGATTTTTTTTTTAAATTGATGAAAATGACGACTGATAAGCAGTTATAAGTGATGATATTCAAAGAGGTGTGTGAACTTGTGTCAAAAGGGCTGTATATCAAGCAACGGTTTCACTGGTGTAGGTACAGTAGTAGGCAGCTAATGTACCAAACAGGGAGGTACTACCGTCTGGGAAGATATTGGAAGCAAAATGTATTGTCTAATGGTAGACCCTGCTGCTATGTGACCAAGTCCCAGGTTGATGATCTGACTTTCTGCAGGGTCTCAATTGTTTCTCTTACTTTGACAACACAACATACATACAGGTATATTGTTTCTCACTCTCGATATTTTTTTTTCATTTTTGTATTTCTTTATTATTATTATTATTACATTTTCGCCCCCTAGGCCCCAATGTGGGTCAGTGACCTGTGCCCAGGTGGGCTAAAACCCGTAATTTTTTTTTTGAATTTCATTTCCAAAATCAGGAGGCGTCTTCCACGCCGAAAAATACGGTATCTCTAGTTCTTAATATTTACAATATATAATTATGACAATTTTACAAATTTAATGAATCTATCTTTTCCATTAAAATCTTGAAACACTTTTGACATATTCAGTTTTAAAGTAGGCTGTTTTTCCATCCAAGTAGGAATAAGGTAGCAATGACAGGGATCTACCTGAAAAATGAAGGGAAATATTAAACTAAAAAATATAATAGCTTTCAAAGTTCATACTTCCATTAGCATCATTGTGTGCTTCCTTACTGTCTTGAACTTAGAAAAAATTTGACTGACTTACTTTTTGTTGAAAATATCTAATCAGAAGAACTTAAATCAGAACAGAAGTCTGTTCTCACTTAATACAGGAGTTTGTCAGTATATGCAAGACACACTCCAGAAGAGGGTTTCATAAATTAAATCCCTAAAACAGCTACAGTACACAGACAGTATAAATAAGGGAGTGTTCCACAGCCTACACTCTACCACCCCAGACCTATTTCTACCACCTTCATGACTTTCAAACAATAATCATCTAATTAAAAATATTAATAAAATAAAACACTTCAAATGTAGAGTAAAGTACTGTACTCATCCACCAATTGTTCATCTGTTGAGTTCAACCAATTTTTAAATTAAGCATACAGTATTATTGTACATAATACTGTACTATATTATCTTCAAAGAAAGTTTAATAAGGAGTTTTGTCTTAAAACAAGCATATTTTTCTATAAAAGAAACATTAAATATAATTAACCACAGGTAAAGGAAGACATGAAAGATACAGCATACTGTATAATGATCTCAGAAGGGAGAATGTAGGTTTGGTGTAACCAAATACTGTACTGTACTATTTTGTGAAATGCAGTACTGTTTCAACATAAACAAGAGAACTAATGGTTTGGAAAAATTGTATACTGTACTCCACCCACAAAAAAGGGTTCTGCTAGAAACCAAGAATTTTTAGTAACTGATAATACAATCCTAGTGGATTATTTACTGAAAATATGGGATATTTACCCAAAAACAAAAATTAAATATGCCCACCTCAAGAAGCAGTGCATGACCACCAGGGAGGAGATGCTGAGAGTGCTTTATCACTGCCTTAATAACGTCCAATCCTTCCTTTCCTCCATCAAGAGCACGCATATCCTCATAGCTATTAACATAAAAGTGAAATGTACAGTATTAAAATGTCAATTATACTGTGCCTTTAAGTTTTAAATAACCTTTACTTACATTTTCTAAAGACTATTGACTAACTTAACCATTTAATCACATTACTTTCCACTTTCCTGTAAAAGACAATTAGTCTTCCCCAAAATGGCTGGCCTATTATCTAGCCTTTCGGCACATGAGGTCATGAGACAGATTTTGTTAAAATTACATAAATACGTAAAGATTGGACCTCGCTAACCTGAGAAGCTTGGGACCAGACCGGTTCTGGATTAGCAAAAATTCCGAACCATCAAAGCCGAGGTTAATAAAGCAAAATAATGCATAAATGTCTTCAGTATAGACATCTTTTTTAAAATAGTAAATGTCACATACTTATGTTTTGCCAAAATACCACCACTTCTACTGCTTGCTGGTCTCTCAGGAGGCATATTTGAGGTGTCGCGTGGAAACACTAGCACAAGCACCATTCTCATTTTTTGTCAGGAAATGCATTCAAAGTTTGCAACATTCATTAATTGATAACACAGGAAGTATTCTAGTTAGAATGTTGCAGTTTGTTTTAAAATGAAGCCGAATGTTTGTAAATTATGCAAATAAATTTTTTTCAACAATACTGTTAACCTCAACTAACCTAACCCTACCTACCAAAAATTATGTTTCCTTAATGTTTTGTAATAAAAACTTGGGTAAATGTTTTCGTTTTCCAATCACGATTATCATAATAAAAATACACCCTAAATTAGTTTTCCACTGTGGGAGGCTTCACTGTCATCAGGCTCTGGGACACTGACCCCTTAGGTGGCTTCTGAGAATAAAACATTACTGAAGAGAAGCTTCCAATCAACGTAGAGGGCTCAGGCTGGGCATCAACGTAGTCACTACCACTTGACATTGTTGCGTAGTGACAATACACAACCACAAACGGCGATATTAATGAAGAAAAGCAACACTCCCTTACCATGAGATGCACCTCCTCCGCACCCATGTCTCATGACAAGGACTAAAAAAAGTGCGCCACCAGCCCTGCCCGGCATGCAGTTCTGCTTGTTGATTGGCTACCTCCACCATAAAACTCCCTTCTTACCCCCAAACCCCCACCCGAAGCCCACAAACACACTTACAGCCTCATGACATAAGGCTGTATGTTTCACACAAAAAATTTGGCGGATGTGTTACATTCACCACACAAATATAGTCAAAATGTCGCTTAGATGAGATATGGACCAGAGCTAGGTTTTTGTCTATTGACTTTTAACCACATGGTCAGTGGCATTTTTGCACCTCCTCCATCACCTCACGAAAATAGGGTGTTTTGAGGACTGTTTGCAGTCATAAAAATGATTGTGGCCTGGGTGGCACTTGTGCTAGTTTCTCCACGCAGCACCTCGTTTAGGGGTAAATTAAAAGTACCGGTATTTAAATGTATAAAATTGGCAACAGCCACTAGAAGTGTACTATTACAAACCATCGAAGCTGTCAGACTATCGGGTCCCGGATTAGCAGGGTCTAACCTGTACTCTTTTATACGCTAATTAAGAATCTGGGTTCATAATATAAAAACAGTTATTTAATTTTAATTAATGATTTTTTAAATAATTCAGAATATTCCTGTACTTAAAATATTGCATTTAAAACGGTAACTACGTTGTGCCCTTAAGTTTTAAATCATTTTGATACACATTTTCTCAAGATGACAGACCAAATCAACCATTTAATCCCATTAGTTTTTACTAGAGTCCCAACATACTGAGAGTAGCAACAACTCGAGATTTGACGCCATCTCTCTATACTGTATATATACTTATATTTCATGTAGATCCACAATGGAAACGTGGATAAGATAAATCTTGATAAAATCACACAGGAAAAGGGGAAACAATGGAGCACCTTAGCTTTTGTCTTTATTCAAGACATCTTCAGAGGCAACTGAATTACAAGGACTGAGAGAGGCTTATGTACATAGGGTGACCTTACAAAACATGAGGTCAGGTCAAAAACATGACATCCACTAATGTATTCTTCATCAGTCCTTATTCCCCATGTATCTCTTATATTTTATACTGATTTCTGTGGAAAATAAGAGTGAGCTTCTCACCTAGTGAACCTGCTCACCTAGTGTACGACAACACAGCCATAAAACATTCCTGACACAAATAAGATGATGGAGACGGTTTCCAATCCAGACGACTGACTTTGTTTACCCATATTTTCCTTCTTTCTGGGTTTGGAGGAAATCTGTACAGTTTAAATCCCTTCTCCGATCTATTAGTACATCTGATGGCACAGCAGCACGGCATTACACATTACACACTATGTCCACTTCCAACCAGGAATATGATCTGCATGACCACAGGTCAACGTGAGCGGAGGGGCTCGGTGGCGTCCAATAGCCGCGTTTTCTATTTAAACACGGGACCGCCTATGTCGCTACTCTCAGTATGTAGGGACTCTAGCTTTTACTTTCCAGAAAAAAGCCTGTGACCCCATGTGGAGGCAACTGTACAATACCACCAAAGGGATTTTGTTCCTTCCTACTCTTGCCTGGATAGACTTCACAGATTTTGATCCCAGGATTTCAGGTTAGAAGTGCAATTTTTTCAAAAGATGATCATCATTATACCATTTTAAATATAATCAGATTTATCCCTTCAAGTGCACAGTTGAGCAAAAAACAGAATGATAATTTGTAAAAAAGAAAAGAAAAGAAAACAATACTGGATGCTACTATAGTGCGCAGTCTACACGATATTTAAGTTAGGTAAGACTAAAGATATCTTTGTAGACCGCATGCTATAGTAGCACCCAAAATTGTTATATTTTTCTTTTCAATTAATATTTTCCTTAAATTCAATCTTCTATTGTCTCTTACATCCTTGTTGAAGGTACAGTAAGTTTAAAAATACTTGAACTGAACATTTCTTGGTTAACTTACATCATAATTTCAGGTTGGACATTGAGGAGGTCTTTTCTCAGCATATATGGTGGGTTAGATATGATGAGATCAAAACATTCTTGTGGCAAACTTGGCATCTTCTCACTTGTTACCTTCCCTTCCACAAGTGTTAAGCGATCTGTAACTCTAAGACTGGCTGCATTTAGCGCAGTTACTTCTATAGCATGTTTACTTTGATCCACGGCAACACAATGAAGCTGCAATGATGTAAAAAGTAAACACACATTTTTTGTACAGTACAGTGTATGTATCTTAAGAGGTAATGCCCAAAGCTAGAGAAAAAGACAAATCTAAATATAAAATATATCACTCAATCAATCACAGGGTTGGTGACCACAGTCCTCCACTCTTAATGTTCTAGAGTTGTTTTTACCAATCTCATAAGTTTTTGTATTTCACTTGGGACCCAGTTTTCAATTTCATTCAAACATCCCTGTCTCCACCTTCCCCTAGCCCTCCTACCCTCAACTTTGCCCATTAATATTTCTGTTATTATTCTCATCCCTAAATAATAATAAAAATATTTTTTTTCTGTACATTTTGAGTATTTATCTTGAAATTTTTTGCCAACCTTAGTACTTATTTATTTATTTTCCTGTTAGCATTGCTTATTCTTAACATTTGCCTATAATACCACATTTCAAAGGCCTCCAACATCTTTCTGGTGTCTGCTGGAAATACCCATGATTCTGACCCATTTACCTATCCTTGCCATATAAACCCTTTCAGCAGTCTTCTTCTCAAATTGAAGTTTGTGTCCCTTTTTATTGTTCTATAAAGTCTAGTTTATAAAGGTAAATATATTCCCAATAAACTTCATAGATCTAAACATCGACCTATCTTTAAAGGATTATACTCTCTTTAGCTTTCAATCTATGAAATGAGGCTCAGGGAACATTAAAATAATATAGGTAACTTCTGCGGATTGAGTGAACAGTAATACAGTACCTCTGTCTAGTGCATGAATAGACTGACAAAATAAAATTTTTAAAATTAACCCCCTTGTGTAAGGGGTCTCCTCTTGAGCTGAATAAAATTGTCTAATGTTAGCCAAATAAAATATTAAAAGGGTAAGAATCTTACAGAGAAATGACTAAGTGAACCTAAAATATGAATCATGAACAAGAGCAGTGGGCAAGAAACAGAACCCCTTCTATACTAGTTACAATGGCACTGACAACTACAGTACCAGGCATACTTTTTAACAGATATTTTAGGTAAATTTATCAAATAAAATGGAGATAACAGATAACTATGAACATACATCACCTAATATGTGAAGAAGGGATAAACAAATTGCCCCTGAGCCACAGCCAATCTCCAATATTCGAGGTGCTTTAATTCCTTGTAAGCATTCCAAGGCCAATTCAACTAGCTTCTCCGTCTCAGGTCGTGGGATAAACACTGGGGGTCGAACCTTGAGAGTTATTGAGTGAAAGTCCCATTCACCCAGTATGTATTGTAACGGCATCCTATAACACAGTAAATTAGGATAAGTTCTCTGTACAACACACTGACCAAAGGAAAATATTATAACTTTTGGCAATAATGTTTTCTTTCATAATTTATATGCTTTTACTTCACAATTCTATTTGAAAAGTATCATGCCTTGTGCCAACCACAATCTTAACATATTGTCCGAATAAAGTTAACTTTACTATAGTGCACAGTACTGTATAAGAAATTTAAAGAAACACATACCTTGCAAGTCGACATGTCATTAATCTTTCTATTTCTGTAAGCATTTCCTCTGATAGTGTTAATGAAGCATACCTGTGTAACTCCATCTGAAAATTCAAAACAATGTTCAACAATGTGTATTTGAATCCTGTTCAGTATAACAATACAACCCTGCATCACTGGTAAGGTGTAACTCCTTTGATATATATATATATATATATATATATATATATATATATATATATATATATATATATATATATATATATATATATATATATATATATATATATATATATATATATATATATATATATATATACATACACTATATATAATTTTTTTTTCTTTTTATAAGAAATTAACAAATGCCAAGAACACACTGAGTAGCTATCTTATACTGTACAGAAAATGGGAGTCAGTGGGTCCTCTGCATGGACAACAGAACATGACCACGAACAACCTTGGCCTCTTACTGGAAGACTGACAACAAAATAAACTTTCACTTCACAAAACCAACAATGTTGCTCTTCCATGATGCTTATTTTTCTTTTCTTATTGTCATATAAAACTCAGGAGTTTACTGTATATCAATAATCAAATAATTATTATACAGTACTGTACAATTAAACTGAACACTGTACTACAGTATGAACAAAATTACAATTACATTACAGTACAGTACTTAACAAAAGAATGCTGTAACATGCAGCAGTATCTTACTCGTGGTATATCGAGAATGTGAGAAATTATGTATTCAACAGCCAAACTTGCTTCTGGCACATCCGCTGCTTCCAGTTTTTCTGTCCAGTCATTTAGAGTGTCCTTCACGGTGTCTGCTCTAGTTGAGTACGATCTGTCAGTGTGTGTCTGGCTCTGGTGAAGTGCATATCTCGGGCGGTGTTTTATATTGAGTCTACTAAGTGGGCTATATCTTATATCATTTTGAGGTAATTTACAAACCGATTTCATTGATGTAAGTATGTTTGTTACTTTTGGAAAAAAACAACTTTGATGAGGAAGTTTTTTGTTTACATTAATGAACGAAAGTGTGTGACATTCAAACTGATTTTTTAAAGAATGTTGTGAGCTTTTGTCCTGCACAAGGATTTCCGTTGAACTTGTGTTACAGGTAGAGTAGCGGTAATATGAAGACATACACCTTTGTCTACTGCTTATCCTGAGCCTCTGACTACACAATCTAACAGCTGCCATTCTGAATCTGAAATTAAAAATAATACAGGTATAATGATTCAACATTAAATTTGGTAAACCATGTTACTGAACGTTAAATTAAACTGATCACCAAATTCAAGTTAAATATATAAGAAAACCATCAACAACAGAATGATTGTGTGAGGTGAATCTTAATTAAAACTTTGACAAATAAGAGAATCAACATAAACAAATTGTCAGGTTGGCCAAGATTATTTGTTATTCAATTTATTCAATATTCAGCAGCATAATTCAGTATAGCTAATGAGAAGAAATTAATCAATAATTGTTCAAGTTAAGTATGGATTCCCTTCTACTTTGATGTTCCTCTTCCTTATCAACTGCATTTTTCACTTCTAACTAAGCACTGAGAAGTGTGTTCAGGACGGAAAAAATAAATTGTATTACAGTACAAGAAACATTTTCCTCATCCACTTATTGACCTTTTCCTGAGGTAAGAAACAATTTTCTTCAGTTATGGAGGAGACAGTTAGGCACCAGAAGGACTTTATGGAGTTGTTTGGATGATACTATGTAAGAAAATCGAAATGAAAATGCATAGAACCTATTAAACATTAACCTAACCTTACCTAACCCAACCTTACCTAAACTTACCTAACATACCTAACCTTACCTAAGTTCCTAATCTGTGCATTGTCATTTCGGTTTTCATCTACACTATTGTCCAAACAACATCACAAGAAGAAAAAATAGGATTCAAAGTATAATAAACCCGCTCGATGAGATCGTCGTTCATTTCTTGATAGGTAAACAAAGACCGTGGGCGCTCCCGTAAAGCCAATGATGTGAACCAAAATATGGTCACCATGGAAGATCCGACAGCATCATAATTACAATAAATAATCTATTCTTTTCACCTACAAATCACGTAGAGAAAAGAAATTACAGTACCTGTACTGTACTGTCAGATAATCAATGTTCACTATGTTTTTACCCAGTTATTTCCCTCTTCAGACCCCGCCCACTAACAAACAATTTATAATCAAAGATTGACTAAAATAAAAAAATAAAAAATAATAATACAATGTTGTCGTTTTTATTTTATTACAGTAATATCTCCGTTAGCCGGAATCCCTCAAACCCGGAACTCTCTGATAGCCGTAATTAAAATTTTCTTGGAAAATTGTTCCCAAAGCCAGAATTTTCTGGAACTTCCGAGAAAATTTTTCTGATACCCGGAAAATTCCGGGAATGAGGCATTTTTTTCCGGGTTTGAGAGTCGTCTCATTACCTGGAAATCTCCCATTCCCGGAAGTGCTCTGCACCAATTGTTCCGGCTAACGGACATATCACTGTAGTCCGTATCATCCTCCAAAAAACAAATGTGGAAAATATGGACATAATATATAAATGCATTTGGGTGTTAACCGTCTGCTTCACCTTTACCTGATCTTCTATGGTGAAATGTCCCAAGTTGTTGACTCAGGCAAGTAACATAAAAATATACCTTCCTGGAAGTTATTAAGGTAGTGGTTATTTGTCCGGTATTTATTCTGATTGATTGAGGTTGATGATGCTGATTCTAGATTACTGAATTCTGTCACTTGCAAACCTAACCTAACCATTAACCCAGGATCAGTCATCTACCTTGATCAATCAGAATGAATGTCGGAGAAAAAAACAACCCTAGCTACATATCCCCACCCCCACAATACTGAGCCTGTACTTACACTCTACCCAAGGCTATATTTGACGAAAGCAAGGGCGGTACCCGACTTTCTACTCCCAATAACGCAACAACTACCTCACATAGGTTACCTCACAGCTCACCACACATCCCATCGTTTCCATATCACTCAACCAAACAAAGAATTTACTCAATAATCTGAGAATTGTGTAACCAAAGTTAAACAAACCTACTGGATATGTTTTTTTTACAATCACAAGAAGAAAGTATACAGCAAAATGCAATGTTTTTAAACTGTTCCCGAGTTAATGCTTCAGCTGCCATATATGACGACATTTAACATACCTGTGTTAATTCAAGTTGAGTTTGTCTTGGTAATGACTTTTAAATTATAAACGTACTGAGGAAAGCAGCTATATCCAAGTCCGCCTTGAATTCTAGAATAAAATGAGTGGAGGTAAACTTCCTCACCTCAATCTCGCAACTCATCATTACTCAGCTCATTCACCTCAATCTCACAACTCCTCACTACTCAGCTCATTCCCGACCCCATCAAGTCATTGGTGTGTTCTAGCAGGCACGTTTATTTACAGGAATTATAGTTATTTATCATTTTTATAGTTTTTATTGGTGTATTTAAATGTTTTTAATCTAAAATACTTAAGATAAATATGGAAGAGAGACTGCTTATTTGTAAGAAATTCATTATAGGTTCTCATATTGCTAGAACTAATGATGGCCCACGCAGCCGTCACCACCGTCACCTCATTTGTTACTGTTGTCCTAACTTTATTAGGTTATTCCTTTGCTTATTGAATAGATCTTTGTGGGTTATAAATTTTTTTTATTCCAGCACATCAATAATCTTGATATCTCGGCTTGTGCCATTTAAGAAGAAGGAGTCAGCTAATTAATAAATTACTTTATTAATTTTCAATTGATAATCTTCTTGATATTGAGCATGCATGAATACTTGCCGTGTTCTCATACACAGAGCTCTTCCTCATATCACCAGATTTGTTCCTTATTGGAACAGCACAGTTTCCTAAAGCACTGGAGGAAGGAAGGTGTTACAATATCAACAATAATAATACAGGCATTAGAAAGTGGTTACAAATCCGGATTTGGCTCCCATTATATTTTTGCCCGAGTGTACCGCACATAATAATCTGTATGGGAAAATAACCATTTTTGACAATAAACATGAACCAACCAGCCCTAAAGATAAAACAAATAAAGGTTGCACAATCCAGCTCAGTGTGCATAAACAAATAGGTTGAGTTTGAGGATTGTTTTTTTTTTATTGTTCGGGTCCGGTTAATCATTGTTACATCGACATTCTGTCTCCGACACATAATTAACGCGGGGAATGTTAATAGTAAGCAGACCGACTAGTCTTGCCATGATCAGCTACCTAGCCACCTTTTCTACTCTCATCAATTAAAAGAAAACTTCTGTTCTTGGGTTGATAGTATGTTATGAAATTGTGACTCACCTGAACTTCATTCACTCCGTCTTCCTATCTCCTTCTAGGTCGTTATCATACACCGTTACGATGTCCTAGTGGCTTTAGTTAGGCTACATTGCTCATTACAAGGAGTATAATTTTACGAGGAATAACATGTAGAATGACACCAGTTTGTGCTGTTGACAATACCTAAATGTCAAATATCCGGTTCCTTGCTCTATACTCCACTGACAGGTTAATTGTTAATTAACGTTTACCTGGGAGGTGAAGTAATAAGTAATGATAACTTCAGCAAGCATCTTTCTGCACACATACACATATAATTACCAGTAGGAGTAAACACTTTTGCTACCTTAACATATTTTCTTTCTCACGACAACGCGAACGCACGAATTCCCAGGAAGACCTTTCTTTTATGAAAAAGTTATCGGGTTTATACCGGGTTATCGTTCTTATCTCTAGTTAAAATAAGTATCTTTAGAACCAAACAAATGTTAAAATTACACTTAATCGTTAATAATGTACCAAATTCGTCCTCCATTTCTCGGTAAAGTAGCGTTGCCATATAAAAGGGAATTCAGCAATATTTAGAAACGTGTGCTGTGGCAGCCTTGATAGATATATTGATCTACTGCTGATGGAAACACATTCGATAATACAATACATGAATTTTTAAGTTAATGATATGAAGAGGTTTAATACAGTGACGTAATAACGGAATACTTAACATTCTATAAATAATTCCTTACGTTGTGATCGACCGGTCCCGCGAAATAGTTTGAAGGAGGTGGAAAGGACTGGGGCGCGGCTCGGGTGGGCCTCTTTCAGGTACTTCATTGCACTGTCATATATTACTTAAGAATCAAATATATAGTATGGCTAGATGTCGATACAGTAAGCCTCGTGTTTTAGTGGTATTGTATGTTGTGATCAGCGCTGGAGCTGTAAAGTAAACAAGTGGAACGCTCAGATTTGAATCATTTGATATCTAAAGTGTGAACAACAGTCCTATGACTAAAAATAACGTGCTCGAAAGCGGAAATATTGTTACTTCCCACAAGGTCACATTTTTTGCATTTTTTATTATTATTGTTGTGAGTTGCAGGCTTGCTTAAACATATTGATGGCATTCCTATCAGATATCACTATGTACTTAAGAATATGAAGAAATAAAACAAATTTGTAATCATGTGCTTTAGAATAACACGAACCAAGGCCAATACCTGGTCCAAAATAAATAAGTATATCCTACAAATTTCGGATCGTTTGTTGATACTATTTTAGAAAATGTCACAAGTGAGCTCAGGTATTTTAATAAGTGTTGTAGATAAAAACGACCAATCCCATTATTACTGACAAACTGTCTATTCGAAATGTCATTGGTAGTCAGTGTCAAACATTATTAGAACAAGGATTACTTCTTCGAAACTAGCAAATGACAACAGGGCCAAGAGAAAAATGTTACACAGAATTTTTATCTTGGTGAATATATCAATATATCAGTACGAAACGTTGTAATCAATGTGGAGCAACGGATTCACTTTGTTTTGTATGCAAGCTGAAGGTAGAAGGAAGTGTGTGTGAGGTTTCAGTTATCACTTATAATAATACTTATACGAGGAACAAAAAGAGAGAGCGTGCTCCTTTTCTTCGTCCTTGCTGGCGGCCTAGTTGTAACGCTGCACATACTCGTTGATTCAAGTGCAATTGTCAGGGAAAAGACATATGATCAATGGCAATTTATATATCTTGCCTTGATGATAGAACAGTTTTAAGGAAAATTCTATAAGATACTATAGTTCTTGTTCAAGGTAGACGTTGCAAAACTATAGCTACCGAGAGGTTAAATGAGTCATCAGAAGGTAAGCTTGATTTGCGACTTAGATAAATTCCTTGGCTAACACATAACCCATTTACCGACTTACATCTCCACTGTTCTACCAATTTTGATGATATTTTATTGACAGGCACATGTACAGACAAAACGAATCCATTAGCTCCGTTTGACATTTGAACTGAGGTTAACTTGATGCTAAGAAGTGGAACATAACTTACAATAAAACGTCACTCTACAAATGATTACATTAACTAGATAGTTTACTGAGTGTCAAAATAAACCTCCAAAATGTTAAAATTCCTGTGTCTGTAGTTAACTCTACTTAACTGGTACTAATGAACGTGTCTAGTTAAGGTTGAATTATTTGTATACTATGATTGGATATAGTTTTGTGCTTTGGCGATGTTAGCATGTTTGGTGCATTCGTACACCTCCAGTTACGAGACAGCTAAAACTTAAATGTAATACCCTGTAATGACAAGTGCATTATGAAGACTTAATGCTGGAACTAACTTTGAATATTATTGTCTTTTCAAGATTTTTTCTCTTGTCTGGCCAACCCAAAGAGTTCTATCAGATATATTTTAAAATTGTTGGTTACCTTGGTAAAGAAATTAGTTGATGAAGCGCAGTAATAACGCTAAAAGCGTCAAGGTCAACTTCACCATGCGCGACGTATCAACCTTTCCTATTGTTGATTTTTTTCGATTCTTGTAACAATAACAAACTTGCATTAAAACAGCCGCTCTGTATTAATGACCTGAGAACTTCTTTACCCTCTAGACTCTACAGTAATCTATACAGAGTTACTATTCTCTGAAGTTAGCAATGTTTAAAAATGTCATGGCAATCCACCATCACCTACCATGGAGAAAATCGAGTCTTGTATGACGAATGTTGACAAGGTGATTTTTTTTTGTGGATTCATGTTCTTGATTTGGATTATCAAAATACTGTAATATCTTTTATATCCATAAGTTGAGACAGTGACGTGATAATATTAATACTCCCTTTCAACATCTAAGGTCTTTAAACGCGTAACACGATTAGTAATTACACCAGTCCATCGACAATTAAAAGTCGTGAAACAGAAACATTTATAGGAGACAAAGAACAGTTCGTAATAGGAAGAATTAAATAAAAAAGGTTATAGTCAACTGCGTCTCCAATACATGTGCACCCCTGAGGAAGAGAGAGTAACATCAATGAGCTCGGTAACATGGTGGAGGTATACGTGAAAGTATTGTTATTACCTCATGACTGCTGCGCTGAAGGTTACGTCACGCCCCTTGGTCTGCCTATCCAGCTTGTTTTGTCTCTTTACTACATCACAATTAAGTGGTTTTGTGTTGTATGGGTGTTACACTAATAGGGATATTTGCCTAATAGCTATAACTTTTATGTATTTATTTGTTTTGAAACTTACGATTAACTAACCTAACCCAAGTTTTTATTATCATATCGGTTATCAACTTAATTCATCTAAAAATTCTAACCTAACCCTCCCGAGGAATCATTACATGCACGCGCACACACACTAACTCATTATTCATTTTTATTTTTCAAGATATTAATCAGACAATTGAACGCGAAAATATCTGTCCGCCAACAGATGGGTAACACCACAACTCTTCTGTGTCAAAATGAACGAAAAGTCACAGTTGAAGGCGGCAAGTGGTCGGCTATGGACGGGAAGACGTTTCTCACGGAGGAGGCAGCCTACAAGCGGCTCCAGAACTACTACAACAAAAATGGAAACAAAATTAATATTCTTCAAATGTTTAAAGAAGACCCCGACAGGTTCCAAAAATACAGGTAAGGCAATTTTCCCGAATTTGAAATTAATTTATGATTTTCTGCGATACCTTATAAGATAATTTTATTTGTGTCCAGGTGACTTTATTATAATAGTTATATTTATTGCGGCATTAATCGTGGTGTTTTAGATAACAAACTGATATATTTTGTTTAACTTATTAAAAATTATCGAATTATTGTTTCGTGTATTAGTATGAGTGTATAGTTTGTTAGATTCCCAATTGTTTATAAAGTTGATTAACCATTAAACCGCACTAATTCGGTAGTGGAGTGAAAGGGTAAGTGGCCCGCCCTTCTCTGCGTATAATTTAACAAATTTTATCTTTTTTTTTCCAAGGTGTCCCACCGTTATCACTCCAGGATGCTGGTAGATACTGTACTGGGAAAATTTTGATAGCGACAAATGTACGTGTTCTAATCACTGCTCGGGGAATGTACAGGGCGCAGCAACATCGTGATATGATTATTAATAAAAACAAAAAAATAGAAGATTGTTACTGTCGTCTATACATGCTCATAGTTTGAACTTAAGGTTGCATAATATTACCTGAAATATACAAAATAATGATATAAACAAGAGTTCCAGTGTAACAAAAAAAATTTAATTTCACGATTTCTGCCGCGTGTGATGACTGACGAGTGTTCATCATACACAGCGGATCTCCCGTTAATTACAACAGCCAACAGCTGGGGGTCCGGTTTGGAAGTTAGGTAAAGTTTGGTTGGTTAGGATAACAAGGTTGGGCACCAACCAACCCTATAACCTAACCTTACCTATCTTCCTAACCCCTCGGCAGGCTATTAAACCGGTGACGGCTGAATTACCATTACCTTTTTTCAGACCGAGGTTTACACTGACTTAGTTTTATTTAGAATACGTTAGTTAAGTTAAGATTAAGTTATATAAGGTTCCGGATCTAGATTCAGTTATATCTAAACCGTCAAAATATATTTGAGGGAAAACATTTCCTGTGACATTTCACTAAAAAACCACATATAACTTCTTTAGTTTTCAGTCGAAAAACAGGAAATGACGGTAAGAACGCCTGATATTCTTTGTTATGCTCGATACGTTAAGTTTTGTTTTTATATGGTGCGTCTTCAATACAGCCGGTGAGCAGCCCCGTGGTACAATCAGTTAGTTGGCCAACCCAAATACAGTACTGTCAGTCAGTCAGTCAGTTCACAGAATACAGTACTGTATCAAGCACACGTCCAGGTACAAGTCCATGCATGCCATATTCATGTTATTTTTAATTTTGCTAAATGTACAGAATTTTGATTTAGGCCTCATACTGTTAGATATACAGTTGCCATACCTGTACCCAAAACTAACCTTATTCGTCTACAATCTTTCAGTGTGATATTGTCAACACCAGATGACGGAGATATTTTACTTGACTACAGTAAACATCGCATCAATGAGGAAGTCCTCAAGCTTTTGTTTGATTTGGTAAGTCCAAGCAAATGTCAGTAAGTTAAACCTGAGTATTACATAAGCACTTCATATGCCTTCGTAATACAGTATTTAAAATAAAATCAATCATATATTTCAAAAGTTTTCCCTCACTTCATTAATGAATTGTATCCACTGTAGTGAGCTGCGGATTTAGAGGATGACTTTTTACTTTTACTTTTATCCTCTTCGCCACTGATCGGCTTGTTAGCCGCTTGGGCGATCGGTCACGTCTCTTTTCCTTTATATTCTTCACCAAAAGGTCGGCTCGCTAGCCGCCCAGGCGATCGGTCACGTCTCTGTCACGCACTGTTGGCAAATACTGGGCATGCACCGGCTCCTGAATGTACCTGAACCCGCTCCAGTGTTGGTCAAGTCTTCTTTCAACAGACAATCGCCCCAACATGCTTTATTAATGTAATTACATCAGTGAATGGTCATTTTGCAGTTTATTTAACCACAAAATATGAGATAACTATCTTTTGTATATCATGCTCTTAGTGCTCCTAAATATGTTTATTTTGAATTGCCAGAACACTTTTTACACAATGCAGTGTATAAAGCCATTAAATAATATTATCTGTTCAATTCAATTTCAATTGTTTATTCCTTGATAGAGGAAGCGGGATCCTAGTGCTGTCACTAGGTACCCCTGTAGTGTACAATGACACCAGAAGCATCTGGCAAGTGTGACAAGTATATACAGTATAAATATTGTAAAGGGGCTTACTAAAGCCTAAGGAAAGAAGGATATTCCTTTAACACATAATCAGTATTATTTACAAAATTATTATCTGTTTATGTCACTGTACTGTATAGTGGCACTGATTTCCATGGGTGTACTCTATATACTCATGTCAATAACTTAACACCCCAGGGCCCAGATTCACAAAGTTCATAACCGCCAGAGATTACAGTACTGTACTATATTAAACCTTCCACAGGCCAGAGCTCGCAACATAGATGGTTCTCGAGATGCTATGTTTTCTGGAGAAAAGATTAATTTCACTGAGGACAGAGCCGTCTTACACATTGCCCTACGCAACCGTACCAACACTCCTATAGTGGTTGATGGGGAGGATGTCATGCCAGCGGTTAATTCTGTTCTTTCCCACATGAGGGATTTTTGTGACAAGGTAAGAAATAGGACATGGCTGAAGTTCATCACACTCACACTCTGAATAATATATCAAGGTGAAAAGGGTGATTTGGGAACATCTCTACGAATGCCTCACGACAGTCAATATGCTTAAATTACACCATTCTATACATTTCATATTTATTAGATTTTTAGTCTAAATTTATGTTTTTTATTGCATTTTTTTATGTGAACGTTATTTTCCAGGTTATTTCGGGAGACTGGAAAGGTTACACCGGGGAGTCTATTACAGATGTGGTCAACATTGGTATTGGAGGCTCAGACCTTGGTCCACTAATGGTAACAGAAGCACTCAAACCCTATGCCGTTGGGCCTAATGTTTACTTTGTTTCAAACGTCGATGGATCACACATGGCAGAAACCTTGAAAGTAAGTTGTGAAATATTTGTCTATATAACTTGAGTGCATAGAAGCATACAGAATGATTGTCAATACATGTGTGTAATATACAACTGCCGCTTATATTTACCCTAACATGAAATTATTTTTGGTTTCTCAATTAGATCCTAAATCCTGAAACAACACTATTCGTCATTGCTTCTAAGACCTTCACCACACAAGAAACCCTCACCAATGCTACTTCAGCCAGAAATTGGTTCCTTGCCACTGCCAAAGAAGTAAGTATCTGTCATGTGTGATTATAAGAAAACTTAGTCATCAGAGTTATCAGTAATGAGAGATGTATGATAATGGCAATAAAATACACTAGTAAGAAGAGAGAAAGGTATTAAAAAAGTCACTGCAAGTCACAAAAATACTAAGCGAAGAAACCTTTTTACTACAGTATATATTTTTAGTATTTTTTTTTACCTGTGCTCTGTCAATCAGAATGAACTTAACTTACATCTTTCTCCTGTCAGGATTCAGCTGTCGCAAAACACTTTGTAGCTCTGTCAACCAATGGCCCTAAAGTGAAAGAATTTGGTATTGATGAAGCTAATATGTTTGGTTTCTGGGATTGGGTGGGTGGCCGTTACTCCCTCTGGTCTGCCATCGGTCTGTCCATTGCATTACACATTGGTTTTAACAACTTTGAGAAACTATTGTCTGGTGCTCACTTCATGGACGATCATTTCAGAACTGCCCCACTAGAGAAAAATGTAAGTCTTTTATAATATTACTGTACTGTACTGTCTTTGTATGCATTAATTCTTTCTTTCGAATATTTGAATTTATGTGGGCAGGTAAAGAATGTACAATATTTAATTTTCACTAAATACTCACGGATGAAGTGTCAAATACCTGTATACTGTATATCCAGTTGTTTCAAAAGACTCGAGAATTAGGAAATTAATTTGAATTACCCGATAGCATTTGAAATATTAGGTACTGCATTGTACATTCAGATTACAGTATTTTTTTAGCTTATGGATACTGTATCTTAGACTAAAGGTGACCTATATTATAGTGACAAATAACTGAAATAAGTTATTCTCTTGTTAGATTTTTTTTAATAATGGAATGTTTTGACAGTAGGTTTACAGATGTAATTTAACTACTGTATTGATGGATGGTATACATTCTCCTCAGCTTCCAGTAATCCTTGCACTACTGGGCGTCTGGTATCACAACTTTTATGGTGCAGAGACTCACGCACTCCTCCCGTATGACCAGTACCTTCATCGTTTTGCTGCGTACTTCCAACAAGGTGATATGGAATCAAATGGAAAGTAAGTTTGTGCACACTGTGTGGATATTCAAGCACTTTCTGTGGTACTCAATTTAGGTTATCTTTCTTTTCCTGCACTGAACATAAAAAAGAAATTAAATGTCTGAGATGATGATGTACATAGGTATGCCAATAGATGTGTGCCTGCGTGAAGCCTTTCTAAAGATTCTTTTGATGTTAAGGATTTTGTGAAGTTTTGGAATCAGGCCTCAGAATAAGACCTTTATACAGTACTGCACTATGTTTTCTGTGTTGTCAAATGGGATTAAAAGAAACCAGGTATGAGTTGGAATGTGTCCTCAGTATTAGTACGTATGCCTCAAGGATGTTATAAGTGGCGAATGGAAGTTAAGCCTCAGAAAAAATAAATATTTTGGCTAGGATAAAAGTCACAAGAACAAGTTGAATATATGATTATTACCCGTACTGGCTTTTAGATATTGTCATTATTTTTTGCAGATATGTTACACGCAGTGGACGTCGAGTGGAATACAGTACAGGACCCATCGTTTGGGGTGAACCAGGTACCAATGGGCAACATGCATTCTATCAGCTGATCCACCAAGGCACTCGCTTAATCCCAGCTGACTTCATAGCTCCTGCCAGATCCCATAACCCAATCGCAGACAATTTTCATCATAAGGTTTGTTGTTGGCCATAATACTCTGTACCCACACCCCTCTTTTAAACTCCTTGATTCTAACTTGTCCACTCATTTACGCCCTTCCCCCCTCCACATAATAATGACAGCCCCACCTTCCTGTTGCCTTCTTCCAACCAATATTCCCTTCAGTAATCAGATATTAAACAATCGTGGTAACTTGCATCTTGTCATACATTAACTTCCTCTCTTCTCGTAATCACCTTAGCTTAGACCATTTATTAAAAGGTAGAAAATGGGTAGAGTAATACAATACAGGCAGTTTATAAATGAGACTTAATATTTCCTTTTTTGCTCAACAGCTACTTCTGGCAAATTTCTTGGCACAGACTGAAGCTCTTATGAAAGGAAAGACAAGAGAGGAAGCCAAGGCTGAACTAGAAAAAACAAACATGCCAGTTGATACCCAGAATCGCATATTGCCCCATAAGGTGTTCGAGGGCAATCGTCCCACAAACTCTATCTTGTTAGAAGAACTCACCCCGTTCACCTTGGGAGCACTAATAGTCATGTATGAACACAAGATCTTCACTCAGGGAGTCATTTGGGACATCAACTCCTTTGACCAGTGGGGGTAAGACCATGTTGACATATACTGTACTCTACTGTATTAGTTGTTCAGTTAATAATCAGTCCTTGAAGAAATACAAGATAATGCTGTATATTTCACCTGTAATTAGTTTATTCACTCAAATTATTTTAACGTTAATTTCCCTTACAGAGTGGAACTTGGTAAACAATTGGCCAAAGCTATTGAACCTGAGCTCCAAGATAAGACCCCTGTGTCCTCTCATGATGCATCTACCAATGGACTGATCAACTTTATCAAGACATATCTGTAAATCTAGGCTATGATATATTATCTTGCCTGCTCAGTATATTTATGGGATGGTCAGTACAGTATTTGTGATGAATTGGGGACTTTAGTGTGAGGCTAAATAATGCTAGCAGAGAATAGAAACTCACTTGTTGTATGTAGAGAAGATTATGCTGTTATATTTGTTGTCAGAATGGGTTATAGGTAGAGTCGTACATTATTTTGATGAGTATGGTAATGAGAGAAATGTTGAAGATGAATACATGTAAAAGCATAGTCTTTGTACGTCTATATGAAAGAAATTGGCGCTCTTGTACATAATATATACCGTGTGATAAATACAAAAAATGAGAGATATATTAGCATAAATTAAAAGGCAATGGGAGGTACTGAACTGTAAAGCAGACCATCAACTGCAAGAGAATCAGGAACAATTTGATACTGTATTTTATAAAGTATAAAAAATGGCTGTGGTAGATCATCACTGCTTTGACTGTAATTTTATGAACCTTATTCTGTAACTAGTATATACAATATTACAAAAAAAATTAAGACTATCAGCCATTCTAACCTACTTTTTACATCAAATCCTGCCCCAGTGATGTGCAGGGGCGATTCTACGGGGGGGGCACGGCCCCCTTGATTTGCCCCCCCCCCCCCACTTTTTATTCTCAAAATTGTAATTCCAAAAACATTGCCAAAGCGAACCAGAAAACCTCGACAGAATGATGAATTCATTGTGCTGGAAACGACCGGTCAAAGATCTGACGTGAGTCATGTGCACATTGGCATCTTCTATGAAGTCCTAGACTGTTTGATTAGTGAATTAGACAGGCGTTTCTCCAATGATTCCTGTGGGATTTCAGCTCTGTCCAGAAGGACAGACATTCTAGTCTGAAGAAGATTTGAAGGCATTTGCAGTTACATACTCAGCCAATCAAAGTGACTTACAACAAGAGATGCCTCTGGTGAAGAAATTGCTCGTGAAGGAACATAAACAACCTTCATCGCTCGTGCAATTTATGTCATTTATATGCCCTTATAAGGCTGCATTTGACTGTTTGTATAAATTACTGTTGATAGCTTTAACTCTCCCTGTTACCAGTGCTTCATGCGAGAGAAGCTTTTCGAAAATTAAATTAGTGAAAACATTCCTAAGAAATTCCATGTCCAGTGACAGACTGAGTAACATCGCGCTACTATCGATTGAAAGCTCACGCGCTGAGGGAATTGATTTAGATTGTTTTGTCTACGAGTTTAGCAGCCGACACAATAATCGTACGATTAAGCTGCACTGAATATACTGTTACCGTCACAGTACCGCGTGAACTGAAACCGCACCATTGCCATTGGGTATAATGCAACAGTTGCATGCGGCGCCCATGTCTGAAAACGTAAACGTTGTCTCCATAATCTCCATTATGTGTGAAGCGTGAGATCATGAATTTTTTCGCTGATGTATGTACATACATTGTAAAGACACTGCTATATTTTTCAATGTTTGTTATGTGGTACACCCGCCCTTTATGTGACTATGTGAGCAATATTACAGTTTTAGAGATATGTTCAAGTGTGTCAATACCTCAATGAATCATGATTAGTGGAATAAGAGCGTTGCCATTATACCGCCATATGCTGATTATTTTAGGCTGGCGTCATGAGAGACGTCACTTCACATTTGTCAATCAAATTGGTGTAACAATGCCAAAAACAGCATCTTGCAAGTTGTACACAGGTTTGGTTTTGCTCCCCCCCCCCAACATTTACATTGGCCCCAAAGTGCCCCCTCCCCACTTTCCGAAGGCTAGAAACGCCACTGGTGATGTGTGGATCCATTCTTTAAAATCACATATTTCTTGGTGTATGTTGTTAATGATATAAAAGGAAGTGAACTGGACGATTACTTTAAGATGGATGTCTATATTCATATACAATAGTACCTTGCAGTGTCTAGTACCCTGAAAATATGTAGTCAGCCATTAAACAAGTCTTCTACTGAACAAAGAGTAATAGAATGTCCAGTGTATCAGTGGAGATAAATTTAAACCTTTCCGATATAGGAAGAACGTAGAGCTTAAAACTAGAATACAGTAAGATAGAATATTGTAATTTACAAAGACCTTTGTACAAAGCTAGCAAATTGTCTTGTACGTGCAGCTGAAAGTGGGATATAGACTTGGTGAACAGATGTACTACAATAGGTAGAATTAAATAACGTAGTACAGTACAATACATACAAGGCCTGGGACTTCACTATGTCACTGACAAGTAAAAGAAAAATGAGGTTTTCGAGGGGGAACAAAACACTTATTAATGAAAATATTTTGTTCAAGGCATCAAGGATTATCAGTTACCACTCATCCGGGAAGCCTGATATTGGTGCCGGAAACTGGGTAAGAAACATAGTAAATATCTCTTCTTCAAGGTCGAATAACAGAGGAACATCTTTGTAAATTATAATTCCTCTAGTAACTTCTGTTCTAGAAAGTTACACATATATGCTTTCTGTGAGAGCTTATCTGAAATCACATTCAGGTCAATTTGTCATCTTACAGTAAGCAATTAATTAATTGGTAAACTTGTACAAAAGTAATATATCCATACATGGATAATGGTATTGTAGTGGATTCCTCTCCTACAAACGCTGTTTGTCGCTGAGTAGCCGACCCAGCAAATTCCCCAGTGTATGCCTCGTGGTCTAGGTTAACCAGCGCCGCCTTACATGACGGAGGTCAACTATTAAGCCACGCCTACCTCCGCTATATAAGACCTGACCTCGTGGTGACCTAGCTCTTTCTACCTACACCAACTAGCAAGCAACACCTGCCTGGCGGCCCTCGCTCCCGCCGGCGAGCATGGCGACCCACAAGCTGGTCCTCCTCTGAGCACCCTCACCAACCAGCTGTCTCTACTCAACGCTTGTAACCAGGCTGCCTTCCCAGCACCAAGCTGCACTGTACGTCCAATACAATATGTATACAGAGAGCACATTGTGAGTTTCCTTTCTCCATCCCATCCTGAGTGTGAACCAACATCTCGTACCCCACAGTATAAATAAGTACAGTAGTCTACTCAAGTAACATATCTTGCTGCTGGCAGTCCATCTGTTTATTCAGCAGAATGTTATTACACTGTTTTGGCCAGTTTTGTCAGGTCTGCACAAATCATGTTCAATATTTAACTGAGTAAAAGCGACAATTTTCTGTACTTAGAGGTGAAGTTTGCAAGTTTTATTAGTTGTATAGTAAATCTATAATGGTCGACCATGGTTCTTAACGTTATACAGTATCTATAATCAACAGCAGGTGAGGGCAGTTGTACAGAGCACATGGCTCACCACAATGTTATCCTCTGCCACGGATCGGCTCGTCACGTCTCTGTTACACACTATTTACGCTCAAGTTTAGGTTACATTAGTTTGGTTCATTTGATGAAAGATACTACAGAGTCTCACTGAATAACACACCTGGGGAAAACCGTCCAGTTTTGGAAAAGTCGGGTGTCGCGATCAACTCCAGCATTACAACACAACCACTTAATTCCATCATTACTACACACACACACACACACACATCAGGGTTGCCAGATGTACGACAAGCTTCACGCCACCTTACGGCCAAAACTTTTTGGATGGGAAGCACAAGGCTATTTTTGCAATCCACACAAAATAAAAGTATCCCCTACAATATCCACTTAAAATGTCGTAATAAAACCAAATTTTCACTTAGAATTGAGAGCCCAATAATTACATAAACATAATATCTATAATCTACAGTGAAGATTTACCTTAATCTGAAATGGTGGTGGAGCATGATAATGGTGGAGAACTTGATAACACTAGTTGGCGTCAGCAAAAACGTCTAGTTCGTCATCGTCCCCTGGTTTGTTATGTTTTCTACCACTGTCGTAGGACCCTTTCCATTTACTAGTGGACATTTTGAAAACTAGCACTCGGAATTTCAGAAAGTAACTCAGATGGCTTTGTAAGCTCTGAAGCTTAACCCATATGCTGGACAGGTTCAGCCTGAACAACTCAAATATGAGAACCAACAACTAAGGTAGTAACGAGAAAGATCAGTCAGCTCAGTAGGTCACGTAAACATGTGAAGAGGCGAGGTCACGGATTAGGTGAGGTCACCGAGCCAGCATGTTCATTGTCAAATTTGAAAATCTGCTAGACTTTTCTTCAAAATCCACTAGATGAGGAATTAATACGTGTTTTTACAAAATACGGCCAAATAATTTGGCCGTGACCATCCGTTTTTTCACGGCCGGCGAAGTTTTTTTTACGGCCTAATTAGAGAAATTTGGCCGTGGAAACGGCCATCTGGCAACCCTGACACACACACACACACACATATATATATATATATATATATATATATATATATATATATATATATATATATATATATATATATATATATATATATATATATATATATATATATATATATATATATATATATATATTATATATAATCCTATATTGCCTCTCCTTCTCTGGGTATACAGAAGACGACATACTGTAATCAATATTAAGAACAAAAGAAACAATGAAAGTTTAGTTTTACGGAGACTTTTACTCTGATAGACTATTTCATTATATATTGTTTCAAAAAGGAAATAAGACTGAGTAGGTGTACGTTCTGTTAATGCTGAACTATAATGGTGGGGGAGTGGAAATACTATTAGGTCGACGAATTAAAAACGTCCTTTTGTTTTGATAGGAGAGGTGAGAGTAATATGAAGGACCACTGTCTATCATTGAGCAGTATTCAAATGGCTCCAAGATTATTTTCCCCGGTGTACAGACTACTGCAAGGTTTGGTTTGGGTGATCGTGCTGCAGCGCCACGTTTTTGACCCGTACCCTTCACCATTATTGTCTATCTCAGTGAACCATCGCTCGCAGTAGAGGAGAAAGCGAGGAAGGGAGAGAGAAATTGAACGTTATATAGAGAGAAAGAGGAGAAAATGGACGTTATATTTAAAGAAGATATTAAGATAGTCCCATAGTAATAGTAATTTATTCTAATTTATACACTTTACAATATTAGAAGATATGTTTAATGTTTCAGTCACAGAATGACCATTACCTTGCAAATTTCATGTTTCTTAAAGACGGTGCACATTAAACATACCTCTGCATTTAATTGTAATCGTTTGTTTTGCAATCATTCAAATACACTCTTTTGCTAAGTAATGTTTGTAGGAAATCATTTCCACTAGGTGACGCAGAGGAGCTTATATTAAACTATCAGGCGCTGACACACCCGACTTCCTTTTTCCTAATCGTACATCCGCCTTGTTTATCCTGGGGAAACCACACCTAGTATTTTTCTTATAATGTGATATAGTAGCCCATTGCCCAACGATCTTTGTGCACACACCAGAGAGGAAACTTCTCTCGGTCAATATCTCTTTTCTCTCCTCACCACCACCAACCAAAAAAAAAGGAAGAGTATTGATTATCATGCGGATATATTTTGGCCTTAACCCCCAATGAGAAGAATCCGGAACCCGCTTCTATATAGTTGGTACAATTAGCTATTACCTTATTTATTCTATAAGCCTGCTAGCTACGTTTCGATCAAGTAAGGAGGCGCAGAGAGAAGCCATTAGGTGAGTTTTATGGTCACAGTAGAGTATATATATGGCAAGATTCATGGGTTAAATATTTTTATTGGAAAATTTACCCCAAAACTTATACATGGATTCTGTCGTCTTCAAAACTCTCCGCCCTACCTACCTACCCTCCCCCCCTATAGTCCTACTACCGCCGGTGAGGAGGGTGGTGGTGAAGACTCATTAGTGGTCTGTGATAGTAAAGTGTAAATGACATGATTATAATGACAGATCACACAGTTTTATTTTACTAATTGCAAATCAGATGAAGTGACAAATATTGTACACTACATCAATTCGAAGAAAATGAAGAATAATACGGATGTGGGAAAAGTTGAGCGTTACAATTGCCTGACAAAGTGCGAAAATTACTGACGCTGGCCTCCACTTGACTAGCCCAGGAGAATCAAGGTTACTCATAACATTACAGTAAATAATATTCCGGTAGACCACGATAGAATATCAAACACTAATTAAAAGAAAAATGTCATTATCGAGAAGCACACAAAGGAAACAGAACCTTTATGTATTCAGCAAGGTCTGTACCTGTATTATTATTATGTCCGGGGAGCATCCGGAAGGCTTACTTTAGGCTTGAAGATACTGCAAAAATCCGTGAGAGTTGGCATGTTGGTATTATAGTACTAAACGTATGCCATCAAACACGAGAGAATGGTAACGAGAAAACATATTATGGCGGGTAGACTCTCGTTAATACCAGATACATGAAATTACGCAAGTTAATTTTATTTTCCTCGAAGAATTAAGTTTAAATTAATTTTCAGACATAATTTGAAATAAAAATCTGGTGTCTAGTATTTTTTAACTGCATATATGAGGAATTTAATAGTGAAGAGAGAAAAGTAAGTTTGTATGCAGTTGGCAACAATGTGGGAAGGGTTTGTTTACATCAGTCAGTGTAGTGTCAGGCCGAGTCCTCCCGCTCTGTCTCCTTTACTCCCTTAGTTGTGGCTTCTTCCCTGTGAGGACTGTTCATTGATACCTTTTCTTCTCTTCAGCCTTGAGGAGGAGTTGTTAAAGGTATTATTTTTTGACCAAGAGAGGGGAGCTAAGGCGTAGTAATGTCGTGGCTTTAGAAGTTGTGGAACGGAAATTAGAAGAATGGTGATGTTGGAAGGAAATATTTAGGAACTTTTTCATTTGATTAAGAACTATTAGTATGGTTGTGAGTGGTAATATTTAAGGTAATATCTCTAATTTTCGAATTTTCCTTTGAACTCTTCAATATGGATAAATTTACAGTTTCGTGACGCCCACTGCATTGTTGTATTGTTTTAGGTTTCCTGTTTTGGGTATATGTAAAAAAAAGTCAGTTTTTATATTTAAATATTTCATAAGGACTTTTAGTTGTTTTTTTTTTGGTTGTGTGTTATTTATGTGTCTTTATTTAGTCCCACAACTCCTGTGGCTCTAGAGTGATCCAGATCAACTCCCCTGAAGTAAGGAGGGGTTGAAGGTGGAACACATTTATATGAGGTATAGAGTGACTGAACATTTAAAGAAACTTCACCTAGTTTTGGTGTAACAGAAAATTCCTAATTGTGAATATATGTAACAAGTGTCAGTAACAAATTTCTTGATTTTGAGAAATCCAAGCCACCTTATGTCAGTAGCCTAATATGGTAAAGGTGTAGTAGGGGCTATACAGTACAGTACTTGTTTAATGAAATTTTCTTTGACTGGATATTCTTGTTACTCTTTATACAGTACGGTATTAAAAACAATTGGCACATAAATTGTAGTAATAGGAACAAGGGTCCGGGTTAACCAACAACGTTAGAAATTTTTCTTTAATAGACACCATCTTTCTTAACTGGACTGTAGTTTCTTAGATGATATTTTTTAAGAAAACAAATTATGGTTTGTTATCCCTTGTTTAAGGGTTAGTTTATATTGCCTTTACAACCTATTATGTACAGCATCTTATATATATTAAAACAAATATTTATTTCCAGATTAGACGAATGTGATGGGTGATGTTAGTGAGGATGATCTTGAGGTTATACGAAGTATACTTGTGGAAGTGCAACTCGCTCAGTTTTTTACACGGATACGTGATGACCTACAGGTAAACTGAATTTCTGTTAGCTGTGAGTTGTTTGGCCAACACCAGAGTGTAGTTTAGGCTGCTTAACAATGGTTAATCATATGTTTTAATCCACACATCTACCTCCTCTCATATGTTTCTTTTATAGTCCTTGACCCATGTGTATACTGTACCCTCTGAGGAAATTATTCATTCACATTTCACATGCTATTTCTTTTTGCAAGCACAAGGTGACTGCTGTGTTATGTGATAACCACAGCATCATTTAGGAATCTTCAATTGACTGTCTTAAGATTACAGGACTATTCATATACCGTCCTGTACAATATGTTCATTTTTTAACCTTTTTGAAATACTGACACAATTCCTTGAATGCAACATTGTGTACTGCACTGTACATGGCAATATAAGAAATTTGCACATATCTGAAAATCATGAATTGAAAATTTATACAAGACTTACTTTGAGCAATGAGAAACCTTGGTACTGTATTAATTATATGATAGAAATCTTGTTAATAATGTTTATTTTGAAATTGTATAAAAACATCAACAAAATTCAGGTGCAGCAAGCACTATCCTGTGACCAGAGTAATTGGGTCGTTTACACTGTTAGGTGCCAACAGAGCATCAGAGGGTGAGAAGGTGCTCCTTTCAAACTCAGAGATCATGGCTGAATAAGGGAGTCAGACCAGAAATTTTATCTACTGCTATGGACTCAAATCTACTAAGCCCTCAAGTGGCATAAAAGCGTATCTCAACAATAATAAAAAAGGCAACTACAGGGTTAATCATTTGACTAAACTACCGTATAATACTAAACATAAACTTCATCATGTTACAGTTTAATGAGATGTTACATACATTACTGTAAGTTAACTTGATCATAGTTGCAATAAAACTAATTTGTGGAAGAAATGATAGTAATTTGTCTTCAAATTTGTTTTGTGGGCCGTATTAGTGTTTGCCTTCGACTATAACCCTATTACATTAGCACCTTGTACCTCTACGTCGATTAACTTCACAACATTGTTGTTTGTCGTCTGGTTTATCATTGGTCACAAACAAAACTGTAGCTTCTTGGTTTGTGAAGACATTTATATAGAATTGTAATTTGAGAATATTTATAGTAACTTAACTATTTTTTTTTCTTTTAAAGGTGACAAAGCTAAGTCATTTTGAATATGTTCATACCGAAGACTTGGAACGCATTGGCCTTGGGAAACCTGCGGCCCGGCGTTTATTGGAAAGCGTCAAGAAGAAAAGATCGGCAGCATGGAGACGAAACCTGGTGTCCAAGATATTGTCAACTGGCAGCTCTACCTTAAGTAAAAATAAATCATTGCCTGTAGTCGATGAATCACAAATGTCATCTTTGACATGCCTAATTCAAGAAAAGGTAAGCGATGGTAGGACTGTAATGATTACTATAACATCTTGAGAAATACTGTATGTTGTTTGAATTTTAAAAGCACTAAGGAAATCTTTCTGTATTTAAATGAATAATAATTTGCTTCTGGACAGGATCTTGTTCAAGGTCGCAAGTTGGGTGATGGTAGCTTTGGCGTTGTCCGTAGTGGTGAGTGGACTACTTCGAGTGGTCAGGTGAAGGAGGTATGTAGTTGTTTGTGCTTCTTGTTTAATGTAATGCAAAGAAGTTTTGTGTTGTTAGGATTGTCATTGACTCTTTAAATGAAATCAGGTTACATATGGCCGAGTAACAAAGTTTTTACATGAGAAAATTTTATCTGTATTTATCGTTATCTTTCAGGTAGCTGTAAAAATATTGAAACAGGATGTAATTAATGTTCCTGGTGCACTTGATGACTTCATCCGGGAGGTCCAAGCTATGCACCAACTTTCCCATCCTAACCTGATACAGTAAGATAATGGAGGTGGTTGTGTGATGCTGTTTCCTATTCATTTCTGTGGATGTTTGTATTTGTGTGAAATGAGGAAAATTATTAAACTTTTGACATGCTTTTCAGTGCTACTATAGTGTGTAGTCTACAAAGGTATCTTTCGTCTAACCTATCCCTTACCTAACCAGACATAACCTAACCCTTATCTAGCCGGATGTAACCTAACCTAACCTAATGTGGTACTCAAGACCATGTAGAAGTTCCTGCTTTCATTTGGTACTCTCAAAACTTAAGGATTAAATCTGCATTCAAATTTTTTATGCCAATTTTGTCCGGGTATTTGTTATGAAGAAAGGATTTGTGCATTTCCTTAACCATGGGTGACGGGAATGAATTTATTACTCTCAATTCTAATATTCAGGTATTGTCAACAGGTTGTTTGGCATTGTTCTTTGTAACCCTTTGATGATGGTAACTGAGCTGGCTCCCCTCGGGTCCCTGTTGGATCATCTTCATAAACAACTCAACCAAGTATCTGTTACGTGTAAGTAATTAATTAGCTCCTTCTTTGTTCCTTATTAGTACAATGAAACCTAGGTATTGGTGTTATTCAGTTTTATCATTTTTGTAATTTTTTTCAGCTCTGTGCGATTATTCTGTACAAATAGCGAATGGAATGAAGTACTTGGAGAGTCGGCGCTTCATTCATCGTGACCTTGCTGCCAGAAATGTGCTAATGGCATCTGTAGATAAGGTGAGTTGAATTATAACTTCTTCATCTATGAAAGGTTAAATGAAATACTGTTTTGTAATTTTGTACTGCACTCATTAATGATACTTAAGTGTAAATCTCTAAAGGATATTTTCATTACAAGTGGATGATAATATTAGATGATTCCAGTATATGTGCTTGGTAGTAGGACCATGGTTTATATTGAGCCATATCAATTTAGCTGGTTAGTATAGCTAGCTGGCTGCTCAAATGCTGTATATAAAAAGTTTTAACTGTATAATATAAACTATCTGTCAAGCATGTCTATCCTACTCTCCCTCGTGCCATATAAGTGTATTAATGTAATATTCATGCTGTTGAATCTTTCCCTAGCTGAAGATTGGTGACTTTGGTCTTATGCGGGCATTACCCCAACAAGAGGACTGTTATGTGATGACGGAACAGAAGAAAGTACCTTTTCCTTGGTGTGCTCCAGAATCTCTCAAATCCAAGCAATTCTCACATGCTTCAGGTTAGTGTATTGACCAAACCTACAATTTACAACAGAGAGATCAACATATTGCATTTGTTTTTTCATAAACATCTTGGTAAATTAGAATGTTACTACTGTATTGTTCGCAGATGTGTGGATGTACGGAGTGACAATGTGGGAAACGTTTACTTTTGGAGAGGATCCGTGGGTTGGGTTGAATGGACAGCAAATATTAAAGAAAATTGACCAAGAAGGAGAACGCCTTACTTGCCCACCTGCCTGTCCCAGTGATATGTATGACCTTCTGCTGCAGGTGAGGATAAGAGTACAGTACTTTATAGCCAGTAAATTGTAAGATCTAAATACTTTGTGATACATTTTGGCACCTTATGACACATTTTAATACTGTATCTTGTGACACATCAAACCATACGACATATTGTGAGTGACACCTTCCGACACATTGCCTGTATGGTAAATCAACTTCTCTGTATACAATTTACGAACATAAACATAAAAGTTACCAGAAATTGTTTATAAGAGGCCAGCTTATGTTGATTATTTTTTTTTCTTATTACATTACGTTCCTGACTGGTAATAACAACAAATATAAAACAGCTTTACATTTTTTTCAGTGTTGGTCTCATGAGCCAGGTGAGCGACCAACTTTCACCCAGATATACGAGCGTGTGGCGGCCATAATGCCTCACGTTATGAGGGCTTTGCAGATGTGGGATGAAGAAGGAAGACTAAAGGTGGAAGTGGATGACCTTTTAGTGGTTATTGATGGCAGGTGAGGTATAACACATGATGATCACTTTCCAAAGTTCATTGTTCTTTAGCTTGTGTCATCCTGAACTTGGAATCCTTTCATACCCAAAAGGTTTAAAATAATCTTCCACAAAAGTACCATACTTGCCTCTGGGTCATGTTCTTGAATACATTGATCCAGGGGCCTTTCCTCTTTCCAAAGGATGTGAACCTTTGATTTTATCAGCTTCAGTTTAGAGGAATGTTTCATGGTGGCAGTACAAACAGGCAGTGGCATAGATTTTGAGCACTTTAAACAGAGATTGATAATATTTTCTTACTTGTTTATTAGCATTGTCTTTACATCATTTTGTGAACTTGAATATACAAATGGAAGACATTCAGTTCTGTCAAAACCTTGTCTTGGTCTTGCAAATGGTGTGAAATGCTTTGACAGCTTCAGTTTGTACTTCACCTCAGTTTGACGAGACTGTGAGGCGTTGTAGGGAGTTCAGAACTGTGCCTCAAGGACTTTTCACTTTCCTTTTGAATCTTCTTTGTATTTCTTGTGTAATCATGTCCAATAAGGTAAAATGCACCTTACTATGATCATACTCTGCCAAAGTTTACAAAGAATGGTCCTCTGTTGCTGATGTGGAGTTGTAGTTGTTTTGTTGGCATTTTCAAAAACCACCTTAAACTTTTCTTCTGTCCTTGATATTCTCAGTCTTTTCAGCATTATATCCAGAAGCTTGAAGGACGGCGAGGTCAAGGTCTTGATTTTGTATATTTTCCACTAGACAGAATGTAAGGGAGATGATTTATCCATCTTTTGCAGTCCTGAAAACTATTGGTGGAAGGCTCAGAACCAGAGGACCTTTCAGATTGGAGACTTCCCACGCTGCATTGTTGATCCTCAGAGACGATTGGCTAACCAAGACATAAGCCAACCTCTCCAGAACTCTTTTATTCATACAGGTATTAAAGGAATTGCATAAGTTTCAGTCATTACTTGCCAATAAAGAATGTTCTGAATAAGAATTTGTTTTAGCCTTTTATGTACCGACTGTACTGTATGGATTTATGCTTCAATGCTTCAATTTTACCTTGTTCTTTTATTGTTACTTCTAGGTCATGGAGGAATACGAGGAAAAACTTGGGGCAGTCCAGCCTTTATTGATGATATGTACCTCAGGAACCCAATGGAACCTCCAGATAAACTTGGAAAACCTATGTCACCTCGCAGAGTCAGTAAGTAGAGTGGCCAATGTATTCCTTTAAACTTATACGTATCTTAGAAATGAGCATTACATGTACACCGGTAGAGGCAAACTTGTGACACTTATTTTACTTAAGCTTCATGTTCAGCTATTTGTTAGAGCATTCACGTGTAATTATTAAATTTTGAGGAACACTTTTTTGATTATTGATATTATAAGTGCAGAGATGTTTTTCTTGCTCATAAAAAATTGCTGAACTTATATTAGTGGTACAGTATTATAAACACGTAATAAAATAATTTATATACCTTGAACAATGCCTTAACCCTGAAAAATATTAGAAGTTACCGGTATTGTAATTCCTTTTCAATGAAAATCTTTGAGCATGTTTCATTATGACAAAATGACAATGCACTACCAAATTGTAATCAGTCATTACTGTTTTCTGGAGTAACTAAACTAATGTACTGTACATATATTTAATTTATTACAGAGCACCAGTCACTGCGCCTAAAACAAGGTCAGCGACGACAGTTTAACTACAACCGGTTAGTAAATGAAAAGTGGCCAGATGATTTGCCTCGCTCTCACACTCTTCAAGCTCAGAAAAAAACACCGCATGGAAGGTTAGTGTTGTGGAGGAACTTTAACCCTTAAAGGAAATGGTTGTTTGACTTACTGTTTCATTTGCATAACCATAAAATTTGAATAAAAGAAAATTTCTTTTTTTCCTGTACTGTATAAGAGCTTGTCTTTTTTCTTAAATATTGATTTATTTTCTCTAAGTACTTTTAAGGAATTATTGCACTTTAAGTTAAATATCCTATTGTAATCAAGTGATATAATTTTTTGTTGTGCTTTAAATAACCAATAGAATATTTTAAACCGTGAAAGTTACATATAAAGGAGCTGCTTAGAGACTTTTTTGGTGATACTGCACCAGCAAAACTGAGTAGATTGTATGGATACTGATATACTGTATTATATTCTGTCAAATGAATTTTTATCTACAGAGATGAAGTCTTGATAGATCTGTCAGAAGCTGGACGGCAGAGATCCCACTCTGTTACAGATCTCAGAGGCAGTGGCTCATCGGGTGTCACTAATCAGTTAAGGGGCAGTGCCTCTTCCCTAATTGACCTACCAGTGCCAACCACTACTCCAGTGTATGGAAACATCACTCCTGGTAAGTTCTGACTTTCCACGACTGTCATAGCATAATCTAACAGCTCTAGATCCCTGTGTTTCCACGTTCAAGTACATCACCTTTTCTCTTGTAAATATTCACACTCACGCTCTTCAGCTAGTTAACTGAAACAGTTTACTCCACCAATAATCACAGCTAATTCACACAAATGTGGAAAATTACTGTTAAATAGTGGTAATGCTGATGACAGGTCATTCAGCATGTGACCTATGAGATTATCTGAAGATTATCAAGAAAAATTCCAGTATTTACAAGCCCAAACTTTAACCTCACCACATTTTTTCTATGGTACACTACTGATAATTCCCTTTCTTACTTATATATTACTTGTAGGCGTTAGCAAAACTTTACTTGCTTGTTAGCTGAATGAACATGAAATAGTATATTACAAAGTACTTAAGATAATTCTAACTGAGTATTCAGCACTAGCTTGTGTGAATATACGATGACTTTAGGATTTGAAAAACCATGGCAGGAAGATTTAAGGTATATTGCAAAAATTAATTGAGTCTGGTGTAAAGCCTTGATATTTATGAGTCATTTATGAAATATGTGTACAGGGAGACTATACAGAAATGATCTCTTCACAGGAGTTGATGATCAAGGTGGTCATCCAACATATGAGAATGTAAGCAGTGCCTCACATGCTGTTGCCATGGGAGTGGCCCAGCAACCTCTCAGAGTACCTCTCCGTCCCTGCCCAAGCCCACCCATCCACCATTTACAAAAGAAACAACAGACACAAACTCAGATTCATAACCAAACAAATGTTCAGCCTCTGAATAAAGTCCAGAATTGTGAGAATCACCAACCAGACCAAGAGCATCATCGACAAGCACCACCCATACCTACTGTATATTCTAACTCTTTTTGTGACTCGTACGATGATTTTGACGATGACTCTGATGAATGGGATGATGATTTTACAAGTGTGGGAGAAGACTCGTACTCGGCAGAGACCAATACGATAGTGGAAGCTGATGATCAGAGTGCAAGTGGTGCAGTCCAGTACAGCAGTGATATAAATAGTGGAAATAATGATCTAGCTGTTAATGAAGTTAATACTAGCAGTCATCATTATTCTAGGACAAATGAAGCTTCTGACCCATTTGATACATCTCATGTCAGATGCTATGATGAGCCTCCCGTAGAGTTTCCAGATAATAGTTCAAACCTTGACAGAACTCTTTGCCAAGGTTCATTAGGAAGTTCATCATCTGTTAGTCCCAAGGTGAACTTTCCCACAAGTATTTTTTCATTATCAGCTAATCAATCAAACTCAGAAACATGTAATTCTTCCCCAGTGAACAGTTTAGTGTTTAGTTCCCCAGGAACAAGGGTCACATCAGGTGAATCCTCTCTCATAATCAGTTCACACAGTGGTACCTCAAGAACTCCAACATCTGTGGCAGTTTCTCCAAATATAAATTCTTTGCGTGATTCAGTTGTGACTGGAGCGTCTCACAGCTCACAATCTGTAAAATCAATCCATAATTATTTCCAAAGTAGCCCCACTGTACAGTCAAGCAACATGGCTGTATCAACACAGGCCTTTCCTTTAATAAATAATAATTTAAATGTATCAGGGTCACACCCTACTCACGGTGCTCATGAAAACAGTGATGTGACGGATATAAATGCACAAATAAGCAGCATGTGGATCAGCTCCATTTCCCAATCGCCAAACTCAAATTTGTTACTACCCATCTCTACACCACAGGCAAGACCAACACCAAGGACAGGACAAGACCATACACCCACGTCAATGGTGTCTTCACCTTCCTCTTCGTGGCCTAATAAACAATTGGTGCATAAAAATCAGGGTAGACAGGTGGCAATTCTTCATCCTACTGTTTCAAGAGAATCTATGCTACAACCTGCTCAGATGTCATCCATAGTGTCTTCAATACCAACTCACAGTCCTCAGCTTGCCTTGCCAGCACCGCTGACTCCAACTACTGCTGCACTACCAAGATTAGATCCAGCTTTCATTGCCGAATTGGAAAAATCCCTTGGAAAAGACCAAGTGTCAGCAAACATCTTTACTGATAAAGACAAAAAAATTGATAATTCTTCAAGAAATTCATTTTCGCCTAGAGTTGCAGCACCTTGCCAAGGTGATCGACATTTTGGGGCTCAGAATATCCAATTGCCAGCTCTTCCACCTCCACAGCAAACAATTGGCTCAAGACAAACAAATTTAGGTGTTGCAACCATACCTATGAGTGAAAGCCAGAGTAATCTTAGACCAGATACCAGGGTTCAGCAGGTAGAACCAAGTAGCAACAATAGTGCCTTCTCAGACTTGGATGTTCTTACCTCATCAAAAACTTTAGGTGTGCTGCCTCAACAAATAGTAGATACCGGTCAGTTCTTCCCAAAAACTGCTCATGTGCGACCCTTCATGCAACACCCCCCAACCACAACAACCAGCATGAGAGGTATGCCTGCAAGGAGCCTGGGGAACCTTTCTCAGAATCAACGCCCTACAGGAAGCATATTCCAGCAGAGCAGGATCATTTCTACATCAGCAGTACACACATTAGCTTCTAGTATGCCTCAAAGTGATGTTAGAAATACTCATGAGGAGAGATGGTCAAGCCAGTTTGAGGGTATGAGAGGCACTACTACAGCCTCCAGCATGACTGGTGTTTCTCCAGGATTCCAGATGAGTTACAGATGGCAACAACCACAACAGCAAGTACAGATGAGTCAGAAGAGCATGACAACATCTGTCTCAGCTTCTGCGCTTCCGTGGGTCGAACAGCAACAGCAAAGTCACTATCAAGGTTACAATCAACACCACCAAGATGGACCTGCACCTCAGAGCTCTGTATTACAGCCAACAGTTGTTCTTAGTCCACAGTTGACTGTTAACTATAATCAGGTTAGTGATGTGTAATATGATCTATTTAGTCTTTTCAAACCGAGTTTACTGTACCAGAATCTCACTCGTTCATTGATCAATTATTTTACCTATAATTCAGCCTGTGTTGAGTTCACCTTAAAATGGAGTACTGTACAGTCATTTGCCAACAGATAAAAAAATAAATAAAATGCAAATACTGGTAAAAACATTTAACAAAAGAAACATGCTCAGTGGGTGAGAACCATTTGTTAAGGTGTGTCATGATGTCTTTAAGGATATTTTTGTGGCTGAGTGATGTGGGAATTAATTGCAGGGAGTGTTTTGGGTTCATGTACGGTAAACCCAAAGTTGATCCATCTTAAAACTGGTCTTTAAGTACACAAGTAAGTTAGTACTGTACTGTAAATACAATAGGCCATCAAAAATTCAAAGTTACAAGATAAAACCCGCTTTCTTTTTCTAAATTGGGACCCCGTACACAAGTGATTAATCATCTGCACAGTATAGTTAATTTTCCTACATTTGGAGATCCTTGGCAAGTTTTCCCCACCATTAGTCTGAACATTGATGTGTAATTACTGAATAGAAATAACTGATTACCTTTGATTGCCTTAGTATCCTCGCTACATCCTATCGAGGAAAAAAGGATTATTGCTGTGATTTTTATCCTCTTTCCAATAAATATAATCGTCCACTATTCATCTGTTTATTATACACTGGAAGATTAAGAGGAAGGAAAATGTTGGTGAGAGATATTTATTTATTTTTTATTTTTTTTTACTCCTTCAACATATGATGTGGGATGGCTAGAATCAATAATAAACACACGCAAACATTCAGATGCTTCCTTTATGTGCTTTCATGCTTTTATTCTTTTTGATGTAATAGACGTATTGCCATGGTACTCCCCTTCCATAACACGACCCCCAAAATACCCATCTCGCTTATCTCTGTCACTTCACATGAATTGACATACAGGTGTTGCTATAAAAAGTATGATACTGCACTTTGGTGAAAGTATATCCACCCCTGATAATACAAGAGATTGCGTTAAATCTTATTTTAGTATTTCAGATGATGAGGGTAATAAAGCTGTTTTTATATTGATTTAAATGCACATACCCAGTGTATATGAAGACTATGAAGTACTGTATACTGTACTAGTTTTCATGAATGTACTTATCATGTTTATTTCTTGAGTGATTGTATAGTGAGAAAGGAAATTTAATAGCATAATTTTCAATACGTTAATGCTCAATATAAAATCAATATTTGACCTTTAAATGTAAAATACTGGCAAAACACTTGTGAAGTTCAAATAAGTTGTATAAAATCATAGTCTAGGAAAAAATAACTTGTCATTAATGGACAAATTCGTGTTACATGAAGTGAATAACCCAATTAACTTTCAGCTAGGTAACAAGGTGCTTTTTATTATTTACCGTACCTACTAAAAGCCTGCATGATTGCCCTGCATCCTACAGTACTTGCTTACATCTTACTGTGTTATATCTTCTTGCATCTTACTTGTTTCCAATGTGAGGCTTGGCTTGCAGATGGTGTGTGGTGGTGGGAGGAGCAGTAGTGGGGGTGTTGGTGCCAGTGGGGGAGAGGCTCTGGTTTGCCGTGTGGCTGCTGTGGTACCAGGGACTTCCGAGGCTGCTGCCCGCCAGGCACTTCATGTAGCCAGTGGTGATTACCAGGGTGCTGTACGCTTCTTAAAAATTGAGAAGCTTTACAGGTCAGATTGACAGCTTAGGTTAACCATCCAAAGCTTATATTGATAATAGTTTGTAGTCTAGTTGGGTAGTCTTGAAGGTTGATTTTGTGATTTAAGTTTTATAATGAGTGCAGACATGTACATGCATGGAACTTTTTCACTTTGCATGTAGATTCTTTACTTTGCCTGCATCCTATGTATGTAGGTGATCCATCAGTGAAGATTCTCCTTCGTGTTGGTTACAGCACTTACTAGTACAGTACAGAAGTTTAGTTCTCTCACTGATTCCTGGAGTTGTCTTCTCAGATTTTAAAATGAAATTAAACCTTTATTTAACTGAGTAAATACAAGTTCAGTAATTCTCATTTATAGCAAGAGTTCCATTCCTGAAAACCTTTTGCTATGTACAAAATTGGGATATGTATTTCTGGGAAGGAATTTTTGGGGTCAAAATTTTCATACAGAAGGAGTTAAAATTAAAAACAGTCTTTTATCCACCCCAAATCCTTGGATTTCAATTTCTGTTCACTGAACTTTCATTAATTCAGAATTTCTGCTAATTCAGTACTTTTTTGGCACTGCCAAAATTCCAAGTTTAAATTAAGATTGGGTGACTGGCAGCTAGGGAAGCACATGCAATGGTTTGGCATCTCACAGACAAAGCCCATTCTTCCCTCAGTGCATTCTTGTATATGCTTTCACCTTTTGTTACCAATATGGCTTTGAAAAACCCAAGGGCTTCTGTTGCCAAGAAAGGCTGTTGAAAACGTGTAGCTAAGTTCAGAGGGAAATAAAAAGAGCTTTTCTATAGCTATGAAGTTCACAGTTTGGCATCATAACAAAATGGGCATGGAAATTAAAAAAATACAGGGTACAGTAATTCGACAATGTCAATACAGGTATTTCTGCATTGCCAAAGAGCCCCTAGAGAGTTGAAGTAATGAGGGTCTAAAGTATTAGGGGGAGTGTCTGTTGTCTCTCTTTGTCCTTTTAGAGGCCAACTCAGACTCTGCTTCAAGGGCCTTCTCTTCCACAGGTGTGATGCTTCCTCAGCTGATGAACTGTATTTAATTTTGTAGTACTGCCTTGTGCATCTTAATTCTCTTAGGATTTTTTTTTCTTGTTATTCTTCTTCATCTGTCAACTCATCCCTACTTCAGTTACAGAAATTCAGTATAGGTACCGGTACTTCAGAATATTTCCTATTTCATGTTTGGCTCTTCATATTCTAGCCATGTCTTTTACTAAACTTCTCTCCAAAATTACCATGACAGATATTCTCTTATCATTGTAACCTTAAACTAATCACCAATGTCTTCCTTCAGGCAACACTACACCTTATCTTCGACTATTTGTTGTTAATGTACACTCTATGAAGATGTAAATTTTAGTACAGTACTGTATTACATGTTTTTCGGCTATATTTGTATAACTGGATGTTCCTGCTTCAGGTTGGGCATGGCAAGCAAAGACGAATGTGAGAACATCTTGGAGGCCAATAGTTGGGAGCTGGAGCGGTCAGCATCAGCTCTTCTTGATAAATATGCTTAGGTGGAATTCCTAGGAACATGTGGCATTCTATATATTACTTGGGTATTATTTCCCAACAAAAACTACATATGGAAAGGACACAGAACCTATATGGAAGAAAGTTGTTATATTATTGAGGACTTCCACATCCGAACAAAAATTACAGTATCATCTTCATAAAATCCAAGTAACTAATGGACACACGTTATACATGAATATTCCATGAGGTAAGTTTCTTAATTTACTGTAATCTTATTTGTATTGAAATGTTAATATGGGAAACCTGTCCTTTTGGATGATGTGCTATGCTTGAGTCTCTTGCTTTTAGTTTGTAGGACTTGTTCATTGTTTCATTCATGAACATTACAGTACTTCAAGTTTTCAATTTATGCCAGTGATAATGTGTTACTTTTTTTTTATATATGTTGGAAGCCCATATTGACAGTTTTGAGGATGTGTTTAAAATTTCATTAGTGTTAAGTTGAGAAGACAAGTACAGTAGTACCATATTTTTGCTCACCTTGGGGGATTTATTCAGGAAGGGTTTAGAACTCTTTTTTTTGTTTCTTGGGAACATTGAAAATCAAGTGAAATGCTTTAACTCTCTTAATATGTTTGAGATTAGTTACCATAAGTTTCAGGATTGGTGTTTCTATAAAGGAAAACTCTCTGTCTATAATACTGTACATGGGATAAAGGAGAGCAGGCAGGTATGATTTGACATATACTGTATTTCATTCCTATAACTGCAGTTAATGTGAAGGCAAAACAAGTGATCTGATTATTGTGTTCGTTTTGATACATTAATACTACTTAAACTAGAAAAGTATTGCTTAAACTACCGAACAAAAAACTGGACATGAAATGGTGCATCTAGTTTTCTATAATCAGAGCCTTGAAATTTACCTTAGAATATTAAGTGTACTCTACATATGTTTTTCAATTTGTCTGATTATTTTAAGCTTTACTTCTCAGTTTAAGTGGTATTAGTTTTATGTAGGTTCACAAGGTTATACATCGGTGGGTGACTAGTCGTGAAGCATGAGGCTGTGGAAAGCTAAGCAGTGGCAGAGCTGTGGTGAGCTACAGTCTGGGTAAAGGTCTGTTAGTTTTGTTTAAATATATACATACAAGTAACATCTTGAATCCTCATTTTATATATATATATATATATATTTTTTAATGTTGCACATTTAGTTGTAATATGTAAGAATTCATATATTTTGCTATTTAGTAATTGGTAGTTGTACTTCTGTGATTATTGGAGGATATCCAGATTGTTGCAAGTGAACTGTAAATCATTTGTTGAGCTCACACTGCACTTGGCAGTGGAAACTATACTGTTCATAGAGAATGTGAATGGTATGACTACATATATTATCCTATTTATGATCATACATATGTACATATATGTTCATGCCTAATTTTAAAGGAGGAGGAACTTAAGTAAATGAATCTCAATGTCAATTTATGGAGGTGTAATTCACATAATACTCATTATCCCCATTTACTGCATATTAATGTATTTTTATATACAGTATCATAATATCCACTCATACCACTGAGGGTTGAGTGATGGCTAATTCAAAGATAAAGGAAATACTTGGAGAATTCAAACAATGTGCATGTTTTGTGGTACAATAAGGCATTGACATTATTGTAAAGATATATACATTTTTGTCACATGTTATATAATACAGTATTTAAAATCCAGATATTTTTGCTTCCTGTGTAACTGTATGTCTCTCGGTCTGTATCATGGTGCCTTTTCCTGCATTCAAGGCATGACTGTGTGTGCAGAACTTTCAGGCAATGTTAAAGTTCTGGTTGAATTTCCCACTCATGAGTTGAGAATGTACAGTTAAGGATTCACACTACAGGTGTCCCTCGCTATATGAATGAGTTAGGTTCCTGAAAAGCCATTTGTTAAGGGAATTTTCGTATAGTGTATAAAAGATCAAATGGAAAAAAAATGCTTCGGTTCCCCAATAACAAGAAAACCCCCAATATCATACCTCAAAAACATGAAATCGGTTCACAAACAACAAAACACCTACCTAACCAATGATAAATAGTACACAACTACTGTAATTTGCTGCCTAACACATTAAAAACATTAATAAAATACTATTTAGACAAAATATGCAGCTAAAACCACTAGGGAAACACTTAATGAAAGTTTAACACAGCCACCATTTGCATAGATGCTGACTGTATCACATGTGGCAGCCCTCAAGCCTTGCCATAGCAACCCATCCCGGCTGGGGATGCTCCCTCTCCCGACCCTCAGCAATGCTCCTCCTCCCGCTCTCACATGCAAAGAAATGTTTATTCCCTTTGTTTTTGACCTTATGATAGTTTTTTTTTTTTTTTTTGCAAATTATGTAGGATTGTGTGTGCATGGAACTCTGTAAAAAAAAAAAAAAGAAAGAGAAAAAGTGAAGAAAGTTTATCTATCCAAAATTATGAGTTGAATATAACCATGTCAACTCCTACCTCAGCCTGGTAGGGAGAGCGCTAGGGGGTGTGGCCATCCCAGCTGACTCCTGGGGGCACGCTATTTGAATTTTTTCCAGGACCCGAATTTGTACAGGCATGAAAAAGAAGTGGGTAATTTAGGAAATTCGTATTAGCACATTTTTGTTTCTCGACCGTTCGTATAGCAAAGGATACTTGTATTATGAGTTTTCTGTATTTCTTTTTCTAATATGGTACTTTATATACCAGTTCCCATATTTCCATCGGAAACTGAATATGTTTGATAGGATAGAATAGATTTGGATGTCATATATTTAGAGCTTTATACAAAGTGGTTTTGTAACCAGTGAGATTTCCAGCTCTGGTCACTCTTAATGGTCGTATGTCATTCATCGTGCACTCCCTGTGCCTATACCATACATATACCGGTAGAACTATTTGAGATCTTACCGACTGACTTTTACTACCTCACGTGTCTCTCATTTTCATTACTCTATAAGCTCTTTAAAATACTTTCTCTGTCCATCCAGATTTAAGAAGTTTACATCACTTCACATCATAACAAAGCAAAATAAATACTACTGCATACATGGTGATATTTTGATATGACTACTACCGTACTATGAGATTTAATTTATCATATTAAGTATTCTCACCAAATGTATTTTAATAACTTCAAGATTACACACATTGGATTGTCTCATGGATACAACTTTGAGGTATAAAGCTCAACAGATCTTCCATTGATTGTTATGTGCCAGTTGAACACTTTGGTGATCTGATCTTACTCTCATCATCAGAACCCACATTATCCTTCAGGTTTATTCTACCGTTCAATATAATTTTACGCTATATTCTTCCCTGTGCATATTTGCTTATTAACCCTTTAGTTATTCCTATATATGGTACTGTACTCGTATCTTAATGTAAACAATTAGCAGTGTGCATTTTATTTTTTGTCAGAAATGCAGAATACTTAAGAAGATTGAGAATTACTAAGTGGTGTTTGACTTTTTAGAGTAGGGGTAAGACTGTTTCTACTGTACTACCACCTTCCAAATGAAAGAAAAGGTGACATGATACAGATATGATGAAGTAATTAAATGCAAGAGTTAACCAGATAATAAGTATGAAGGGCAAAGGTAAATTTCTCATAGGTCTAGATTTCATACATGATTACTTTTATGTTTGGAAACTATTGCCCAAAATCTGTAGATGATTCTCTTAAAAGATAATTTAAAATAGTCAAAATATAAAGTATTATATAATGATAATTCCAAACATAAACAAAGAAAATCTGTGGTTGTTCCCTATCCCAGCATTTTGAAACACTTGCTTTTCACGTACTGATATATGCCTATGTATCTGTACCAACACCTTACAATTTTACAAGCACAGTAACAAAAAAAAAAAATGTTCATTGTTTGTTGAACAGGGTGAACACCTCATCAACTATATACTATCACATTGACATGCTTTATGTGAAAGATGGAAATTGGCTTTGAATTTGCCCCTCCAAATCTCAAGATATGTAATACCTGTATATTTCTGATGGCTTAATTCCAATCTTGCTCCTTTACAAATAGGGTAAAATAGGTTTACTTCCAGTTACACACAATACTAACTAAAGATTATCTTAAGAAAGGTCAAATTGTTATAGAAAAGGTGCAAGTTTATTCAACATATACTGTAATGGTAATCTGGTTTCATGCATTATATGTACTGTGGTTGAATGTGAATAACATACATTTATTCATTGTCAAATAATGGTGGAATACTGTACTGTACTTCATTGTTAGGACAAGAATTTTGTTTTATTTCTTTTTCAATGAAGCCATGATTAATTGTGGAGTTAAATATTTACAGTACTGTAATAGCAAGTACAGTACTGTACTGCATGGAAAATAAGGGGCTATACATTTTTTTTTTCTGCACAAGAGCCCTGATGTAGGAAAGCCTTACAAAAAATATTATGATCTGATATTAATAAGTGTATTCATTGCAACAGCTTATCATAACTTGGCGTACAATATTAATTTTTCAGCTGACCACCTTTAAGCCTTATTCAGATTTTTCCATTTGTTTCACAGCGTGTTTGACATACAGTACTGTAGTTGCATTTCTTATTTTTAGGTCTCGTCTTTTTGGTTACCAGTAACCATTTCGTACAACTCTATGAGTAATGCAAGAAACATTTTCATTGAGGTCCGAGTTATTGGTGTATCTGATAAAATGTAACTGACATATTGACTATGCTTCCCTGGCCTTTGTTTGGATATGTTGAGTGGGTCACACTGCCAGACTGACAAATTTACCTCCAGACTTTCCCTATCTTTCTTCAATAAATATAAGTTGTTGGTGATTATTTATGTTCTCTGCACTACATGTGGTACTCCATAGCCCAAGCAACAAACAAGTCAATCAATGATAAAAAGGATACAGTAAAGTGAAGAGCACTGTCAGGTGTTTGTCATAGTTCTATCATGTACTGTGATCAATCTTCACATCTGGCTTTCCTCTTAAATATCCTAGATGTCCCAAGCCTCAGCTTATGCTTATGACTATTCTCTTATTTCCCTCTTAACTTTCAGATGTTTTTGTTTACAAGACACGGTTAACATAACTGTATCTTACAAGCTTACAAAACATTAAAATTATAAAATAATTTCTATAGGGTGACAATGCATCAGATCTAGATAGACATGTAAGATACAGAGACAAAAGGACTGTTAGACTACAATCACTATTTATAGTTAGAATGATAAAACTGCAGGAAGCAGTAAACTAGATTATCATAGAGAAAAGATATCAATTGTTTTCTGTAAATGTTTTAGAAACTACAAGTCTGAACAAACGTATGTTATCCTCATTTTAAGAAATCCCATTATATTCACCATACAGTATTCCCACATTTAGTATTTATTCTTGGCAAAAGTGATCAATATACAGTACATCTACATATAGGGATGTGATTTTACCATGGATGCAAGGATTTCCAACATTTTCGTGATTAATTACCCGGTAGGTTATTTACATGAATATGACGTCTAGGGAAGAATACTAACAGTAAAAAAAAAAAAGAGGCGTCAAAATCAACTATCATACCTACAGAATTTTAACACTTGGTCAAAGATAAAACTTTTTGTGGCAACAGATCTTATAGGTGGAGTGTTTCTCTCTTAGCAACAGTGACTGTGGATATAGACTGATCACACAGTTATAGTTCCTTTAGTGGCAATACAGTACACTGCCTTACCATGTTTTCATTTTGGCAACCTGAAATTATCATCACTGGTATAGAGGGGTTCTGGGATTAGTATAGTGCATGTACAGTACTGTACTTTAAAAATGGCCTCTCCCATGAGTTCTAAGATTTTGCCACAATGTCCATTTTAGTTTATATCCGATAACACTTACAGTAGTCCGTCATGTAAAAAATGGTACAGTACAATACAAAAAATGTGTAATCCTGGGGACCAAGTACTGTACTGTAATATGTGAATTTTGTATGTTTATGGCTTTTAGAAATATGAGCCAGTGTGTGTTATCTGAACATAAAGTAAACTTAACAGAGTGTACCACCTGGTTTGGAGGTACATTAATGCTTTGACACAACCTATATTTATGACACTATCCAACTGTAAAGTAAAAATGTTCACTAACTTTTAGTTCCTGATGAAAATGTGTGGCCTTTTCAGAGAATATTGGCCCAGAAACAGTATACCATCTGTGCAAAGTTGTTTTAACCACTCCCACACAAACTTACCAAAGTCAGCAAATAATGATAAGTGTACTGTACACACTTCTTTACAACATTGCACTGTGCTCTATCAATTGGACGCTTAGTTTGGATGTCATTATTACGGTTGAATTTTAAAAATTATAATGCAAATAACTGAGAAAAGCTTGGAGCTTTACTGCCATGCATTTAGGCAGTGAACAATGACAAAGCAGTGGCACGGGAAATGACAGCACATGGTACACAGTGCGGCCAACTGTGGAAATTCATTCTCCAGTTTGTAGTAATATTAAATGAGTCGGACCACAGATTTTAGGATTTTATGGTTTTAAGAAACATGGATTTTTTGTTATTCTTCATTACTGTTTACTGTACCCTGTATTCTAAAATGTTACTAAAGGTGTTTTAAACCTGTATGTACAGTCTCTCCTCGACTTATGACAACCCGGACATACAACGGCCATGGTCGTATAAAATATTTTTTACATTACGTATTTTCGAGTCGCGACGTTAGTGATCGCGCTGTGTACTGACAAAACTTTCGTTTGTAATTCCCTTTAAAATGGCTGGCAAGCGGAAAAAAGTGAGAGTTCTTGTGGTGCTGAGAAGGAAAAGAGACACCCATTTTAGAATTTCTATGTATTATTTTCGCCTTTTCGACTTAGGACCAATTCGACTTACAACCTGGTCGTCGGGACGGAACCAGTCATAAGTCGAGGAGAGACTGTAATTATTAATTATTATGATCGCATTGAAAGGTGTGATTAAAACATTAATTTGCTTTGTAGCTGGAAAAAAACCCTATCAATTGTACATATTTGTATAGTGGAGTAACTTCAAATTACCAGACTAATTTGGTTGAAACCTAGTCATTGAAATTTAAATTTTCAGAAAAATCTGAACTTGTATGAGTCCGTCCTTAGTAATGAATACTTTAAATTATATTATGAAATATAGTATTGTACTGTACCAGCAATTAGTATAGTTACTTGCCAATATCACTAAATGTAATGTGGTGTTACAGTGTTTGAAAACTTACTTTGTATCGTTATTTCAAATACTGTACCTGTATGTGTAAGGCTTTATAGACATTTGAGTAGTTTTGATGAACTACAAAATAAAATCTCGCAAAAATCCCCGAAATCTGCTTACATTTGGCTTAACAACTTGTCCTCGACTATTAACCCCCAAGCATTGGGGTATGGGCGGCATATCCGGTAACCCCCCACCCTCTTCACATGTATATTCAGGATAATTAAAAAATATTGATGATAAAAAAAAAAACATTCTAATCTTACAAACTGGTCATGCATGATATAAACAGTAAAGAAATTCAGTACATGTCCTTAGCACGGGCTAGGAAGAGTTGAGAATGTGTGTGTGGCAGTATGAGGTAAACAACACCGATTTGTAGACAGTATGAGGTACAGGACACTTGTTTTATTATTACTGCTTCCAGTAATTGATAACAAATCTGGTGATGGTCAGAGTCCCCTATTACACTTGCACTTGGGGTAGAAACACATGGTGAGGCGAGTGAAGTCCAAGGGTGAGATTCCTGCATCACAAAAGCTGAGAAGCTTATGTGAACAGACTGGGAGGCTTTTATGTATGAACAAGTGAAAGATAAATGCCTACTTGGCAACAATCTAGCTAGGCTCATGTGGTGATTCAGACAGTTTTACAAAATTACAAATCGTCTATGGTGTGAACCAAAGCCCTGTAAGCACACGTCATATGACATGAACTGGTTACCCTAATTTTGATTTGTTACTTCCTGCTCATCAGAACAGTCAAGCTGATGTCTCTAGCAACTCAGCTAAGAAGCTGAAGCACCTTATCTTCTTTAGTACTGTATGTGTGTGTGGGGGGTGAGATTTTAGACCACTGTGCAAAGCCTGGAGATAATATTCTAGTGGCTGCACTTTACAAAATTATGGGCTGTTGATAGTGGTAAAATATATTTCTATGCTTTATAGTTTACATGATAATGTGTAAATCATAATACTGTATTGTAAATGTTCTTAATCCCAAATTCCATACAAGAAAATAACATTGCTAGTGTTATTTCATTCTTTTGTGATATTATTTTTGTACTGAACCTCAAGCATTTATAAGGTACAGTACTCTGTACCCAGATTTTCATCTGTTTTTATGACAGGACCATCTCCATGGGTTTACGTTAGTTCAGTGCAGGTGGAAACTAGATCAGTAAAATATACATCAGATTTTAAAAACTGTAAACCCAATTCCAGCCTTTTAGAGTAGTAATGTGAAGTCTTACTGTACAATATTTGAGTTATAATTACAATTTAAATGTGTTCTAACTTTCAAGCTCTGAGAGTACAGTACAATACTACATAGGTAATATAATAATTAAGTCTGTATTTTAATGCATGATAGACCATCCCATAATATATTGAAAACAGGAGACAAACCTCCTAACCTCTAGGTCTGGCTTGTGTACTTTGCCACTTATTGCGATCACATCCCTATATATACTTTAACTACCAAGAATTCGTTTAAATGAGATTTGTAATATAAGCAGAACTTAATTTTCCTCCGAATGTGCCTACACTTGTAATATGTAGTTGTATAATACCTGTACTTGAAATAGTTTTGAAATATGCCTCATAACTTAGTACACTGAAATAAATACTGTAGTTGTCTCTTATATTAGTATTATTAACAAGGTTTTATACAGGAGAGTTCTAGATATATCACCACAGTATAATTGCACATTAGGCACAAACTTGTCTGTTGGGTCAGTGAGAAGAAATCTGACCGCACATATGAAGGAACACTATTGACGGATTAGGAGTTGTATCACAGGTTTTCTTTGTCAATCCTCAGCATCCATATAATAATTGTATTATTAAAATTGCCTTATGCAAACAATTATTTATAAATAGTTACTGAGCCAAGTTGCAAGATGGGCTTTTTTCCCATAATACCTAACAATGTTTATTTGTAATAACCAATGCAAAAAAAAAAAGGTTATAAAAATAGTATTGTACAGGTACCTCATTTAGAGACCTATACAGTGCTTTTTTGTCTTTTTTTTCATATAAAGTTCAGTTGAGCATTACCACTTGTTTGTGTAAATTCTGTTCACTAAATATTCTTAAGCATATACAGCACTAAGTATTAAATGGAATGAATTTATTTAGTATTTAATGACCTCATTCACTGGATTATTTGAAAGCAGTACTTATGTATGTACAGTGATATCCCCATTAGCCGGAACAATTGGTGCAGAGCACTTCTGGGAATGAGAGACTTCCGGGGTAAAGAGACAACTCTCTCAAAGCTGGAAAAAAACCCTCGTCCCCGAAATTTTCTGGGTAATGGAAAAATGGTCTCAGAAGTTCCTTAAATTGCCCATTATACCATCTCTCAAACCAGGAAAAATACATCCCTCATCTCCGGAATATTCCGGGTAACGGAAAAATTTTCTCGGAATTTCCAGAAAATATGTCTGATTTTCATCTCAAATCTGGAAAAAAAACTCCCCCATCCCCGGAATTTTCCGGTTATCGGGAAAATTTTCTCTGAATTTTCCGGAAAATGTGCCCCTCAGAAAATTGCTCCCAAAGCCGGAATTTTCCAAAAATTTCCGGCTTTGGGAACGATTTTCCGAGAAAATTTCAATTCCGGCTATCGGAGAGTTCCAGGTTTGAGGGATTCCAACTAACGGAGATATTACTGTACAGTATATTGAAATTATATTAGTACGGTAATAGTCATCAATAAAACAAATTGGTATATGTAGGGTCCTTATGTTAATTGTGATGCATGATATAAATGTCGGAAAAACAATAAATGCTTTTTCTGTATGTAATTATCACCTTTGCATAATCTGTTTCATATACTATGATCTTGTTTTTATCTGACAAAGGCTAATTCAAGATATGAGGAAAACTGCTTTGCTACTTCAATAATAAAATCTTTATGTGCAATGGTTCAGATTAACTAACATTATTGTGTTCGTGAATGAGAGGTACAGTAGTCTTATACAGCAGTTAGGTTATAGCCTATGAGTCATTGTAGATATTTACCATGATTTACCTTACAATGAGATTTTAGAGCATAAAGGTAAAAACTAAACTATTTTTACTGAACAACAATACTCATAACTGTTGAATTACCTTATTTAACTTATAATTACAGTACTGTAATTTGTTAGACTGTACAGTATGTCACACTGATCTCCTGTATACTGTATCCAATCTTTGAATTGTAAACTGAAAAATTATATTTTAGTTTTGCCCAGTACAGCAGTTACTTTTCTGTTTGAAGGCATCTTGTCAATTGCATTTATTATTTATTTTCAGGGTACGTACTATACTGTGTCTTGTTACCACAACCAATATTTTGTGCTTTTGAAAAAGCCCAACTTGAACTGAATGAATCATAATAACAGTAATTAATTATACACACACTGTAGGAGTTAGTCTGTGTATTCTCAATGTGAAAATAATATACTGTACTATAATACCCTGTAATATCTTGACACTGGTTAAAGTCTATATCTTGACACTGGTTAAAGTCCAGAGAATGTACGTGAATCACGATTCAGGTAAGGTAAAGAATCCTGCAATATTCTCCAAGGCACTAAGGAGGCATATTAATGAAGTGGCTTTGATATAGTGTTGTCATAAATGGTGTTGACACAAACATGTAAGAATTAACATAATTATAACTGTCCCTACATAATACATGCAGTGTTCTCCCAAGATAAGAACTGTGATTTATCTTTTAATTTAAGCTTCTTAATAATGTACATATACTGGCAATTTGTTGACACTGGTTGAATTGCAATTCTAAAATATAGCATTATCACATTTGGAGTTCACAGGAAAGCAACTGAGCTTTATTATAAAAATTTATATGCAAGATACTGTACTGTTTTGAAGGGGTGGTTCCTCACACTGTAGAATCCTGTAAACAAATTGCACTAAAACATTTTTCTTGGAAAACTTCCGTAACCCGAGGGATGCCTGTAATTTCTTGAATTATTTTTCCCCAGTGGGAATTCACCCAGTATTTATCATATAATATTGGAACATGTTATGGAACAAGGTGGACATTCTATATTTAAATACTGTACAAGTGTAATGGCTAAAACTCTTGCATATCCCATAATTTTTTCACTTTAGAATTGCAGTAGGTCTGTCTACTACAAAATTTTTTTGGAAATGTGAGTCTGGGTTTGAACTGTTTATGGGCAAGGCAACCAATTAAAAAATAATAATAATTAAAATTCATACATTGCTGTACATACATAACAGGTGAACAAAATAAAAATTTAAACAAATACTTTACGTACAGGTAGTGTGTACTGTAATATGGAGAGAGAGAGAGAGAGAAGAGCTGCAGGAAAAATATCCCTCCCTTAGCCCAAAGAAAAATGGCTGCCTTGACCATATAAGTTGTAATCAAAACATGATTTTCATGAAATAATTGTACAGGATAGGGGTACCGTGTATAGATTTTAAAACTTTAGTAATAATAGTTTTTGTGAAAAAAAAGAGGGCTTTGAATGTAGAGGGAAAACAAATAGTATTCATTTCAAAGTCATTTATGCTTAGAGTAAGTAATTTTGGGAATTCTAAAGGTAGTGCACCACCCCTTCTATATTATGATGTTGTGTTCACTGTAATGTACAGTGTGTGCAAAACTTTGGCCACACATCATTTAAGTATTACTGTATTATTTTTTTTTTGAGGGGATAGAGTCTTCCATTAAAAATTTATAAGTATTTTTCAGTCATCACAGGCTGAAGGTCTCGCTGTAAAATCATATTTTGTTGTAAATTTTTCACTGGGTATTTATACTCTGAAAAAAAAAAAAAATACCCAAAACCCTGTAACTAACATACATCACGCAAGATGACTGTGGAAATATGTTTTGGAATGTGGTAAATATTTTTTTTTCCAACATGTCTAATTTATAATCTTTTATGGGTAGCATGAAGATATATAATAAAAGAATTGCAATGTAACTGACTTTTATTTCTTGAAAGTTAACTGGACGTACAGATGCATTTAAAAGACAAAAACGAGCGTGAATATTCGATACTCATGCTTGATAGTTGTAATCTTGGTAACACTGGAACACCCAAGCACAGTTCACTGATCGCCAATGTCACGCATCATGTGTCTAGTGGGCTTTTTTGTGTAGACTTTGGAGAGAGAGAGAGAATGGAGAACAATCATTTTTTAACTTGGTTCCTTCCTCTTCAAGTGGGTTTTCTGCTGTACCATATAAATCCAACATATCAGTAACAGCTGGATTTACAAACTGGTTGACAGTCTGTAGAATTTAAATTGATAATCAAATGTAGGAGAATAAATATTAGATAAGATAGGTCCTAACAGGGGACTTATTGATGAAGGAAATGCTGATAGTACATCCAATACCACAATGTCTAGCAAACAACCTGTAAGGAGCCACTTAATCAGGTCACACAGTTAATCCAAATTCTGCATAAAACACATCTTCAGACCAGTGAAATGCATACACAACCATTCACAGACACCTTAAGCCTGGCAAAATACACCCTCCCTCATCCCTAACCTAACCTAACAATCTTTCCCCCATGTCTTTCTTGTCTTATCTCTCTTCTCCTCCTCCTCATTCACTCGTGCATCTCGTAACCTATTAGTGTCCTCCAATCTCTCATATGCCTGAGCCATCTCAGCCTACCACTACGCAAAAACCTCACCTATACACCAAGCTGCCCTCTTAGCAGTGAACTGGGTTTTCTATCTTTCAGTGTCACATTACAGTACACATCCATCTCGCCATTCTTACTTGAACTCACTCAAGCCTATACATGTCACCGTACATTATCAGGCTTCCCACACCAGTTGTATACATCTTTCATTTCACACTAAGACAAGTTCTTAAAATGGGTGAAATTACATTTATAATAAAATATTATTTCATTATTGCATTCTATGGTTCCAGAGTTCACCATGAAATTACTGTACAGTACTGTACTGATTTTTTTTAACCAAAACAATGACAATTGTCTGATGTGATTTCAACATAAGAAGGATACTTTTGATCATAAACCAAATCATCTATTCATGCTAATCCAACTTTCTCATTGATGTGATGTGCACCGTCCTATATGCCATAAGTTAGGTAATATAATTTCATATTTAAAATAAACTACCTTATCATTAAAGAAGACTTACTTCAGCAAATTCTATACCAAATGGCTATTATTAAAAATATCCTTCAAGCTGACAATTTTCATGAACTTAATTAGGATTTAAAATAATTGTTGTACATACATGATTTTGAATAGATTGGCTGTTTTGTGAGGCTGAAGATAAAAACTGGGAGGTGTGTGGAGTGCCACTTGAAGACCCATCCAGAGGATCATTGTTTGTGTAGTTCATTAACTGTCGACAAAGCACCAAATAGATACACAACTATGCACTAGATCAATCATTCATATAAAAAAATGCTATACTGTATAAGATTTGCTTACACAGTTACCCAGTACACTATTTGTTCTAATCCTTAACATTTTAGTAATTCCTGATTTTTTAAATTTATAAAAAATAGTATACAGTAACATTTCACTTTTAGCAACCAACAGCTTCTCTGCATTGTGACAGTTCCTAAGGTTTCACAAAAGTGGGTAGAGTCTAGTGCTAAGCCAATTCTGACCTCTCTGAAATGTTGTGCTGCCAGTTCTGGATTCACTGTTTGTGGCTGCCTACAGTCTTTTTCTAATTCACCCCTGGGGATCACCTCATCAAAAATACTCTTGGAAATGCAATCTGTGAATCAAATGATCAATCAATGAAACACGAATTCCCACTTTGTAACCAAGGAGACGAGACAAATGACCTGCAACATTCCCACACTTGAGGTCAACATAAAACATGGATTAGGGAAATCTAGCCATTAATAGGCAATGACTTCTTCAGCTTCTGCAGCACCACACAGAGCTTAATTTACGAAGATGAGGAATGACATAAATACAGTACCTTATAATTATTCTTCCAACAGTGTACTCCTGATCATTACTGCCTAATGTAGTGAATGAACGTTTGGTTCAAAATTACAAATTACATTGGTTTTTATCACATATGGCTCATGTATACTGCTATGAAAACTAAAATAGTAGTGAACTAAACAAGGTTTATTTGTAAACACCAAACTAAAACACTGGTTGACTTAATTAACTGTGAACAGTCAGCATGGACAGAACGTAAACCTGATCAATAATTTTCTAATCATGAAAAATGTTCAAGCAAAAGTTAATTCCAAATTGAGGAATAAGAGAAAGGTAAATTATGTACAGTATATTGAAGCTTTTACATACAGTAATATATATTGTACCGGGAAAAAGAAAACTAACCTGCAGCTGATGAAGGAGAATGTCTACTGTTTTTTGTGCCATCAGTTAGTCTGGCATCTCTAAGTGTTAAATCTATGATTATGTCCTCAAATTGTTTCATTTTATCCAAAGAGCATTCTATATTCTCACTTGTGTTATTAAGGACTTCTTCATCTTGAGCTGCACTTGGCAACAGCTCTCTCTTATTTTCACCTAAATCCACAATTCTTGTTACTACATCTTTTCCTTTCCTATTTCCTTGGTCCCCAAAACTTAAGTTCCGTCTACTCTCTTTCAGGAAATATGCAGAACAGATTTCATAATTCTTTGTTGTATTTGCTGTTAAATTTTTTAATTGTTCTATTTTTTTATTACCTGTACAAGTGCTGTCTCTGCTTGCACCAAGTTCAGTTTCTTTATTATCTTTTTCCAAAATGATAAAATGGTTATATTCCTTATGACAGCGTGCATGGTTTTCACATGTAGGAAGTGAACTGTCATTTGTATGTTCCTTGTACAAGTTATCATCAAATGTTTTTTGCTCGTATTCAGAAAGATCCCTAACAACATTTTCTGTAATGTCTAAATTAAGCAAAGGTTTCTTGTGGGTCAGATTCACTTCCAGGTCATGAGAAGATTCCATCCATCTTGTGTGGTGATTATCATCAATAAGTTCCACACTGTTACCTTGCATATTATAGGGATAAAGAACATTACATATGGTTTGTGAGGAATGCATATCATTAGTCAAAGTGCATGATTTCTCCATGACATTGATAGGTATTGGTGATGAATTATATTCAGTCCTGAAAGCATGACCTTCACAACCTACAGTGTCTGGAGGATATTCATGAATACCTGAGGACTGGTGCCCTCTTCTCTCCTTAACATGGCTTTGGGATGATAGCTTATTTCTGTTAATGCAATTTGATAAATTTTCTGCTGTGTACAGCTTGGCTTGGAGTTCAGCACATTGTTCCGGGCATTCAGACTTGTCCTTGGTAATGGCAGAACTTTCTAAAGAGTTTCCAGTATACTCATTACACTGACAACTTTCATCAATTACACAAACTTGTGAATCACTCTTCACATGCCTTAGCTTTCTGTCATCCTTATGCCATGTTGCCAGGAAATTTATTTCATGCAAAAACTGGCTATCATATTTAAGTGACTTGTTATTTTGGTCTACTATGGAACCACAATAATTTCTGCTGCCACAGTCAACATTGTGAACTAGCAAATGATCATTTGAATGATTTTCAGGTTGCTGAATTTCCTGTGGATACATCTTCTTCAAGGTGATATAAGGAATACTGCCTGTAGATTTGATCAGGTCACATTTTTGTGAATCGTCATAGTTCACAAAATCCAGTGACGTATCTGGTATGTGATCAGAGGTTGTATTGCTAAACTGCATTCCTCCCTGACTTCCAAAGTGATCCTCTAGTGATCTGTCTATTGTAGGATCAGTAGGTGTTTTGGATGAAGATTTACTACTGCAGGGTGTACTGATTAAATCTAAATTCCAAGGAGTACTCAAATTTCTTTCCAGGTATGGAGTTTTATCTTTTCGCTTTCCAGCAAAACTTAACCCACTTTCAACAATTTCTATTTGACGTGTACGTGTGCTAAGCTTAGGTATTCCTTTGCCCAAATTTTGCCAAACTTTATGAGAAGGCTCTGGTTGGATTTCATCAGTATCTTTACAAATTACATGTACTTGTCTTTTTCCAAGCTTCTTTTTTCCATCTATTTGCACAGAATTTTCAGATCCCACAAAATCATTCTTTGGTTCATTTGTAGTCAGAGTACCAAAGGTTGAGGTATCACTGACAGTCAAAACCTGTGCTCTAAGTTGATGATAATTTTCCTTCAAGTTGTCAGGTGGGAGTGACATTTCCATTTTGCTATGTGACTGTTCTTGTACATTAGCAGTCTCACTCTCCAGTTTACCAGAAGGACCAGAGCATGTATTTGGTGGACTCTGGAGGCGAGAACCCAGAAGCAATGTTAGTCGTCTGGTTTCCCACTCACGGTTTTTCACATTTTCATTTTTGTCATAAGCTTCTGTAAATTTCTTTTTATGATGCTTATATTTCCCTTGAACATCGTTATATATACCGTCTCTGTTTTTTTTCCCAGTGACGTTTTTAAGAATTGGTGGCATCTTTTGTTTATCAGCAGTATTGACCACTGTTTTGGCAACTTTCACTAGGGGTTCCTCTGGTAAATTCAATGGTATCCAAATACGTCCCTTGTGTCGCTGTGGGCTTAGTGTAAGTAACTGTCTTAAACGTGGAGCTCCAGCCAAGAGTCTAGGTGTTGCAATTTGACCTAATACTCTCTCTTTACTTGTACCTTTACCTGATACATGGAGTTTATTTGTTTTTGTATGTTTATTCTGTTCCATTTCTTTCTCCTCTGCATTTCTTCTTCCCTTTTTGTTTATCTTGTCTTTCCTTACTACTAATTTCGAACTAGGTCTTTGTGATGCATCGACACATGTATTTTCAGATCCCACTCGAGTCGAATACTGTTGAGAGTCAGCAAGTATCTCGACACCTTTATTCATTTTATGTCTTGCAGTGTGTTCCTCCTTTTCAGTGATCCTTTTATTCTTTCCTGTTTTGAGAATTTCTTTAGATTGTCTTTCACTGTCTATGGTATCTAGGCTATCGTTAACTCCATCAAATCTGTAGGTTGCTCCAGTTTTTTTCTTCGGAGGGGGGCAATGTAATCCCTGAGGTCTGGTTTTAAAGCCATGTTCTTCCTTTGTCTCATCTCTCTTTGTCACTTCATTGTTATGTCCTTTATCTCTACCTCTGTTGTGTGTACTCCCTGTTTTCTCCTTACAAGTGTATTTTTGTTTGTTGCATTTCTCATGACTGGTATTCTGCCAACTCCCATTTTTTCCTCCTTTGATGTTCTCCTCACTTTTCATTCTGTTTGGTTTACATCTACTATCGATATTTGATGATGTTTCGTTTTTCTTTTGAATTTCCGTTCTCTTGTTGTCGTGGTGAACTTCGGCTGTTTTCTCCTCTTTTCCTTTATCTTTCCTGCCTTTCTCTTTTACATTAACCATCTTAAGCTTGTTTGAATCCCTATCATCCTTGGTCCTGTCCAATTGGGAACTTTTCTTATCCTTCATATATTCATCATCATCTACCTTCCTCTTCTTATACCTGTCTTTCTTATCTCCAAACTTCATTCTATCGCTCTCAGTTGCCATTGTGTCTCTCTCACCTCCACCCCTATGAACCGACTCCCCCGTAACAGAGGTCCGTTGCCTTTTACTCTCTGAATCTTGCTGTGAGTCCTGAAGTTCTAGCTTGCCTTTAATGCCCTCCATCTCCAGCTGAAGAATTAGGCACATTAAAAAATTCTGACAGCTAAACCATCTCGGCATTAACCTAAATTTAACTACAGGGTATATCAGGTACAGTATGCATCATCAGTATTCACAACCCTTACAGTTCCAAGCCCTTTAATCCAAGACTTTCACATCAAAATTGAAAATAATTAAAACTTATTAAATTATGTACCACACAGTATTAGAGGAACAAACAAAAGTATAAGGAAGAGATTGTATATACAGTATAAGGAACATGTTTACAGTGAATTCCTTACATATACATAAAAGAATATTACTACATATACTCTCACAATTAGAAACTGTGGCAGCATGAAGAGAGATAAAAACAATGTCATTGATCTACCTTCAACAAAAACCTTGAGAATGGCCCATGTATAGATCCAGGTTTAATCTTGACCCCTCTTGATTTTCTATACACAGTGTTACTCTCTTTATGTTGCTTATCATCCACTTCAGAATTACCATCCTTCCCTACAAGTTTTACATCCAAGGAGCTGTTTCTTTCTGACACATTACATTGCTATAAAGGAAAACACTTTCTTCAAAAACCAATCTCTGCTCTTAATACCGTAACACTAAAATACAATTGTGTTGAATCATTTAAATAGTGTATTTTTTTCCTGAAACCTTAATTCATTGCACTAAACATTATCGATAATGAAATTGCTATAAAATCTGATGAAACTAGTTAAATCTAGTCGCTTGCCATTAATTGGAAAAGTAGAAGTAGATTATGAAAATAGACAGATTAATAAACATGAATTCCTTGTCATGTTCTAAAAATACTAATACAGTACTGCATATATTTATAAAGGCCTTACTCTCCCATGCCCACTGTACTGTATATGAAAATTTTGAAAAAAAAAAGTCAGAAAGATAGAGAAGCTTAGACAATCTTAACAACAACCTGTAACTGAAAACGAGAAGCATGGTCCGGTATATGAGGAGTTCTGAGCAACAGTGACAAAAGTGTTAAGTATAAGTTTTCAGAAAGTGTGTACCAAATTTGAAAAAGTGTACTCTGTACCCGTATAGTCATAAAATCATCAATTATTTATCGATATTAATGAATTTAGTCTTGCCTTGAAGGTAGGATGTTGTTGTAGAACTAGCTATGGCATAATTTAACAGCAATGTTAAGTGTGGAAAATTACATGACTGATAATAACAATAAATAAACACATCCATTATGATACACCATTCACCTTTTCCCAGTTCCACATGTTTCTAATCAGACACACAGCTGCACAATCACTATACAGTAATACAGTATGGAGTTTTCAGGACCACAGCAGATTCGTCACTGTTACAAAGAACACCTCATATGAAGCCAAAAGTAAACCATTAATGGAAAGTTCCAGGTCTAAGACTTTTCCTTTTAATCTGTATGTAAATCGTTGTTCAGTATTCTTTCAATATACAACTCTGGCGTCAAAGAAAAACCAAATAATAAAGTTCATTACCCTATGGAATGTGTGAGACGTGGAAGCAGAACCCACTTTAATTCTTTCACAGACCATCTCCTCATTTCGCCATCTTTGAGAACCTGTACATGAAAGGTACAATGTTACATAATACAGGTTGACAATCCCTTATTCGAAATCCTTGGGGCCAGAGGCATTTCGGATTTCAGAATTTTTTTGGTTTTCAGAATGGTTAGGTTGGTTTTTTTTGTATTAGCCCACCCAGGCACAAGTCATTGACCCACATTGGGGCCTGGGAGGCGAAAATATAATAATAATAATAATAATAATAATAATAATAATAATAATAATAATAATAATAATAATAATAATAATAATAATAATAATAATTCATAGGTCGAGGTCGTGTTTCTCACTTTTATCCTTTTTCATTCTTGTATTTCTTTATTATTATTATTATTATTATTATTATTATTTTATTAATACAGTATTATTGTTATTATTATTATTAATTTTATTATTATATTTTCTTATTATTATTGTTATTATTATTATTTGATTTTGGTGTATTTTTTATTAAAATTTTTATTTACTATGAATAATTATTATTATTATAATTAGTATTACTATTACATTTTTGCCCCCCAGGCCCCGATGTGGATCAGTGATCTTACAACCTACCTAGAGGAAAGTTGGACAGTTACATATGCCATATGAGATAAAATGACCCAGTTGATCTCAATTCTCTCCAATTGCCTGAAGAATCTCGGCCTCCCTCTATGCAAAACTTCACCAATACTCTCCATACCCAGGTGTCCTCTTAGCTCTAAATAGGGTTTCCTTTCTTTCAGTATCACACAGCATATCCACCTCACCTTTCTCATTTCAGCTCGTTCAAGCCTGCATACATAATGTCACCTTCTTTAATCGTCCCATGTTTCACTGCCACACAACATAATACTTCCCATCCCAGTTCCATGTGAAGAAAGGCCCTCTTGCTGTCAATATAGGCAAAAGCTCCCTTCATTTTTCCCCACCTTTTTTGACTCTTGCACTTGAGCTAGCTTCAGCACCACCTCCAGTACCTGTACTAATCATGTCACCCAGACAGCAGAACTCACTAACACACTCAAGGAATGTACAGTATCCCAATGCTGAGTTTCCCCAGCCTTGCTAAAACCACATGATTACCTGTGTATATAGGACAATAAAAGTCAGCAAAATCCTGCAGTCTACCATTCACCACTGAAGCTCTTGTGTACCCACCATCCTTACTTACTGCACATTACTGAGTTATTGATAACACCTTTCTTACAGACAGCACATGGCCATTTTCCCTTTCCACCACAGACCCATCTTCCACACCACTTATCGATACATCTGTTCTGGCAACATACATTCTCAAGCCCTTTGCTTCTATTGCATCCTTCCACTTCTTTTATTTCTTCACTGACTCTTCAGTATTTTCTGCTACCAGAACAAAGTCATCAGCATACAACAATTACCAGGACAGACCAGTCCTAAAGCTCCATGACAGTGCCTTCACCAACATAACAAACAGGAGGGGGTTCAAGACAGACCTCTACAGTACAAGAGGCACCATTGTACTAGAAATGCGAAATACTTCTGAAACAATTTTATAATGTAAGAGAAGCTAACCTATCCTGGGTCGTTGAAGGAAGGGTCTAACTTGATGTTTCTCTGCTGATTCTCTAGAGGATGCAATATTTCCTGGCCTACCACTACTGCTTCCCTGAGATATCCTGAAAAATTAAGGGTGCCACATACCAACTCACATTGAATCCTATTGAAACGTAATGGATTACAGTAATATAAAATTCAAATGTTACATAGAAAATGGTATAACAGAAAAATTTTCTTATGACAAAGAAAAATTTAAGTGTTAATGGCTTTGTTGTACTGTACTGTAGTGTATAGTACTTAGTTACAGATACTCCTGAAAGTACATTAGCAGCAATGGCCACTGGGATATTTTATACATGTATGAAGACAACATAGGAAAAGAGATATCATCATGGATGAATTAAGATGTTAAAATAATGGTGGCTAAACAGCCAAGCTTGTCTTCGTAAGTTCGTCCCCTTGGGGTACTAAGTTTGTAAAGGTCCATGTGATTGCCTCATGATGCTCTTCCTTCCTGATGTTGTGAAATTTGTCTGTGGCTGTAAGGGTGCTGTAACAGTAGTTTTTATTTTATTTTATTTTTCCAAAATGGACCTATGGTCTCTAAGCAAAAGTTCCCACACCTGTTTGTCCTGTCCTTCTGCTAAGAAATTCAGATTGGGTACAGTCTGGTTAAGCTGCCTCATTTTGAGTAAGTGAGCTAATTCTAATATTCCTCAAGAAAGATCCCAAATGCAATTGAAAACGTGTTACCAAACAACATTTTTTTGGATGTCTGTACTGTATAGCAAGCTGCTTGTTTTGTTTTGCTTGAAAGGGGAACGGGAGGGAGATCAGGTATGGGGTTTGGCAAATGGCCTAAGCTTCTAGCTGTAGCCACCTATCCAATGTCCTGTAAATCTAAACTCCATTGGTCCACTGATATCTGGTGTGAGGCAGTACCACTTATTCTAAAAACTCAACCTACTCATACATACCCAGGCCACAAGGGAAGATATACAGTACCCATATTATCTCAATCTTTCTGTTATGTGAGCTATGCCTATACTTTGACAGAGGAACAACTTACCAGCTGCTGCTAGATTATATTATTGACCAACCTAACCCACCTAGTCTAACCTGATCTATCTTACTTAATGTAGGATCCTCTTATGTCCAAAAAATAATACAAGGTAGCAGTAACTGGTAACACCTACCATGTTAACATTGAATATACGTTCAGAAAAAAAAATACAAAAAGTAATAGGATTTCTGAAATTTCAAATCCTCGTCATTTTACAGCTTTTTCATGATGCAAAAAGCATTTATTTTCTATAGGTCAATTCCCTCCAGTTAAGAGTTAAAGTGACACGCTGTTCCGGAGTATTACTCATATTGTGTCTTTAATACATTATGAATTACCCGCCGTTTGAGAGGCATTTACCCGAGATAGATCATAGAATATTATTCAGTACAATAATTACAAGATAAAATACATTACAGTAAAGCTCATCATAAAAATCTCTACCGGTTATGGTGTCTGGCAGAGGATGCAAAGTACTGATCCAAGCGGCGGCGTTCTTCCTCTTGCTGGAGGACACGGCGACGAATCCCACCAACCCAGTTCATGTTTTATATTGAAGACGTTGGAAGTACTAAGTAGGTATGGTGGTCACTGCTGCACACCAATGGTTCCTGTTCAAGTTTATACATAAGTCAAGGATAATTGGTTCGTTTGCCGGGAGTTTGTGAAATACAGTACAAATAAAGATATATTTCAGAGTATAGCACTAGATAATTATTACGTGGGCATATTTTCACTCAAAATAAACTATGATATAGTAAATTCAATAATATAAGTTTACAATACCCATAAATGGATGACAAAACAAAATGCTTAACCCAATAGTGTTTTTAAGATAAAGCACTTTTATTTCCCAGGTGTCACTTTTATCTGAACTGTTACTTCCAGTCTTTACTTAATACAAGCTGTATTGTGGCCAAATACACGAGGAGACAGTTAACGAACCTTTCAAGTCCACGTCGACGATAATTACGTGAGAAGAAAATTCTACAAGTTGTTGGTTTTCTTCCGTCAGGTCTAGTTACGCGCACAACAACTTTCTTGGACTACCTTTAAATCCTTCATCGACTTACTGTTTACCATTGTGTGTATACCTGCACTCTCTATGTACATAAAAATGAAAGAGAACGATTTTCTGAACAGAGATATGTAATCTATCTATTAACATATATTTATTGAAATTATTGTTAACATCATGTGGACAAAATTCACGTTGGATGTCACGGGCCGTGACTCACGGCAACGTTGGTTGAAAGTTTGCATCTGATTGGTCATTTATAAGCTGGTAATACATGACGCTCTGTGGTTGGTGCATGGCAGACTACCTCATCTGAGTATGTTAAGAGTGTTGGTGTGTCGGCTACATTATGGACGCCTTTTTTTCTGTTTTTAGGAAGCAGAATGAAGGGCGAGTTGAAAGATAAATCAGCATTTACAGAAGCTAATTTGTGTACACACAATTACCACTTCAATTACATTCTTCACTACTGGGCAGCCCAACCCGTCGGGCGGACGGTTATTTCTCTTTTTACTGTTGGCACGTAATGGCTCTAGATTGCATTATAATACATAGTGTATCTGCAGTTACATCCCCACGTGTATTTCAGGCATATTTTGGTTGATTTTGACCATGTGGTGCTTGAGGCGAAGGTACGTACAGGAAAAAATGTTTGTGTAGGATGGACGAACATTTGCCGACTGGTGAGCCACGCCACAAGGTAGTTCAGAGGGTTAAGGAAACTAAACTAGGCGGATTAAGTTAGGTTAAGCAGGAGACTCACACCTCGAACAAAAAAAATGGGGAACAGTCTTCCAAAATCAACTAGACGTGCATCACAAGAGATTAGTATTTCAGATCGCAGTTTGAGGCTACGTTGGAAAATTTTTAAATCTTACAACACTGAATGATGACGATCTCGACAGTTGAATTCTTCGAGTGGCTTTTGGTAATGAATGAAACGCATCCCAGTCACATTTATAACTAACGGACGAGTCAATCCCCACAACTGCGTCTAATGGCACAGCGAGTCAATGACAACCCTACCAGGTGTTCCAACATGAATTCAATGTATACCAAGTGTTGATGGTCCTCATTTCTTTGATTACACTGTTAATGCCGTCAAATTACCAGGAAATATTACAGAAAACAGTGTTTACTAAGAAATCTTCCTAATTTTGAGAACATAATATTGGAACAAGATGGTGCACATCAGAAGAGATGTTAGTGCGATCTTGAACCAAAATTTTACTACATGAGATTATTCAACGTAGAATATAATTAAAAGGCAGAATCTCCGGCCAGAAACTTAAGTTTTTAAAATCGACATTAAAGAGGGAAAGTTATGACCTTCATGTGCTATATAATTAACTATATGGACATTTAATGGATTATGCTCTTTTCATTGGTGAGGCGACCTTTCTACATACATACCAAACCAAATGTAAACGTGAGTGAAATTTTTTCTGAGTAAATATTATTATTATTAGTAGTAGTGTTCACAACCTCTGGTGGGAAGGGACCAAGTGCAAGATGTTTCTACGCCAGACTCGCGGAGGTGTTATCTGAACGGAAGCAGCAGCCCGGAAGTTACGTTACAGCCTGGTTGAGATGTTGACTGACCTCTTTGCTTAGGTCTGCATTGCTCTGCCTCAGGGGAACGGGAGCATCGGCCTCAAAGCCGACAACAGTCGCAGATATTGACTACAGTATGAGGCAAGTCACTGAACGCCGCATAGATCTGCGGCTCAACTTACTCAACACAGCTAGGGTAGTTACTTATGTACAGGTATTAGGATATTTAATTTTAAGGTGATAAAATGGCGGCGAAAGTTTGGCTATTGGGAGAGGCTGGAGGCCATGTTGATAAACAGTAGTAGTAGTATAATTACATGTAGCAGTAAGAGGCCGGTCCGACATTGAGAAGATCGTGTGTAAAGTTTTCCTTAAATGACACTGACATTGAGAAGATCGTGTGTAAAGTTTTCCTTAAATGACACAAAGTTAATAGTGCCCAAAAGTGTACCAATGGTGTACAGTACTTATACGAACACTTTGCTAGGACCTCCCCAGCTACTTCACCTGAAAATTAACCACCCTAACGCTACCTGGTGGAGTTAGGGTAGGTTATAGGTTAGGGTAGTTTAATCTTCAGGTGAAATAAGCTGGAGTGTCTAAACTTCAAGTGATCTCTTTGTTGTAACCAGGCGTTCCTTTGTCTCAATTTACGTAAAACAAAAATATGGTACACATCGTTGAGGATACAGAGGGAAAGGGTTCAAGGAGTACATATGATAGGGCGGGAAGCTTGCCACCTCTGTTTTACCATATGCTGCCTCTGTACCCTATATGTCACTCACTCTCCTCTCCACCTTTTTCTCAGTTCTTTTATCGTCCTGAAATCAACTTTCTCAACTACTGTACCTTTTATTTGGTACAGTAATAACTACGAAATTTGATGATGAGTGGCTTTAATGTTAAAGTGAGCTTTCAATTATAAAATCTGCATTACAAATAAAATATTTCATAACTAGTTTAGTGAGTTAGACTATTAAATAGCTTTTCTAATACCCTATCATAATAGTGTTAGAAAATCCCAAATGGCTTAAGTCCGCTTTCATTCACGAAAGTTGTTTTGCTTAAAAAAGTTTCTCCTGGTCTATAAACATACACATTTGGTGTTGTTTATCACAGGAAAGAGCTTTTTAAATTACAATTATAACTGAAGATGCAAGTAAAGGTAATAAATATATTTTCTAAGTATAAGGTGACACGGATGATGTCCTGAGACGTGTACGATGACTCTACATACATGCTCTCTATTTTACACGTGTACGTAAGGAATCACCCACTAGGTGCGGCATCGTTACAATTTCTATGTCCCTGACTTTAGTCTATTGTTTGATATACTATCTACCTGTGTATTACTACCTCGTGAGCAATACATACTAAATTTTTAAGAGTACCATGAAGTCTTTATTACTAATTAATTTCGTAGCCTATTTTCAAACGAATTGCTTTTAATGGTGCCAAAGAAATAATGAGAGAAGAAATCTTAGAGAGATATACGTCAAGTGTTGCGAACGCAGCCGCCTGCTGCTCTCACTGACGGTCGCTACTCCCCACACCCCGACAGCAGACGGTCCACTGCAGTCTAGGAGTGAAGGTGTGTAGCGATCGATCCCAGAATGACCAGACGCGGAGTCATCTTGTTAGCCCTTGTGGCACTCGCCTACGCTGCGGAGCTACAGGTGGAGGACATAAAAAAGGAAGAGAACTGCGAACGGCCGTCCAAGAAGGGTGACATGCTGACGATGCACTACACAGGCACACTTGCAGAGGACGGAAAGAAGTTTGACTCAAGGTAGGCCTGGACGACCAGTCCTTGGTACAGTAGGAGTAACAGACTAGCCTAAGCCGCTTTGGTTTTCCCTGCAGTGCCAGCTGGAGGAGAACTTAACATCAAGGTCGACTCTAATTTCATAATCAGTAGACCAGGAGCGACCAGTTGGACGTTATAAAGCAGTGATAATTATAAGTATGAAGTAAATATATGTTGGAAATGTGTAGTGGAGTGAAAGCCAGAGGAAGTCCGAGTCAGCGGGAGGGAAGGAGCGGCGGCGGCCGGAGGAAGGAGTCGGTCGGTGTCCTCTGTAGTATAACGGGACTGTGTCTCGGCTGTCTCACTCCCTTCACTACACCCACCCACCACTGTCTTGTGCTGGTATATCCCCACAGTAACACCGAGCTACATAAAGCAGCCTCCGATCATGCAAGGAGGACTAACAAAAGACTTTAATTGAGTATTTGTGAATCAAGTTAGGTGTTGCAATAATCCACGTTCAGTCAGTCAACTTGTCGCAATATCCCGTCATCAGTGGCCGGTCCACACCCTAACCTGTTATCACCATAAATACCGAAATTAAGGATTATTAAACTGACTGTGATATTAATCTAAAAAACTGTATTTCATCACCAACATTAAAATTAATAAGTGAGGTTTTTGCGTAAATATCGAAGAGCAGTAATAGAGAAATAAGCTGTGGTTTACTAATTGAAGGGAAACGGGTGTAAACTATCCCGTAAAGTAACAAAACAATCTATCACATCAACTCCGTAAAAAGATACATATATACAGAAACAAGTTAAAATATAGAGAAATCGTAACATCTGGCAAACAAACGAAGCATTGTACATTAGATTCTTGCAGTCGTATAAGTTAAGTATATAATTAGCACTGGCTGGACTAACAATCTTTTGAATTAAGTCTCATTATTGCCATTCTTCTCAGTCCTTTGTTATTCTCACACGTCTTCTCTCGTCCACACCCATCAGCTGCGTTAAGATGTAGAAAATGTCCCTGAGCAATAAGTGACACCGATTGTTATTCAGGTTTTAAGATTTAAGCGGAGATGAAGTATCTGAGATTTGTATAAACTAATTATGACGTTTCCTACATACATGGCGCACTATAGACTGTCTGCTATAATAAAAACAATCCTCGTCAGGTCTACCATGTAACGTGGACTTTGGCTATGTACAGTATAGACAATTAACGTGGCTCTTCCCTCCCCCTCCACGACACACCACAGCTGCTCCCTGACAACAGATAACTGGTATGGACTATGGTGTCCAGTCTGCCTGGGGCTGTGTCTGTGTGCTGAGGACGTGCCCGCGTCGAGATAAGCCAACTGTCTCGTCTCGTCTCGTTCGGTGGATGCTTAGATTCCCTAGTAATTAAATTTTAGCTGTAAAAATAGAAATGGAAGATAATAAATATAAAATATACAATTACAAAAGCACCGATAACATGAATCCTCGATTCTTTTATTGGCATTTTATATTTCTATTGGTTAAAACTATTTGTAATCAGTTGAGAGGGTCTGAGGAACGAGATACAACTAAAAACATTGGTCTACACTCTTGAATAGCACAAAAACTATGCCTAGCTCAATGAGGAGGTTACAGACACAAACACACACACTCCTCGGCTTATCCTTATCTTCACTGATGGCTTTAATGAGTCACTGTCCTTGGTGAGCATGCTGACACCGACACTGCTACTGATGAAGGCTTCGTAAGCTACTCTATCACTGTAAAAGTGGTGGTAAGTTCGTCCAGAATTTACCATCAATTGAGAACGTTTTGTAAGATTTAATTGATGTCTTTTAAAAACCCAACAGTATTATCCATCGTCTCTTAATAAACAGAAGTCTTAAAGGTTATGGCTGGCCGCTGTGATGTGAGGGAGACACGAACAGTAACTTGAGTGTGTTGTTATCTTTTAAATTCAGATGCTTCAGTTGTCACGATCATTAATCCTCGTCCACACGTCTGAATTTCTAGACACAACACAACTATTTAGAAATCAACGAGTGAGGGAGTTGATGATCAGTGATGAATGTGTGTGTGTGTGGGAGAAGGGGGAGGGAGGAGGGAGTCTTCACTGAGCTGAGACCAGGCCACCAATAGCTTACTCTGGGGTTTGGTTGTCACCGCACCAAAAATACCACCATGTACAGGTGGCCTTGGACGGCTGCCTCTCCCACCATTACCTGTGTGTGTGTGTGTGTGTGTGTGTGAGTGAGAGAGATTCACCGTAAAATATATTGCCTACACAACTTACATTAATCGTATTCACACTTAAAGCAATTGTCTAAGTCCCAGAGAAGATTTTTACAGCAGGTGTCTTTTGAATGAGTGAGGGAGGAAGTTCAGGTTTATTGTTGGGGTAGACTGATGGTCCAGCCTGACACACCCGCAAAACAGTCACTAAAACGAGATAAAAACCTGCTTGTTTACTAAGGTGGAGGGTGTGTGGTGGCGGCAGGTGTGTGGCGGCAGGTGTGAGTTGGAGGTGTGTGTGTGTGTTGGAGGAGTGTGTGTGTGTTGGAGGAGTGTGTGTGTGTTGAGTAGGGTGAGTGATGGTGGTAGGTGTGTGTGTTAAGTAGGGTGAGTGATGGTGGTAGGTGTGTGTGTTGAGGAGGGCGAGTGATGGTGGTAGGTGTGTGTTAAGTAGGGTGAGTGATGGTGGTAGGTGTGTGTTGAGTAGGATGAGTGATGGTGGTAGGTGTGTGTTAAGTAGGGTGAGTGATGGCGGTAGGTGTGTTAAGTAGGGTGAGTGATGGTGGTAGGTGTGTGTGCTGAGGAGGGTGAGTGATGGTAGTAGGTGTGTGTGTTAAGTAGGGTGAGTGATGGTAGTAGGTGTGTGTGTTGAGGAGGGCGAGTGATGGTGGTGGTGTGTGGTGATGGGGGACGATCACTGTGGCAGAGCTGGATGTTGCACTAGTGGCCTGATTAAAGGTGTCATCGGCGCTGGGTGGTTGTACAGAGGGAGGGGAGGGGAGGGGGGTGAAGGTGAGGGGCGGTCATTACCCTGTGTGTGTGTCTTGTGGATGAGAAGGTATAAAAGGATGATATAAGCAAGAGTGGAAGATGAAGATAGGAACAGGTAGGAGGCGAGAGACTGTACAGAAACAAAAACAAATCCCATTGGTTTATTTCCTTCTAGTAATAATCTCAGCGTTAAAATAATAAAGACAAAAAAAATCCTATCATCATAAATAGTGAATAATCCCGCCATATATTTTTTGTCATCATTGTACATTAAATCCACGATAGGTTAGGTTAGGTTTCCTCACAGACAAGGCGGGAACGGGAGGGGAGGTCGGGTGATATATATACGAGTGTCACTAAAAAAAAAAAAAAAAAAAAAAAAAAAAAAAAAAAAAAAAAAAAATCCCAACTCAATTTTGAACAATAAACTGTCAGGACCCCCCAGGCACGGTAAACCAGTATAGATGAGAGGCGGTGAATGCCCCAGCCAGCCACCTACCCAGCACCTACACTGAAACTGATGATAGTTGACTCTGTCTCGTTGTGTTGTGTTTATAAATCTCACCTGTACTCCAGTGGTGGATGTAGGATTTTTAAAGGCTTTCTTGGGTTAACTCATGGCTATATTGTCTTATTGTTTATCATTCTATGTATACCTGTGCATTCTGAACCATTGTAAACTTATATTAGGACCTGAATGAATGTCTCTGTCTGTCTGTCTGTCTGTCTGTCTGTCTGTCTGTCTGTCTATCTATCTATCTATCTATCTATCTATCTATCTACCTGTCTGTCTATCTATCTTTTTGACTATATATCAGATTACGTGTGCTTCGTGCAGTCAGTGTATTATATAGTCGTTCAGGTATAACTCTTTTAATTTTTGGTAGATACGATTATATTATAAATTACAAAGAGTTTTCTTCTCGAATTCACATTTTTAGTTGGAAAAGGTAAATTAAAATTCCTAGTTCAATGTTTTACTGTACAACCACACCAGCTAACACCTGCGTTATCTCTCATACGTTTATTCCCATCTTCTCTCCATTCCCTTCTACCAACACCTAACACTAGCCATCACAACCCGACTGAGAGAGAGAGAGAGAGAGAGAGAGAGAGAGAGAGAGAGACCGTTACCATGATACCATAGGACACTGGGTCACGCCACAGGGCCCTACACTGCCTGCCAGCATCCTAGTATAATCAATACTCTCCCTGCCACACGTGTACACACCTGCGTATAAAGTGTAGCCCTAGCTTGCATACGTGCGTTTTTTAAGTGTACACACCACCCCTTATGTACACATACTTTATTGCCTAGATCTCTCATGTGTACATACCTGTATCAAGTGTATTTGTGCTGTATGTACACATCTATTCCAAGTGAAAATGGTTGTTAAGGGCAGTGTGGATAAAGCGCACTGCAGCATATGCCGTCACTACCCTCAAACCTCTTCACTTACACCCCCCCTCCCCCCGCCTATAAGTTGGCACCCGTTCACAGCTGGGTGCTCTGGGGGTGCTTCGGGAGCGAACTAGTGACGCAAAGGGCAGGAAGCGAGTGCTGTATCCACTCTCTTACCTAGTGGTCTCTTCAAATGCTGTTTTTCCTTTAAATGTTACTGATCTACATAACACCAGAGACACCTGCAGTAAAGGTGTTCTATACGTTGCCGAGGATGACTCTTTGGCAACACGGAAAAAAAATACTTAAATTATTTTCCGAAACAATACCATCTCGGCTGAATGTGATCTTGAACAATAGTCCTATAAACCACTGGAAACGTCAAAACAAAAAAGATCGATTTTAACATTCCTTTAACATTGTAAACTTCCCTGTTCCTTCTCCCCCTGTAATGACTTGGAGACGCGCTTACTCTTCCCAACATAACTCCTCTCTCATGTTTTCCTGGACGTGGCGTGTATGTATATAGTTATCACACCAGTACAAGGGTAGACTTAACGTGTTGACCTCTCCTTAAACTGGTATGTGTTCTACAATAAACAGTAAGGATTGGACACTTTTACAACACACATTGGATATAATTATATAGTAAGTACACGTAGCGTTTTAAACTACCTCGCGTAAACAACTCTATTAATAAACCTCTCCCTGGGGAAAAAAAGGACTCTCTTATCGGGATGAAAATTATCCGTATTGACCCCCTCCTCCCCGCCCCTACCTCCACCAGCCCCTACCCCCACCACCACTCGGCAGCTGGTGGGGGCAACACGAGGGGCTGCTGATACCTGCCATACAGACCCACCTTTAAATTATATACCTGCGTTGTATCTATTTTCTCCATCCTTCCTCCACACATATAGCTAACACGGGAACTACAAATTACACCCAGGGGAAAAAAATATATATAATCCCGTATCCCCCCAAGTGATTATGGCTATTCGTATTTAATTATTGGTGGAGGTTCACATTACTGGAGTCCTGTATGTCAGAGGAACCCAAAGGACGGTTCGCATTCTTGGGCGTTTTTTCTATCCGCTTGTAATTCTCATTGTTGTCAGGGGGGAAGGGGGGGGGGGGGTGCTCTGTGCTCCTACCTGGGAAGTCTTCCTACCTACCTACTCTACCTATCCACCTAGCTACTCTACCTATCCACCTACCTACGTACCTACCTACCCTATCTACCGTTTTGTTGATGCGAGACAGACCTTCCCTTCACTAATATGGCTTAAAGTACTGTACTGGTAAGCGTGAGTTCAGGGAGACGTGTTATTTATTTTAGGTTTTTACGTTATTCCTGGGAAAAATTTTTAGAGTTAAACAATAGAATCATAATAAATAAATGTAGCCCAAACACTACACAAAAAAAGGTTCGCATAGGTAATATTTTGTTGGAATTCTAAAAGCTTTCGTGTAGTTCACTCTGTTCACTTTCCAATACAAGTACAGGAAAGGAAACCACACTTCCAGACCATGTTACGCCTCTTGTATGATACCGGGAGAACATTTCCCTTGCTCTCTCTATCTCGCGGCAAGGGGATCAGCTGACCCCACTGTTGTATTTTTTAACGAGAAGACACGAGGTATACAGACGGCTAACTGTCCCATACACACAAGGCTCCGGATTGAAACATGTATCAGTCAACTCAGAGCGTCAGCCTACCACAGACAGGATGAGTTAGGTCGGATGTACCCTCCTTTGTTCTAGGGTTTCTTTGTGGACCATTTGGGTTTTTACAAGTCCGTTGGTGACTACTAGTGCCACCCCCAACACTGGAACACGCGTAGAGATAAAACTGTTGGCTTTCACAACCCTCTGACATTGAGTCTACACCTGCGTCAGCTGATAAGACATTCCAGTGCGTGCGTGTGTGTGTGTGTAAACGGTAGCCATATTTTCCCTACCTGTCTTAAGACTATACAGGTGTAACGTAATGATACCCTTACATACACTGTTTGCCTTTGTGTTCGAGAAAGACCGGCTGGTGTGAATTTGTTTAAGGTGTAGTTGTCCTCCACCCTGTTAACGAGGTGTATAACTTGTCAAATAATTACCCTATAAGACCAGTTGTTGTATTTACAGTTGGCTCTACTCCTGCGTTTACCACTTGGCATTGTCAATCCTCTATCCCTGAGGTGTGAGCCCCGAACTGTGAAGTGTAAATTCGAAGCATTCGCTAGTGAGCGGGGAAGGGAGGGGAGTAGGGTGTCGGGGTAGGTGTCTGTGTGGGAGGATGGGATACTTGGGCTGAGGACGGAAAGTGTGTGCCCTTTTAGGCATTTATAAGCAAATGGATGTTTGAATCTGTATCTTGTAGAAGCACCGAAGTTTTGTTTAACCACTTGATTATGAGAAGGAATTTCCCCAGCTGGATAAAATCGTCTGGCGGTAGCCAGAATAATGTAAATAAAAAGGCATCTTACTAAATGGGTAAAAAATACGGAGTACCAATGTTGATTGGTAGTGGTGATGTATTAGTAGAGGCGGTGGTGGAGAGGGAGGCAGAAAGCAGTACCAGCCAAGCACTTGCCACCCAGCTGGGTTCGCCGGCACAGTTGACTGTTTGTTTTCCTAGTCCAGTGTTGGCAGAGTCGGCGTGGGAACCCCATTATCGACCCTCCACCTCACACTCTACAGTGGCAAGAACCAACTCCATTTAACGTAGTACAAAAATTTCCCATGTAAATTGCCCTAAACCCGCCGTGCCTCTGGGTGCTTCTTCAGTGTTACAGCACGTGGAGTAAAGGAGATAATCTCGTTATTCTTTATGCCTTAGTTCACAGCAAGTGATCTTCTCGGATCCACGAAAATTTGTCAAAAAATCCCACTAAAATGCTATAATATGGTCAATAAGAGTGGCCATGTAGAGCAGCGGCAGCGGGCGGGCCGAGCAAGGTAGGACTTGGGTCATCAAAATTGGTCATCACTTGTGTTAGTCCCGAGTGCTTGGAGGCGAGCCCTGGGTGTTGTAACGAGCCCGAGGCGTGAAGGGGTCAGGAACAAGAGATAATTTTCTTCTTGTCAGTTCGCTAAGAAAGGCTCTCATCCATTGACTAATACTGCTAAAAATTCACTCTGTTGATCAGTCCATCAGGAAGGAGTTTATGCGCTTATTAACTCCTCTCGGGTATTGCAGTCACCCACCAGAGTCCTGTAGCCTCTCCTGCTGTACCACGAACCCCGAGATTCAGAATGGTGAACCCGAAGCAGTAGACATATTATTCCGTCCATAAATGCTTCGGATTCACGGGTCTACGGCGGGAGAGGCTACAGGACTTTGGTGGGAGACTGTACCACGATCTTGCTGTTCTCAAATACTAAGGCTATGTACTGTGTAAGGCATCTTCAGTAAACGGCATGAACTACATTAATTTTGTCAACACATTGAAGTGAGCAGCGAGCAACAACAGCCCATTTATTACTCAGCCTTACGATTGACTAGAGATAAGAGATCATCTTGCTGCTGTTTAGAAGACGAAAACTTTGTTAAACAGTGGGCAAGTCCAGCTCGGGAGAGATTATTATCACAGTACTGCATTACCTTGGGTTGGTCTGTTACCCGGGTAGACCGTCAATCTGAACATTATACAACGTCGCCTGGTGGATAAACCTTTAATAACTTTCACGCTTGTTTAACTTCTTCCCCCACAAGACAAACAAGTAGTAGTTTACATAAGAATCCAAACACAATTGATGGTCCCTCGTCCCTCCCAAGGTCTGTGTCGAATATTTAATACATTTCCCGGGCGAGTATTGGCATCGTTGCGTGATCTCCCCAGCCAACGTTTATTTCATACATAGCAACCAGGAAGTAAATCTTATAATCTATTTTAGAACTAGATTAACTCATACTATCAAGTTTCCACGAATGATCGTCGAGATGACTAGTTCGCACTTAAAATTATTATGAAGGCAACCAACTTTCTGGGGGTTTTTCTTCCAAACTTATGAAAGTAAACAGGTTTCAGTTACGATTGCAAGTTCTTCACTATATTCTAACCTAACCAATCCTATCCTAACCAAACCCAACCTAACCTGACATATCTTAACCTTCATACTGACCAGATGGCAGACAATCTTTCTCAATTAATGTTAATATATATCGCCCTTCCTGTTTACAACATCGAGAGAGGAAAAACCTATTTGTGAGTCGAGACAGCCAGCCACATCTTCCATCATAAAAAATTCTAATATGTTTCTTTCTGGTATTGTTGTGTTTTAATTTGTTGCTTTCAATAAAAATTTACAAACTAGTGTATTTAGGCTGGTGTGTGTGGCTGTATAAGGTCTGGGGTGTCATGTATAAAGGCTGGGTGTATACAAGAAAACATCAGTACACTTCAAGCCTGTCTATCAATTTTGATGTCTTAGTGTTGGAGGAAAACTATGACTGTATAACCAATACACGTCACCAACCCTTTCTCCCTCTCTCTCCTACAGCTTGGACCGGGATCAGCCGTTCAACTTCCAGCTTGGTGTAGGTCAGGTGATCAAGGGATGGGACCAGGGCCTGGAGAACATGTGTGCTGGGGACAAGAGGCGACTCACCATCCCCCCTGAGTTAGGCTACGGTTCACGCGGCGCCGGAGAAGTCATCCCCCCTGGTAAGTCGAACTAAAACATTCACACATGTTACTTGTATGGATTAGTTCTCCCTGCGTCAAAACCAAACCTCAAGATGTATGGTTGCTTAATCCTCAACTCAGTCCACACTTCCAGCCTCGTCCCTCTTTCCCCCTTGTGTCTGCTGTTCAGTATTCGACTCTCAATTAAATTTAGATCGCCATTTCGGTATGTCTTAACCCCGACTTAATACTATACGCCAATACTGAAATGCCATACAAACGGACATTCTCTCGCCACCAGGCTATGGAGGGCGAGATTTTCTGTCAGGTATATCGAGTGTCATTTTGCTAAGATTTCTAATGACCAAGAACCGTGACTTTTGAGAATGGGATCAGCTGCAGTATACACATCGATGATCGGACACATTAAGTTAATTTATCTGCTCAGATTTTAATAACTGTATTCTAACATTTGTAGTTCCTCCGGCTGCACCTCAAAACTTCAGTGTCAAGATGTGATGTTTAGGTTTTGTATCATGAGACTCAGTGTGTGTGTGTGCCAAGTGGTTTGGTGTTTACTGTCGACCTCTTTTTGGTTTAACGTGTTTAATAACGAGGACTTCGCTGATCGTTACGAGAACGTCTGGCGTGAAAAGTGAAAGGTTAGTCACTAATTTTACAATTGTCTCCAGCAGAAAGTTTTCTTACGTGACAGTCTGATTACTTACAAAATTCGTGCGAAAAAAACTTTCGAACGACAGCCGAGAAAGCCGACGTGACAAGCAAAACTTTCACCGTAGTAAGTGGGGCGGGGAAACGCGATCCTAAAATATTATGTTCAAACCTTACATGTTATAGAATGTCGGGTGATACACAGTTAGTCTGGGCACCCCGCTGAGCTTCTTTGTTACTGCATTCTACTGAATGATAAACAGTGTACATAAGGCTGACGGGCGACGGCGCAGATCTTGGAGTCGGATATTCAAAGATTCGCGCGTTTTCTGTAAATTAAGATATGAAACAGCATCCAACAGGTTATTACTTTAAATTGACACAAAGTTGGAGGACAAAATTCCATATATATATATATATATATATATATATATATATATATATATATATATATATATATATATATATATATATATATATATATATATATATATATATATATATATATATATATATATATATATATATATATATATATATATAGCTGTGCAAACTTGTACACTTCACTAGTCCCCTTGATAAACTGATTCGCTAACCATACAAAGGCCAGTCACAGTCAAAACATCTTGGTACGCGAAGACGAACAAGTATAACTGGTGGTTGCGGAGCGGCCAATCAGAAGCTGTTGTTTCTATTGTGGATACCTGTTGTCTGTATACAGTACATGACAACAGGCGACCCGATTTTATCCGTACAGTCGGGCACTGGCTTAAAAATTTTTAGAACATTATTTTTTTTTTACTTTGTATTGTTTTATCAACCATTGTATATTCAGTGTCGTTTACAGATAGTTTTATACAGTACAGTGTTTTGTCGTTTTAATAAAATGTGAACCATGTTTATAAGAAATTGGTGCTGTAAACCATCCGACCAGGCTCAATAGCCACCCCCCAATTATAAACACGGAGCTGAATACAGTAATAGTGTAAACAAAATTGGGAGTTCCGGGTTTTTTCGTTTACTCAATAAGTTAATGATACCATGATAATAAGAAATTAATATCCCAGAAGTTTTAAAGTTTTCAAATACCTTGAATACTCCAGTTCGACGTAAGTATATGATATTTTGGAAATGAATCCTGTAATACAAAAATTAAAGCTAGATTGTCTGAATGCTACACAAACCATGCTATCTTAAAGAAATGCATAAACAGGATATTATTTGCTTATGATAACAATGATAACAGAGGTGTAAGTGTTGAATAGAGTATAAAAAACATATATGGAATGTGATCAAGATTTCAGGAAAGGATGCGTGGCTCGGTGTGTGTGTGTGAACCGGCTTGCATGCGTGGTCAGGGATGAAGGACAAGGGAGGTGCAGCCAACCACGGGAAAACCGGGGGAGGGGGGAAGGGCCTACACCATCTGTCTGCGTCTATACTGCCAATGAATTTTCTCCCAAGTTCACATTCTGATACAGCCATCATTTCTCCCATAAAATACTTTACGTCGTCTATGAGGATTAATACAATATATTTCCAAAGTACAGTACTTAAAAAAATACCTAAGTAAAGATAGTCTTTGCTGAAATCTATGAAACGATTTCACAACCTGGTAAATCACACGAGTTTGAAAAATCTTGGCACAAACGTAGACTCTAGTGAAACCTGAGAAGTATATTTTTTTTTTTTTTTGTGCCGAGGATGACCAGGCAGTAACGTGCACGGCTCTGGAGCTGCAGGATTACTGAGGTGCCAACTCTCAATCCGAGTTAAATAATCCCTGTGTGACAGCTTGAGCTATCTTCGAGTATATTTAAGAATAAAATCGTATAATTAGTATAACCATATTTAATATAAAAGGTAATGATAAGATTCCTATTGTCACTATGACTCATACTGTACTGGCAACGAATCCTATGACTTCCTGGACGCCGCTTAAGTACAGTATCTGTAGACTTTGATCTATGACTTCCTGGACGCCGCTTAAGTACAGTATCTGTAGACTTTGATCTGTGTTAATGTTTTAAAAAAACATAAATACACACACACACACACGTGTCTCTCCTATTTATAAATACAGTACCTTACCCGTATTATGACGACGGGCGATAATTACCTGCATTTGTGACCACATATTAGTACAGTACTGTAGTTGTCTTGCGTATGGGAAAAGGGGGTTGGTAGCCAATTACAATGCTTCCATTACTGAGTAATAATATTTGGACAATACTCATATAATCCAAGTTAAAATCATGATATAGGAAGGTAAAATCACTAACATTCATGTCTGTGAGGAAGAAAGTCCACTTTCTTTCAGTCTATCTGAGTACAGTACAGTACAGTACAGTACTGCACTGCACTGCACTATATTTTTCATTGTCAAACTTTTTCTAGACCAAAATCCTGTTTCTCAAAATTTTACATAACACGTTTATCTCCACAAATTAATGTCTAAATTCGTAGAAGTGAGGGTTTAACCCCTGGACCATACAGTACAGGGACACCACTTTTAATACAGTACAGTACAGTATTTTATTCAGCTCAGAGGTGACCTCACGCACGTGGTTAAATAAAATTGTAAATACAGTAACATAAATGCAGTATCCCTGCCTGTTATGATGGTAATTAAATGATAATTTGCAAGTACTACTGTACAGTACAGTAGTCTTGTGTATTGCAAGGGTGCCATTCCTGCAAACCCTTGAGATCAGTGGCGTTTCTAGCCTTCGGAAATTGGGGGAGCCACTTAGGGGCCAAGGTAAATGTTGAGGGGGGCAAAACCAAACCTACGTACAACTTGCAAGATGCTGTTTTTGGCATTATTACACCAATTTGATTGACAAATGTGAAGTGAAGTCTCACATGACGCCAGCCTAAAATAATCAGCATATGGCGGTATAATGGCAACGCTCTTATTCCACTAATCATGTTTCATTGAAGTATTGACACACTTGAACATATCTCTGAAACTGTATTATTGCTCACATAGTCACATAAAGGGTGGGTGTACCACATAACAAACATTGAAAAATATAGCAGTGTCTTTACAATGTATGTACATACATCAGCGAAAAAATGAATGATCTCACGCTTCACACATAAGGGAGATTATGGAGACCACGTTTACGTTTTCAGACATGGGCGCCGCATGCAACTGTTACATTATACCCAATGGCAATGGTGCGGTTTCAGTTCACACGGTACTGTGACGGTAGCAGTATATTCAGTGCAGCTTAATCCTACGATTATTGTGTCGGCTGCCAAACTCGTCGACAAAACAATCTAAATCAATTTCCTCAGCGCACACTTTCAATCGATAGTAGCGCGATGTTACTCAGTCTGTCACTGGACATGGAATTTCTTAGGAATGTTTTCACTAATTTCATTTTCGAAAAGCTTCTCTCGCATGAAGCACTGGTAACAGGGAGAGTTACAGCTATCAACAGTAATTTATACAAACAGTCAAATGCAGCCTTATAAGGGCATATAAATGACATAAATTGCACGAGCGATGAAGGCTGTTTATGTTCCTTCACGAGCAATTTCTTCACCAGAGGCATCTCATGTTGTAAATCACTTTGATTGACTGAGTATGTAACTGTAAATGCCTTCAAATCTTCTTCAGACTAGAATGTCTGTCCTTCTGGACAAAGAGCTGAAATCCCACAGAAAATTACACAGGAATCATTGGAGAAACGCCTGTCTAATTCACTAATCAAACAGTCTAGGATTTCATAGAAGATGTCAATGTGCACATGACTCACGTCAGATCTTTGACCGGTCGTTTCCATCACAATGAATTCATCATTCTGTCGAGGTTTTCTGGTTCGCTTTCATGTCTTTGTTGGCGAAATGCTGCATTTCTCTTCGAGCTCATCAATCTTCTTGGAGTAATGCTCAATCAAGTTACAGTGGCGTTTATAAGCTAGATCTTCACGGAGCGACGAAATGAGCATTGCTGCTTTTCCTAAGTCTGCTTGCTTGTCCTGTAGCTGCTGTGATACTTTATCAACTTTTCCAAGAATCTCTGAGAAAAACTGCAAAAAGTAGACAAATTCTGCATCTATTTGCGCAAGTAAACCTCGAACGGATACGGCTCGTGCTCCAGTGTCTTCTGCAGAAGTCTCCTTCAATAGTCTTACTATGCATTCGAGACGCAGCAGAGCATTTTCACATGAGGTGGCCCGACACCACCACCGTGTATCACTCAGATGCTGCAGTTCTCGGACTTGTTCTCCTGGGAACATTTCTCATTGTATAAAAATGAACCTCTCGTGAACAACAGGGTTACAAGTGAAGATATAGAGTTCTTCAAGCAGACTGAAGAATTCGGCCGCTTGAGGCACATATTTAGCAGCATTGATCAAAACCAAATTGAGCCTGTGTCCATAGCAGTGTACATAATAGGCAAAAGGAGCTTTATCACGAATGCGTTTCTGAACACCACTGATTCCTCCACCCATGACTGATGTTCCATCAAATCCTAAGCCAGCAAGTGAAGATTTGTAATCCAAACCGAGTTTTTCCAAACTTTTCAAGATTACGTCCGTGATAGACGCAGCATCCAACGACACCATGGGAGTGAAGGAAATGAAGCACTCCTGAATGCAATGTGACACTTCATCATAAAATCTGACAACTATTGGCAACTGCTCTGTTTTACTAACATCCTTTGCTTCATCAGCTTGAACAGAAAAGTAATGACATGATTTCACACTTTCTGCAATTTCTTCTCTCACCATAGATGCAAGCGTGTCAATCACCTCATTTGTATCGCAGAACTGGTGTATTTCTCATTCTTTGGACCACTTTTGACACGACCAGCTATAACAGGATCATGCTTGGCAGTGAATCTAAGGAACTTACGGATGTTTCCAGGATTTAGTTCTTCGTCACTTTCTCTGTGTACTGAGTCACTTGACTCACTTCCTGGTTTTGGGAATGTTTTTGGAATTACAATTTTGAGAATAAAAAGTGGGGGGGCCAACCCAGGGGCCAGCCCAAAATCTGGGGGGGGCCATGGCCCCCCCGTAGAATCGCCCCTGCTTGAGATGTGCAGTACAGTAGTACCCCGATTTACACGGTCAATTGAACCCACAGGGTACCGCGTAAAGTGAACAACAGAACATATGGGATTAATTCCAATCGAGACTGGCCCGACCCCCAAACTCCACTTTTTGACGACACACAACTATGTTGTAGTAAAAATATTATCTTAACTTTATGATGGTATGCACACACAATTAATGATTAAGAGAAATATCAATAATATTAGTTTTTTTAACACTTACATTAGTAGAAAAGATGGCTGGGCACACAGGAATGGGGGGTTGGTTCCGAGGCAGAGGGCAGATTATTGACCCTCACCTGTATCACTTGTATCAATTGTATCACTATCCACCACATAGGCTTGCAGGGCCTCTTTGTCAAACCCCTCAAAGTCCATATAAGTCCATATCCTCACTATCACTATCACTGACTTAGGCCGGCTGTGGTAGGTGGCGGGTGAAGAACTCGGTAATGTTTTGATGACTGGGCGACCTTGTGCGCATCCTGCCCGCGCCGCTTCTCGCGTATATGAGTAGATGCACCGCGGAAAGTGAAAGTTCGGTTCTGGCGAGGCACCGCGTAAATGAGAAATTGCGGAAAGTGAAACCGCGTAAAGCGGGGTAATACTGTACAGTACTGTACTGTACTTCTGCTTAACTTGAGGGGTTTTAGGAATGTATCATATAAGTTAAGTGGACGCTAACTGAACTGTACCATACCTGTACTCTATAAGGTACCTTGCCATATGATATGACAGAAGGTTAAATTGTTTTAACCAAATAATATTGAATTAGCATGCAAGCAGATGTAAGCACTCTTTCAACTTAAAAGTATACTGTACCACGTTCAGCCATATTATTATTCAAAACAAAACTTTGTACTGTACTATACCTTTTTCATATCGCTCTTATTTAATGTATTTTATTAATTTTCCAACAAATGTTTAAGTAATCATTTAATGTTTTCTTACCAGTACAGTATAACAAGTTACAGACTTTGATATTACCAAGTGTCAAGAAATACTGTACCCGTATTAACATTTTTTTGTGAGGAAATTACGACAATAGTAAGAGAAAGATGCATCTACCAATTATTAGTGCAACAAAGACCAGACATGGTGCCAGAAGTAAGGTGAAAGAACAAGCCAAGAATAGAAGGGGAGCTCCTCTCCACAGTCAGGCTACATGTTTTGACAGTCTTCATACTGGCTCTGTTTACCTTCACAAACACATGTTAGGTCTTGAGGGATATTTCTGCCATGAGTCCAAATTACAGCAAGGTACAGTACAATATAATTGATCCCTTTTACTGCTTAGTAATGTACCATACTAGTTCTTTAATTTTATGCAGCTGAAATAATTTTAACCTAAATTGCAAACTTTAGTACTGTACATGCATTTGCTATACACATAATTTGCTATACACATAATTATTACAGTATATACATGTACAGTACAGTATTATTATTATTACACTATTATTATCCTGTACAATGCTATATTTTTACATAGGAATGAAGTCGAGTGTGCGAATCTATAAATATATAATTTATTACATTAGATATGAAGATTTTAGAAATATACAAAACTAAAGTTGTGGCAGTACTGTACTGTATTATGAACATTATTATGTAAAATTGTGGCAAGAACAAATGCCATTTTCCTTTAAAAAAAATTTGAAATTTAACATTTTGTTGGAAGTTGTTGTTTTTACCCTTAAACACTAGCTTTTTTTTTCTGATATTCTTATATGGTTAACAGGACAAGGAACTTACTATATACAACACACAACATTGTTTCAGACAAGTACATGTTAAAACAAAACTAGAATCTTGCTTCTGACTTGTTGGTAGTTTTAGTGATAATGTTACTTTTGATGACTGTATGCATGTCACTAATTGCAGATGGCTGGAGTCATATCTTGATAGCATTAAGATTAGCCTGATAAGATTTAACATGTCACATGGAATTTGAAAGTTCATGAGTTCAATAAGACATGATTCCATTTTCAGCATTATGGCAGATACTTTAATCTGTGATTTTGTTGTAACTTCTTAGCACAATAATGTTAACTTAAAAAATTATGAGTGGATATAAATAATAATTCCACTAGTGTTTTCTCTGGTCCTGTAAACTTATTTGCTTTACAAAAATTGCTATATCCAGGTACAGTACAGTTGTCGTAATTATTTCCTTAACCTAATTTGTTAACACATTGCCTTTACAGGTGCCACACTGGTGTTTGAAGTGGAACTTATCTCAATTGATGATGCCCCACCTTTGGTCAACGTGTTCAAGCAGATTGACGAAGATGATGATTCACAACTGTCTAAGGAGGAGGTGAGCGGTGCTAGTGGTGGCAGGGGGATTCATAAGCTTATGCCAGGATCTTGGCACATACTAACACTATTATTCCCCTGGTTGCTCTACTTTTTCAATATGACAATCCTGAAGGGACAAAATTAATGAGGGTAGAGCAATGATTATGCTGGATTCCAGGAGATTAATTTGACAGAGGAATCCCACGAGTAAGGACATTGGAAAACTGAAAACTTTTATTACAAGAAGAAACAACTGCTGTACGTACCATGAAAATTGTCTTTTCTATTAACAAGAATATATGAATGTTATTATGCTTTTGCATAAATAGCTGTTCTACCATTTTCTCTCAGAACTACCAGCACATATGTTGTGATCCTTCAGCAATAATTATCAGTGGTACAAGGTGTAGAACCCGTCCACCAACTCACAAAAACTAAATTTATTCTTAAAAAATAATATCAGTAAAAGCAACGATCACCAAATTTTTATCAGAACATTGTCCAAGTTCATAGCTCCCATTACAGTACCCGGTACTTCCTCAGTCATATTAACATAGCATGCTCATTGAAATTGTCGAATTAAAAATCTACTTCTATAATACTGTATATTAGAAAATCCTATCATTCCAAAGGTAAAGTATATCAACAAGACAACCCAACATTCACAATGCTGTACAGTAGCATAAACACAGCCAAAGTAACCTCTCCTCCACTTCCATCTTAATCTCTGAAATCTTGCTCAGTTTTGTTCTTACATACATCTCGCCCTTTTTGGTATTCATATGTTCCCTGTTCTGCTTTTTTTCTTCCATATTTTCCTTTTTTTTTTTTGGCACTTGCAAATATTGCTACCAAGATGATTTGCCCTGATTTCTGCTAAATATTTGTTTAATATATATATTAGCTCAATAATTTTCACAATCTTCCTTTGATGCAAATCTGACTTCATTTTCATGGAATACAGTACAGGACTTTTGTTTACTTTATGTGGAGGCTTTGCAGAAAAAAAATTCTGATAAATAACAAGACACGACTTTTCTGTAATTACTGTACTGTACTGAAAATTATTTATTTGTATTTTCCCTACAAAACTATCACACACTACAGTATTCTGTATGTGTACATACTGTATATGTATAACACTTCATGAATTTTATTACCCCCCCTTTTCTTTTACATCGACCTCAAATGACTAGATACCTGTATCTGCTTATTGTAAATTGTGTGTTGTTGCTGTCTTTTTAATTTCCTTGAGATTCTCCCCTTTTGTATGTACTGTAATAAGCTACTGGTGTGTATTTTGTAATACTACAGTACCTTTAAACAATTTTGACCTGCCAGGATCTGTATATTCAGGGCTTTTGAAGTCAGATCAACCTCATTGTTATTTTCATACTGTATAGTTATTATGATGACAATAATGGAAAAACTGGAAGCATTCAATAAGAACCAAAGCTAACTAGTACACACTTAAACTTCATAAGCATCAAGTACAATTATCCATTACAGTATCAACCTTCACATACTGTATACTGTACTGTATATATTGTGGAGGTTAACATACATCATGCATGGTAACCAAGTGTTTATTCTCTACAAGTCAGTACGTAAATTGTATTGCAAGTCATATCTCCCATCACAGGGCTGAAGAGTTTTGCCACACACTCATAATTAAATAATCCATAAATGTTTTGGTATAGTACAATGGGTCTAGCCTTTATGCTATACAGTACTCAGGAATCACACTGCTGATATATACTATACTGGGTAATTTTAATGGGAAATATTTTGTATCTTATGCTAGTGTCTCAACTTGCACTTCATGGTAGTTTTTTCTGTGTACTGACTGACTTAATACAGTATATATACCGGTACTGCATTTATATATCAGCTGCCATGACAATCGGTTAATGGTATTGCCCACATCTCTCATTACCAACATTTATAATACAATACAGTAGTTCAATGATAGGAAAGGATATTGTCTTGTAACACAACAACTGATGATGATATTAGCAACTTTTGACACATAATTAACCTCCCATCTGAAGTAAAATGTGCCACTAGAACATCATGAAAAATTTAAAGAAGCTGAACTAATTTATCAAAGGCAGCAGCAGGCAGACATTACAAGCAATGGTTTTAAACATACGTTGCTGTATGATTGTAGTGTTTATCTAATAATGAATTAAAGCTTAGCATTCACCAAGACCATTGCAGTTAAATACAACTGATGAGTCTCAACTTAATGTATATGTGCTGTATGACCCACTGACATTTTCCAATAAAGAAACTTTGTAGAAACATTTATAGCAACATTTGCACTGGTTACCATCACTGAAGAACTGTACAGTATATCACCAGACAATAATAGAGCATCATTTAAATATAAAAATAAATCTTGTACATATCCCTCAGTCAAAACAGTAATGACTGAATATCGTGTTGGTGGTGTTTACGTATAAAAGTGGAGTTTTAACTGGAGAGACAAGTTTCATTCGATGATAAATTACCCGGTAGGTTAGTTTGTCAAGGGAACAGATGCAAAGAACTGGATAGGTACAGTTTCACTATCATGTATGTCCTAATAACTGTGGTGCCAACCTTCAGATATGAGGATGGTACAGTACAGTACTCTTGATTGATAATACTGGATCACTTAATGGGCTTTTCATTTGACTTACTGAGTGAGATGAGATATTTAAAAGCTTTTGTCTTGTAGCTTAGATAAAACGCATCCACCAATACAGTATAGAGCTGTTAGTTGTACGAGTTAATAGACTGTCACGAGAGAATCTTTGAATCGCTTTTTTAATTAAAAGTCTTTTAGATACCACGCGTTTACTTTGCTTTTTGTTATGCATAAGAAGTTATATAGTGTTTTATATGACGTATAACTAAAATTTATAAACACTCGAATAACAGGTTATATATAATATTAACAAACACTTTTATCGTTTTTAACCTTTATGCGCAATTTCCCTCGAGGTATGAGTTAACTTTGCCATTAGAGGTGAAATGATAATAACTAACAATAGAATAATTGTTTTAGGTGGGTAAATATGTCTTTGAAAATGCAAGTGATTCAGCTAATGTCACTAAATGTAGACCCTGGTTAGGTAATACTGTACACGAGATGCTAATATAATAATTCCGTTGGTATAATAGAAGCTTCAAGAAGTGGGATTTTTTTTGTGTATATACTGTATACCAGTATACATCCCCCCAAGTAGCAAGTTTTTTTTTTTTCCACTCAGCTATATTCAACATTCATCTCTTTTAAAAATCCCAATCATTCATACTTAAGGGTTCTATGAGATGCACTTTTTCTACAGGACTTCCTCCCCCCCAAAAAAAATTTAAGAACTACATCTCACAATAAACCAGCTACTGTCCTTGCATATTAACTGGCATACATTATCAGCTTCTAACTCCCAAAGTAATTGTTTGGGTAGCCTAATATTATGTACATTTTTTTATGCCTTTTCCTTAAATTACTGAGGAGAATGTGTAGGCATAACAGTACAGGTCTCATGGAGATCCCGTACTATAGTATACAGATTATGAGTAGATTATTGCTTTTTTTCATGTACTCTACTGTACCCTATACTTATATACAGTAAATTATTTCATAAACTTATGATAATACAGTGTAAATACAAATCTGTTACAGTATTTGATATTCCTATCACTGCCGCCACAATGTAATTGCCTTCCAGATTCAGTAGAGTAAAAAAAAATCTTGAAAATTTAGAGCAAAATGGTGTCAAAGTACAGTATGCTGCATTAAATATCTATGAGTCAGTTGTTTTATATTTTAAATGATAATATCATTTGAACTGATAAATTATCAGTTCAAATTGTATAAATTATATTTTATAAAGCAATGCAATATTTCTTGTACAGGTATGTGTATGCAAAATTGATAAAGTTTCATTAGAGAAATTTTAAAGGTAACTTTTGAAGTAAGACCTACAGCAGTGTGATAGATATTTGTAATGATTTCTATTTTACAGATATATACAGTACGTATAATTATTTTCTAAAATATAAACCTGCCATATTCTTTACTGTGTGTGTATGAATACAAGTAACATATACTGTACTGTATTCATTATGTGCTGTGTCAATGTGATTTTGTGTGTTTCTTGGAGTTACTCAAAATATGGAAAGTTTTGATACACAGTTGGTGTTGTGCTGTCTAGTTCCTTAGGTCAGAAACTTGGCTCATGTCAATTTATGGAAAGAGGAAGATATTTAAATCTTCAGTACAGTTGACTGTTTCTCCAAAGTACTATTTAATAGTCACTCATTTTATAGAAGAAGTTTAAAGTTATGGAACGAGTAAAACTCTCATGTAACTATATTTGTAACTCACAGCTACAGAATTCTGAATTGAAGAAAAACTCGGGAATGTGTAAAATCATTTAAATGAGCAAAATAAAACACAAGTACAGGAACAATGTACATAAATGACTACCATGGGCACTGACAAATGCTTTATGCTTGTCACCCACTGTTTAAGGTTAGCACAAAAAAAGATATAATGTTCACCAAATGAATAGTCATTGTAAAACCACAACTCTGCTCAATACATGTAAGGCACTACTCAAGTAAAATAGATACATTACGGGAGGACACTTGTGTACACAAGCGATGGGTAGTACAGTACACCCTTGCCATGTTTGTTTTCCTGCATTCCAAAGTTCAAATACCTGTGTTTCACTGACTGGTGACTGTACAGTATGTTCGAAAAAGTTGTGATTGTATGAGTGGAACAAAAGTTAAAAAAGCTGAGACATGGTCATAAATTGCAATCATGTGAGCGGGTGTTTGTAACCCGGATGTTCAGCAACCAACTATTACCTGTACAGTACTGTACCAGCGTGCTCTGTACAGGTACAGTATAATTATCACTTTCATGTATCCCTCAATATACCCAATATCATATCCCAATAACATGAAATTGGTTCATAAAAAACAAAAAACCTACCTAACTCATGGTAAATAGTACAGAACTATGTTAATTTACTACCTAACACATAAAAAACATTTATAAAATACTATATAACTTATGGGAGGGCAGTCTGGGGTCACCACCACAAGGGGGTGAGCTGAGTAAGGGCCAAGGACACCACAGCCACACCAAATGTGGAAGGAGTGGAAAAAAATCCACTGGTAGAGGGAGTGGTACTGAAAGCTGAAGATGTTTCACAACAAATGGTGGAAGGAAAGACATGGAATTGTCGGATATGCTGTGGGAGGGAGAGGGGGTACGATCAATGAGCGAGATTACGTCTCTGCTCATCTATCCCCACGATGGCTGTCCCAGCTGACTCCTGGAGCACGCAGTTTTAATTTTTGCCTGAACCCAAATTCTTATAAGCGGGGTAAGCTTTTGTATCTCGAAATAGTGATGTCAGTTTCGGAAATTTGTATAAGGTAATATTCGTATAGCGAGGGATACCTGTAGTAGTGCATTCCTTATACTGTATATAATTTTTAGCTGTTTCTTTTTCAATTAATCATAGTGAATATCTACATTATGATTTTTCTAACTGTTACTATAACTTTCCTCTGCTTAGCCACAAGGAAAAAATGACTATGATCTTTATATATACTGTATACTGTACTGTACAGTGTATTAAGTTTCCTCTTTTTAAGCCACCAAAACAATTATCTCAAATTTATTCAGATATACAAAGTACAGTACAGTACTGCAATCTTGAGCAGTTGATTACAAAAGCTAATTCCCATCTACTTATGCATACAAATGCTTTGCATCCATTATTAATAAATTTATATGTACAGGTACTGTACAGTACTGTATATCTCTCCAACAACCAACATCAAATGCAGCCACCTGTTAGCCCAAAATACTGTCAAATTCACCTCTCATGAGTGGTCATCTGGGCTGAGTTGTGTACATTTTACAAATTTATGAAGTGATTAAGTTATCTCAACACAGCTTATACTGTAATTCCATTTAATGATTATTCTACATTTATCCAGTATTCACAAAGTTGACACAGTACTGTACTTCTAAAGTGACAGAAAAGATCCTCAGTGGCACACAAGTGGTGCATCAAAATTCTCATCAATATTTCAAATTAACCTGGTAGTACAGAGGTGCCAACTGCTAAATTGAATACAGTACTGTACTTTAATAATTTCTGAAGTGGGATATAAATGATCATATCTTGTTGTATTACTTGTGAGTATATGTGTATTATCTAAGTGTCATTTGTGTTATATAGTGTTCAACCGAGATCCTTAGAGTAAAAACAATCCTAAGTGACCACAAGTTGTTTCATTGAATGATCCCAGCAATATTCTCAATTTAATAAAATAATTGTGCCACAGTATGGTAGTACAGGACTATTTTTATTGGTTCTACAGTACAATGTTTTGCGTTGTACTTCTCTCAATACTGTACTGTGTTAAGACTTGTCTTGCGAGTGCTTACCACTTTTTTAGCATTTAATAAAGTTTTCTTTCAAAATACCTAACAGATACATAAACCAGCTGATGTATCTCTGTAATATACATAGGAAATGTGTCCCCAGCACAAACCAATGAGTCTTTGTGACCTTAAAAATAAGTGTGATGTCCAGCTTTGTACATGCTAGATTACTGTACAGTACTGTATACTTTTACAATGCTAATTAATGAAATGAAATCAAACTTTAACTTTAACTTAAATGTCCAAGAAGTAATGCGGCTCCATTCTTGTAATGTTCATCTATAAAATCCATTATAGTTTTTAATTATTCAACTTAATATTTGAATACTGGTTGAGTAAAGTCTGGATGAATGTAATGTTATTATTTTACAGACATGACGGTGCAAATGAACAATCAAATCTAATATGTAAATAAGTTTTAACTGCTCTTTTTAATTAAGCTTTTACTGCATAATGTCTGTCACATCTACAGTATGTGTGTGTGTGCATTACAGGCAATCTGTAAAATATCTCAATATGTTCCATGTCATGTGTATAGGCAAGGTTAGGGAATGTTAGTTTACGGTGGGTCAGGTTAGGTTCAGTGTGTAATGAAATTTTCACAAATCTCAGCTAAATAATCTAGTCTAACCTAATCTATACACAACATGAAATAGAATATTTTCACAGGTACTTTACAGACTGCCTGATATGATAGATTTCCTGTTATATATACAGTACTACAGTATATTCATTGTGTAACCCAACATGTACAGTACTATACACTTTTCTCATTATTGTATACCAGTAATTGCATTCTTTCTCTGATGTATTCTAACTTTATTCTTCCATCTCCCTCTCATTGAGTGGAGCCTCTTCTTTTATATCCCTTATTCATATGATTTACATGCTTTTTTTTTTTTTAATTTAACCTTCCTAAAAAACTCAATCCTTAACAAATTACTGTGCTGTACTTTACTGTATTCTCTTAACATAAGTAACAGTATACTTTATCTCTCTTCATCTTTGAAGATCTTTCATACAATGCCCTGTTCCCACTCTGTAAATTTGAATTGGCAGTAGGGAAGGCATCATGCCATAAACATTGCTTTAAATTTGCCTGACTGATATCTAGGACACCATGCCATCAAGCAAACATGGCTAACCCACACGTGTGAAAAATGGTATTGATGATGATATCAAACATTTCTGCCATATCCATTATGAAAATTTTTTAAATACTTAAACAGACATCACCATTTTTTTCCTTTATCCATGATACCATGATGAGAGTCTTCACTTCTCTACCTATTAAGCAATTAGCATCTGTAATACACACTACATCTTAATATCACACCAGTCTTTCTCCCAAAATACTAACTCATTATAGTACTGTATTTATATAAATACATGCTTTACTTACAATAGTTCTTGATGTGAGGTAGATGAGTGAATACAGAGCTTGCCTCATGTACAAAGGGTCACCGATTCATGCCCCAGTGAACTCCACTATGAATCAGTAACAGTGAGTACAATACCAGCTACACTTTTTAATATTCCCTAAACTCTTTATATACAGTACTACAACTAATGGATTATCTGTCCTACAGGACCCACTTTTTTATTGAATCTCTTCTCAGTTGCTGTAGCTTGTTAATACATAATTTAAACTCGGAAATCTATTCATATAGTTCATAATGCTGTAGGTCTGTAGAAGTTGTATTATGTATGTACAGTCCATATCTCCTATAATTATGTTTTCCTTATTTCATCTTTCACTTTGCTACAGTACGGTACTGTATTTTCTTTTAAATTCCCTTGGAAAGTATCCCTCAATTTTACTGAAATAGAACAGCCTGTAATTGTTTCCCTACTTTTTTCCACATAAACTTGATTGAGAGGAACATCAGTGCATCCTTACAACCAGTCACAAGATAGACTACACATACAGTACAGTACTTCCTTCCAAACAAAGACCACATCCTACTATGCACAGTACAATAGAATGCTTAAGCACCACCACAATACTCTCATCAACTCCTCTTTAGTTACTTAGACCATTCTAGGAGCACTAATATGCAGTAGTTTACCTGTTATACCTTAGTCTTTTTCTCCGTGATTTTTTTTTAATAATAATGGTTGTTTTTCAATCGAATATTCCCTCTCAAAAGGCCACACACCAATTTTACTATACAGTATACAGTACTGTATACTGTATATTACAGTACATAATACTGTATGTACTACATACAATGGGAATTTGACATACTGTATTTCCTCACTGTTATTTGAAATTATTATCTGTATACTGTACAGTATATTTTATAGTTTTACCTTTTACTTAATTTTTTTCAGCATTACTGTTTATATATATACAGTATAGTGTATATATATATATATATATAATCCCACATTATGCCCTGTGAAAAAAGTTTGGTTCTCAGATACTTTGTTTGCAGAAGGTAAAGATTTTAAATATTTATTTTGCTTGACAAATTTAAAATAATTATATCAGTTTTCTTCCACTGATATTTCTCATTTGACAAACTAAACAGACTTGGAGTTATATGAATTTACATTCTTGAATGTACTATAAAGGTTCTCTGGCCTTTGTCAAATGCATCACCTTCACATAAACCAACAAATATAAAAAACTTCTTGTTTTTTAAACAAAATTTAATATGATAGTCCAAACACTCATCATTCTGTAATGCTTGTACAGTACACCAAACCTGATCAAAAATAAAATAATTGAGCCAGAAATTCAATCTATAGCAAATAAAAATTTAATAATTGTATTTTATAGAGGCAATGAAATCAATTCAGCTGTGGGTTTCACGAGTGCCCAGCGGCATCTGAGAAACAAACAATTACTGTACTTCTTTTTCCGTGACCTTACATAATGCACATGTTTTACGTTCTGCCCAACTATTGTTTATTGCCCTGTTTATATTTTGCATACCTTATTATTTTCATTATACTGAAGTTTATTATTTAATTCATCTCTTCTGTTTTATTTTCTATCTTCACACTGTTTTTTCAATGTTTTCCTCAGGTGCTAGATTATATCAAGACTCAGATCCCCGCTGAGGAAGTTGAAAAGGGCCAAGATCCTCATAAGATCACGGAAGAGATTTTTCATCACGAAGACAAGGACAGGGATGGCTACATCTCCCATGAGGAATTCTCTGGACCTAAGCATGATGAGCTCTGAGCCTCCACATGCCAACTAGGAGCTGCATCCATCATCCCAAGCATTAATATGGGATTGCTTCTACTTCTTTCTCAAACTAAACATAGGGATGCTCATAACTCGAAATTTTTTTTAATGAAATTACCAAAGTAATTTATTTTTTTAATTCGCTTCATAAGATATATAACAGGGATAGTGAGTCGAGCTTTAAGACTATGTGTAGGAATCTTAAACCCGCCTGTTAGTTTTCCATTTCTGTCCCATGTAGCAGTCATCATTGCCTTGGATGTGATATCAACAATGGGAAGGATGGTTGCCATTTCGAAACTTTACCTGCATTCATGAGACTAAAAGTAAGTGTGAATTTAGGTTCCACAGATCCAGTTTGTCAATAGATAAGAGATGATATTTTTCCACTGTCCAGCCGATATGATTGTGGACTTGGGCTTAATGTGATATATATTAATTTTTGCCCAAGCCTTGATGGTAATTGCTCATAGGGTGCATTCAATTTCACTTGTATATACTAATAATTGTCCAATTTTATACCTGTTGGCTTCTCCTAGATGCTATGTACAGTTGCAATGTGAAATGAATTTTTATGCACAAACACTTTATTCACAACATTTTTAGAACTGTTTTTATAATTTAATATTCCTGTCTAGACATAATATAATTTTAACAAGAGAATGCTAAAGAGTTGTTATATGTTTTATATAATTTCTATTACACCTTCAAGGATGAATATATTGTTATCCTAAAGTGTCATCTATATATCCCTCCCGAAACTTCTCAGCATGGTTTAAGTTACTATATACCTTACTGCAGAGCTGTTAGCATGGTACAGTACAAGGTTTTTATGGTGGTGTAAAGCACTGTGCAAGATCACACTTAAGTTTCACCCGCCCCTCACAATGTATGTACTGTACTCCTTGTTATTTTATTATAAGCTAAAAATTAAAATGCCACAAAAGTGAATGACCTTCTTCATCTATTATCCTAAGCCACAGATGTATATATCCATTTCTAACAATGTTATGGTTTGATAATAGATTCCAGATAATTTAGTGTTTTTAAATGCAGAGCAAAGGTTAACTGTGGCAATGAACACTCCAGGGTAAGATTTATTTTGCAACTACAGCTTACAGTCTTCCTTTTTTAAGTCTCAAATTTTTTTTAAGAACATCACAGTTATTTCCTCACACAGCTTTGATAAGCTATATTTATTTAATATATATAATTTAAGTGGGGTTAAAGTGTTGTTGCAGCTTTCAAAACTCATGTTAGTACAGTATTTTATAATCACACGTTTTTATTATATTTTTACTTTTAAATTGCATATACAATACTGTATACAGTACCGTATGTATACTTGCAACTACTCATAAAATATCCTATAGTAATGTATTCACTTATGAAAACATGTAATCAAAAGTACTGTGGCTTCCAAGTTATACGTTAAAGAAAGACAAAAATATGCATGAAGTGAATGTTATCCACTTTTAATATTCCTGTAATTCAGATGAGTCCCTGATGTCTGTAGCAGCTTTTGTATGAATGTATAAATGTCATAAATCAGCAGACACTCTTATCATGTTACTGTTTGGCTTTCCATAGAAAATTTAATCCCAATGCTCAGTGTTAGAACAGTTGATAAGAGCTGGTTGATGAAAGGTGTACTGTACTGTGTTATATATTCTATTACTGAGTCACAGAGGTGAGTCCATATGCTACACTGGGATTGGCTGTCAGAATTTGAAATAATGTATAGTTTTAATATTTATGAAGACCCACTTTAGTAAGTACTGGATTATAAATATAAAAATCAATAGAATTCTGAGTGACATTTCCTGAAAAAGACGACTGGTGTGCTGAGCGAGCTGTACCTAGCAGTTAGACATTCCTAGTGCATTAATCTAGCTCTTACCAATAAGCTGACTTTGTAATTATAGAAATTTTGACATAGAGATTTGTATTTATATTTTCTTGTTGGATTTTAATACTAACTTTGTACTCTGATCAATCAGTAAATTTTTTTAAATGTACTTTGGTGGTTTGATTTTACAAGTGATTCTTTTATCCCTGTTAGTTCCATAACAATAAAACAAAGATAAACTACAGATTTTATAAATTGGTCTCAAGTACCACATCAGGGTCCCAAATCTGATTTACCCCCATTGCTTCAACCTAGAATCACCCATCAGCAGCAAGTCCTTCTCCTCAACTCATGTGACAACAAGATTTACACTACAATGCCTATCATCCATCCCCTTTATTCACCTAATCTTTCCATATCACTCTTAATGTTTCCTCTCCGTCCTACCATCCACCTGTGGTTTAATTCATCATTCACTGTTCCTTCTGTTAACGTCCATTCATAAATACAGTACGGTCCCTAAAACACGCTGCTTCCCCCCACTAAATCTCCATTCAAACTAACATTTAATTATTTCTGCCTCTTTTCTTTATCACATTACAATACTGTAGTTAACATTAACCATAGAGGCTTTCTCCAAATACCTGTACACACTCTGACTCCTTGACTAATACAGGGGGGGGGGGGTTGTATTTGTAACTTTTCTTCGAAGTCCTCCACAGCACGGCCATCTGTCTGTGCACTGTACTATTACTCATTTAACTAAAGCCCTTCCCCATCACTCTTACTTTCACATCTTCTTCACTAACCCAACCATGGAAACATTAAAATAACCAAGGTGACTTTACACATCCTTACACTGTACATTATCTTCATTCTACCTTGAAAGCCTCTGGACAACATTAATAGATTCCTCCATTTGTTCCACAGTACTTTCCTCATACCTTTTCTCCTTTATAATACAGGTACATGCATTTTTCTTTTTAATATTGAAAAATGACACAAACAAATTTGTCCTCCTCCTCTAGAACCTTTTCACTTCTTTAATGTAAACACTCTATTCATAAATCCTCTTCCTTTTCCAAACCTACACTATTCTTCCACTAATAAACATGTTTAGTTTTACGACAATTCTCTCAACAATAACTCTACCATATATTTTTTTTAATGTATACCTGTACTTAACAGACATATTCTTTTTAATGTATACATGTACTTAACAGACATATTCTTTTTAATGTATACCTGTACTTAACAGACATATTCTTTTTAAATTTTTAAATTTTTCCAGGAAATATTGTAAACATTCTTTCTGATATTCCTTAGGTAACCTTCTGTCTTACACATTCAGGTCATCTGTTACGCCACTAGTCCACCTTCCACTAGATTCATTCACTCCGGATCCCTTATTACTAACAGTTTACGTAAAGCCATTCTCATCTCCTTCCTTTCGACCATTTGCTCTTTCACGCTGACAGTTATCCAAAATAATTTCACTCCTTTTAACTTCCTCTGTTTTTCTGCTACAGTATATATCTCCTCTTTCATTCTTAACTTATATCCATTTGTTCTCTTGGTTTTAACCCCATTTAGTTCCCTCAAGAACAGTATTGTTCTCTTTAAAACCGTGTGACAGCCTTCCCCTCCTCCTCTTTCACCTCCTTCCAATTACCCTGTATGCCTCCTTTCTTTCATCACTCCCTACATACAACAGACTATCATACTCCCTCCTCTTTCAACACCATTACATGTGCTCATCTTCTACCTGTCTCGAGCATTTCTTTAAATCTCTCAATTATACACCACTATTCTCTTTCCTTAGCTTGTTTAACCTTCCTCTCATTTTTTGATCTGCCACCCAGAACCTTACATTCACTGTCAAGCTCCCTGATTCAGTGGCTGTCTTGATTGACACCTCCCCATCAAGAACTGTAGTGCAGTGTTCTTCGTTACTCAAATTTTTTAAAACTCGATGACACCATGACCCCCGTCAACGGAATTGGACGAGTAAAATTCCTCATTACATAAACTACAGTATGCTGATAACCACAAGGAAAGAAGAAAACACGAAGTTCCCAAGCGCTTTCGTGTAATTCACATCTTCAGGGGTGAGTACAGACTGAAGATGTGAATTACACGAAAGCGCTTGGGAACTTCGTGTTTTCTTCTTTCCTTGTGGTTATCAGCATATACCTAGATCACGCGCACCTACAGTGATTTACTTGCATAAACTACAGTATGTACAGTATTTGATAAACAATTCCCTCAGAAAGGCCAAAGAACACAAAACAAAAAAATCTTAAAAATAACATGCTCTGGAAGTGCTTAGGTTGTGTAATTCTGATCAACAAGATTACCGATATTTCCTCAGACATACTGTACAATATTGTAAATCTCTTTACTGCATTAGGCTGACAAATAAGGGTGTTGATGAACAAGTCCTTTAAAGTGTTTGGTAATATATAAATAGTTTCATGGACTAGGAGGTCAGTGATGTTTACCTTCTTTTTCCTCAAGCAGAAACCAATATACAATACCCCCTACTACTATACACTTTATCCTAGAAATCTAAGTCTACGTAAATCAAAGTCAGATAATGCGATAGAAATTTAAGCTCAGATTCCAAACACCAGTTCAGATCTACAGGTAGATGCCTTAGAGAACTGTTAAAAGAAAACTTTTATAAGATACGTAAAGATACTGTAGCTAATAATATGGAAAAAAAAAATTTAATGGTGATTTCATAGCATAAAATTAGTTTTAACACGAGAGTAACCAGATTTTTTTTCAAAAGGAAGCCGAAAATGGTGATGATCATCATACAGTACTGTACTACTGTACCAGCTGTATGGTGTGTTAAAGAGAAATTTATGTATACTGTATGTTCATGTGTTGCTCTGATATAAATAACTGGCCTTTACCTTCATATGAAATACTTTGATTTTATGCTAAACTTAAAAAAATACATATGTACAGAACTGTACTTTACATGAACTTCATCTGAAAAAAAATTCATATACAAAATTGCATTGAACTACATATATATGTATTTTATTTGCACCTTCAAAAAATTTGCATTTATCTTGAACTGAAAGATATGAGCTTTAATTTCATCTAAAAACATCACATATGTGATTAACAGAAATAAATACACACGTACTTCATTAGCACTGTAAAAAAGGCATTAATATTATACCAAAACACATGAACCTTACCTCCATCTGATAAACAATCACAACACTGCTTCCATAAATTATATTGTTAGTTATGCTACTGTACTTTTAACCTAAACATTGTGACCTAACCTACCTTAAAGTTAACACTGTTACCGGCCTTGACTTTTTGTAGTGGATCTCTCCCCCATTAGGCTTTAGTAAGCCCCTTTATAATATTTATACTGTATATACTTGTCACACTTGCCAGATGCTTCTGGTGACATTGTACAGGGGTACCTAGTGACAGCATTAGGATCCCGCTTCCTCTATCAAGGAATAAACAATTGAAATTTAAATTGAATCTCTCCCCTACAACTACATCCGCATTCCAATGCGAAAGTATCCTAGCAACCAGCCACCTGCTACGTCTTCCCTAGCAACGGAGTCAAGAAACCGGCAGTTCCCAAGGGTTTACTTCCGGCTGCTGTGTATATAAGCTCGCAGTCTCTCCATTGAGATTCATTCTGCCCTACGTTCTGAACACGCAACACCTCCAAGCAAGCTCCTCGCTGTCCAGCTCTCATTCAACCTGGAGGACAGCAACACGCAACATCTCCTCTAACGAAGCTCCTGCACAGATACCTCCTCAAGCACATTACTCACTGAACGTGTCCTCTGAGCAAGTTTCTCACCACACGGCATCTCCAGCACCAGACTGTCTTTCATATAATATATTTTATATATAAGAAAACCACCACCTTAGAGTTTCCATCAATCCCATCCTGAGTGCTAGACAACATAATATCACGAAACCCTACATTATCTCAGAACTTGACGTTACCGCCGCTAGGTTCCCGATACTGAGTGGTCAGCAGTATTAATAAGATGCATGCAATAAAAAATATAAAATAAAATATGCTCCCAGATAAGGCAAGACTCAGGGACAAACTTTTTATACAAAGTAAAAATATACTATAAATAATACGGTAAATTTGTTCATCATTTTTTTTATTTAATCATTAAATATTATATTTGAGGATTTTCAGTCCCTTGATTACTGTATTTATAACTTTGAATGTGTATATTTCAAAACCGCACCCTATTAAAATACTTTACTGTATCTTTCATCTGTAAAATTGTGTACTGTACTTACCATGTACTGTACTGATGTCTCAACCTGTAAAAACATTAACCATTGTTAGATAAAAGCATTTACTGAACCCATTTAGTCAAGTCTTGTAAAAATAGATTTTTGAGACTTCATGATCAAAAGGAATCATCCAAGATTACAGGCAACTGTCCCCACCATCATAATTATTTTGGTTACCCCTAGTTAGTTTTTTGTTTAACAATTTTATTGACAAAGCTTGACGTACAGTTTGCCCATTCTGAGTAATTCAGTCAGGACTTGACACTGAGGGTGGTATCACTTCTCACTCCCACGCAGGACAGAGGTTCATACTCAAAGAAATACATCATATTCATTAACAGTTTATGTAGGTCAGATTCATGTGGACCCATGACTATCTGAAATTTTTTTTTTTAAACTTAACTGAAATTTAAATGCTAAAATTACATTCATGATTACCAAATGTCTATTCTGAAATATCATTGACATATTGCAGAGATATGGTTCTTCACTTGTTACTACTTATTAGTAAACTGTCTCCAGAACTAAACAGTCTGAACACAAATACAAATGGGAGGACGAGATAATATCATGTACACAAAACCTGTCTACAGCACTGGCATATCCAGGATTTTCTTTGGTGGGCAAAGATAGAAGGATTTCCCCAATGAGTTTGCACCTTACTGCATCCACAAATTTCCCTCCCAAAAAACTGTAATTATAAGGGGTTGCAGTCTGGCCACCCTCTTTGGATGTCCATCTGGGCATAGAAGATACAATAATTTATTCCTAATTCACTCTCAGCTTATTTTCCCTAAAGACTGGGACTCGTGCTCGCAATTTTACCTGGCAATACTTGGTAAAGGAAAGCTGTATGTAAAGGTG